TTTTTATTCTCCTTTTAATATAAAACTTAAAAATCAGTGCAGACAGCTTCATTTTCTGTGATTTTTTTTCTCCTAATTTTAAAAAAGATTAATTTTTTTTCTGTTGTTGCTGCTGCGGTTGTTACATAGGTCTCACTATGTAGTTCAGGCTGGCCTTGAACTCACTCTAGCCCAGGTTAACCTCAAACATGCTGTGATTGTCCTGCCTCAGCTTTGTGAAAGCTGGGATTACAGATGTCTGCCGTCATGCCAGGCTTAAAAAAGCATTAACTTTGAAAGGCGGTATCACAGTTCAGTTTTAGTCAATATGGATTTTACTATGGAAGACAATTCTGTATACCTGTGGCTGGTGTTTTGTTTAGTTTCATTGAATGTTTTTATTGCTACTTCTTTTGAGGTAAAAGTTGACTTTTTAAAACTTTCTTACCAGGACTGGGGATTTAGCTCAGCGGGATAAGCACCTGCCTTGCAAGTGTGTGGTTGTGAGTTTGATCCCCGGTACTGATAAAAAGACAAAAAGACAAAAAAACCCCAAAAAACAAAAAACTTTCTTACTGTTGTGATAGCCACCCATCCATTCATTCACTGTGTATTTATTCAGCACTTCATGTGTGGCAGGCAGGTGCCACGCTAAGTGCTAGAGAAAGTATGGTGACTACCAAATTTGACGTCAACTTCCATGGAGCCTGCTCTCTGGCAAGGAGGTCGGTGATGCTCCCTGCTTGGGAGAGCACAGTCTGAGTTGGCAGATGTGGACTTGTGCATTTCTGCCTAAGACTTGGAAGTCCCCAGCTTCTGTAATAGATATTTTATGAAAGTGTATGTGTAACAGTATCCAGGGAAACGACACGACAGTTTGCCGTAGTGGAGTTTGGCATTTGGATGTAGTGGTAGCAATAAGTCTGCCAGAAATTAACTTGTGATCAGAGATGGAAATTGTGAGGTTGATTGGAAATTTTCCTTTGACACTGTGCCATACTCTGAACATTTTCTTCTTGATAAGAGTACTACTTCAGTCTAGGGATATTCCTGTTTTCTCCTTGCCTAGTGGTGATTTGACTACATGAAATATCCTGTTAGCCACAGCAGCAAAGTTGGATATCACATTTTGTCACAGTGCTGGTTTGAGGCTTTGGGAACTGTGAAGAGAAATCGTGTGCTCGATTAGCAAAAATTAATAATCCTGTCTGTTGTAAGCCTTGTTGGAATACTGGTAAAACTGCAGAGTAGCTTGCATAGGAAAAAACAAACCCCAGAGTAACATAGCAAGTGGGAAGTTCCTTCCTGATTTGTATTGTTCTTCCAGTTACAGACAGGAAACACTCGAGTGTATTTTCAAGCTCAGAACATTGAACACAAAGAAGCCTCTGACAGAGCACAAAGTGTAGGTTTGTGCAGCAAAATGCCTGATCGAAAACAATCTGATTTAGCAAGCATTATTTTTATTATTGGGTCATTTTGCCCATTCCCTCCCTGCATTTAGATACGTTGATAAGTTGAATCTGTTTTCCCCATCCTTGAATTTAGAAAAAAAACATTGGCAACTAATCAGAAATACCACACCTTGTACTTACTTGGCAGGGGAAATACCACAGTTGAAAAAAAAAATACATCTTAGGAAAACCCTGCATGTTTTAAAGGCTGATTTATGTGTCTATTGAGTGAGCACCTTGGTTAGTATTCTGAGTAACTGCTGGATTTTGCTTAGGTAAAATTCCACATTTCTGGTAAAGATGAACACCCTAAAAATAATTCAGCATGAGAAGATCTTGAATTAGACGCAAGGAAGGAGATTTGGCTATTTGGAGCGCCTACTGGGGATGATGGGAAAAGTGGTGATTTTCTGCAATTAAGGTAGAGCCAGCACAGGCCAGCAGAGGAATCTTTGCATGGCAGAAGCACTTCAATTTATAGATTATATTCTTCATGATTCATCAGTTAAAAGTAATCCTTCCTGGTTACAAGTCATTTTTAATTTCAGTAAACCTTAAAATCTGACTAAGAAGACAGATTGGATCTTTTCCTAAAATTATATTGACTTAATAATTGGTGTAGAGTTTACACAAAGGCAAAAACATGGGGCAAATTGATTTTTAAATAATGTGCTAACATTTTAATACAATATGTTGGATATATTTTTGAGTCTCCAAATACCCCTTCAGGTGAAGTACCTCTAAATTTAAATCAAGAAAGACCAGTTAATTTGGAAAGAGTAGTAAATATGCTACCTTTCTTTGTATTTTGGGTACTGTGAGGTATTTGTTGTTGTGCTTTTGTAGAGAGTTGCATCTTTTAAGTTAGAGATATCTCCAACCATATCAAGTATGCTGTTTGAAAATGTAAGTACAATACTATTTTTAAAAATGTTGAACTATGTATACTTGTACCTTAACAAGTAGTTTAATAGTAAAAGGCCATCACAAAATGCAGTGAGTTCTTTCCCTACTAATATGAAGTTTTAACTTTTTATTTTGGCATTTGCTCATACCCATGTTTATAAATAATATGTATAAAGTGTTGTCTTTTGAGTCATCAAAATCATTGGTTATTTGTTGACTTTTTATTACAGTAAATGAGAATTTAGGGCTGTTGTAGAACTTTTCTCTCTGCTTTTGCTCTATCTTTCCAATACAGTTATCTTACAATTTGGAGTTATATTGTCATTTGATGTTTACATTATTAGGTCCAATAAATTATTTGTGACTGAGCATTATAGCATACCAGTACTATATTAATAAGTCTTGGAAATTTTTTTCTGTATATTCATAGAGGGGAGAGATTTCCTAGTTAAAGTATATTCTGTCAAGGGTACAGGAGCCTATGCAGATTTTTGGCTCCTGGCTTGAGAAGATACAGGAAAAGTGAAACAATCCAGTGCTGGTGCTTTGCTGGAGGAAGGTAGAGGGATGAGGCTGTGGTGGACTCATGCCAGGGATGCCCCTGTGGAACTGACTCTCAGGTTTCCTTTTGAGGACCTTTGATTGGCCTCATATTCAACTGGGCTGCTGCTTCTCCTCCCTAACGGGTGTGACTGCCAGTGTTTGGCGCTTCAGCAATGCCTGGCACCATGCACCATGTGTGCCCAGCCGAGATATGTGGCATATTTGGGCCTGCTACTAGGAGAACGTGTTCTTGGATTAAGAGTTGGCCACCTCTGGAAGCTAAGGCCTTGATTTTTCTACAGGCTCTGATTTTTCTGACCTTGGGAGGTATTTGAATCAGGTCAGAGTTCAGTTTCCTGCAGAAACTGATAAGTGAGCTAGCTACTCCTGTAGGCAACTGCAGATTAACTGGGACACTGCAGTGACAGCTGGTGTTGGAATCTTTTGTGGCAATGCCCAGACATTCCATCACCCTGAGAGTAGGTGAGAGGGGTGCACTAAGGTACTTCTTGTCTGCAACTAGCACTGTTCTTAGCTTTGTGTTTTGGGGTCATTCTAGTGGGTCTCATTCATTTTTTGGCTGAACAGCTTTTCCTTCCTTTCGCTGGTTTATGGCCAACATCATGCAGCCCTGGATTCTGCCGTATAGCTTATAAAAAGGTCAGATTTTCTAGTTCATTTTGCCCCTACCCCCCAACTCCCCTCCTTATTCAGAGCTTCAGCTTATTTCCTCTTAAAAAGTTCAGTAGGAATTTGATAGGGATATCAAAAGGCATGGCTTAAATTACTAATTTAACTTGGACTGTAGTATTGGCGATATTATGCATGGCAATTACACTGGTCTTCTTTCTGTGCCAGTGAAGCTATACCTGAGAAAAGCAACCTATGAGGAAGAAAGGTTTATTTGGGCTCTTGGTTTTAGAGGTTTCAGTCCATTGTCTTTTGGCCATTACTTTTGGACTTTAGTTATATAGTACATCATGTACATTACGAAGGAGACCTGTTAACCTCACAGTGGCTGGAAATGGGGGGAGCACACAGGCAGACAGGCAGACAGAGAGACAGAGACAGAGAGAGAGACAGAGAAGGAAAAAGGGGCCAGGGTTCTAGTATTGCCTCCATAGACATGTTCCCTTGGACCTATCTTCCTCAACTAGGCCCTATTTATTAAAGTTTCCTATACCTCCTGATAATCCTGCAGGCTGACAACCAAGCCTTTAACATATGGGCCTTTGAGGAACATTCCATGTCCAAATGATAATAGTCTTAAAAAATTATTATGGTCTGGCAACTGAGACTCCAGTGGCTTAGCATGCCCTTTTAGCTCAGTCTGGTGATTCACACCTGTAATCCCAGTACCCTGGGAGGCTGAGTCAGGAGGGTCACAAGTTCAAGCCTAGCCGAGACAATTTTGTAAAACTTGCCTCAGAATTTTAAAAAAACTAAAAATAAAGGGAGGTCTGGAGGTGCAGCTCAGTGTGAAGGCCCTGGGTTTGATCTGCAGTACCAAATAAAAGGAAAGAAGGAGAGTAGCAGAAGAGAGAGAGAAGGAAAACTGAAGGAGGGTATCCTCAGTTGTTATTGTGCACCATAATCTAGATTTTTGTCTTTGCATAATGTTTCTAAACTTATGACAAATGTGTTTCAGTAAGGCTGTGAAACATGGCAGTGATTATTTACAGAGCTGAAAGTTAAGCATTTAGAGAGGACTGTTTTCTCAAAATGTGATCTGTGACCTTCTTGCAAGGGAATTCTAAGCAGGTAGAGGTTTAGACCTTACTCCAAACCTGTTAAATTAGAATATTATCTGAATAGAATTCTCTGTGGGCCCACCTGGTAAATAATGTTGTCACTGCACCCCGTAAGATTCTGCCCATGCTCAAAGTTGAGAACCACAGCCCTGGTCATGTGTTCCTATGTTGGGTTGCTATTCTCTGCAAATTTTTGTTTTTCTGTTGTTTTGCTTAAATTGCCCTGTGATGTAAATGGTGAACCCTCCAGCCTTATAGCGCATTTCTGTCCACTTTGCTTTAAACTTCAGGCTAAGAATTCTTAAGTTTCATGAGTTACTTTTCATCCCGGCATTTCTGACTCTAAATTTTTTATTCCCCCCAACAGAGCTGAGAAAACAGAAGTCCTCAGTGAAGATCTGCTGCAGGTAACAAAATAAGGTCTTCTTAAAATGACTTGTTAAAAGATATGAAGTGACGAAAATGGATGTCGCGTAGTAATAGAAGATATGTTTACATACACAAGGTCCTGGGTTCCATCCCCAGTACAAAAAAAAAAAAACCTGAGAATTGGTCAGAGGAGAGTTAAGTGTTGTGTGTGTTTGCACTGGAATGGAATCCGATTAACTAGCATGGTTTGAGCAGGAAAGAGGAGCAGCGATGTGTATCAGAAAGGGGATCTGAAACCCTAGTGTCATGTTATGAAGTCCGGATGGGACTGGCCCTGCTTTCAAGAGCCAGGTGTTGGGTAGGGAAGGACCTGGTCATTGGACTAGCACCATGGCTTGTCACGAGCCCTGGGTAGGCTGAGGCTGACCACTGCTGTGATGGTGCCCTTGATAGGTCAGGCCCTGCCAGCTGACGCTGTATCTTGGGGCAGTGATTTGTTAGTCCTTTGCATACTGCAGCTTCCCCGGCTGTGGACTGGCACATCCGCAAGGCTTAGGCCACTGATGGCGAACCTTTTAGAGCTTTCAGTGACACAAATAGCCCACTGTGATATACATGCCATAGGTTCACTATACTGACTTAGGCTTTGCGTGACGGTAGCCAGATCTGACCCGAGGGTACCTCACATCCATCAGCCTTGATGTCTTCCCTCCCCTTCCTGCCAGGGCATTCTTGCCAGTGCCCAGGGACACTTCATCCCACCTGTCTGTGGTTTTCCTAACTTTGTGACTCAGAGATTTTCCTAGAAGACACTGGGCTCTTTTGCCCACTTGCAGCAGAATACTTAGAGGAGAGCAAACCTCCTTACGAGTCTCCTTGATTTAATTTCAGTAACTTAGCACAGGTCTGCTTGGACAAATCCCTAAAGACCAAAGATCTACTCCTAGGTGACTGTCTGTCTCTTTCTACACCAAAAAGTTGCTGGCATAATTTAGTAAAACCCTTCTTCTGCCATACAGTATCAAAATATCCTTCTGAATTATAACAGTCATCTACAGATAGGTTTTTTTTTTTTCCCCTCACTGTTTATGGGAGCTTGGTTCTAGGTTTCCCATTCCCACCCCACAGATAACCAAAATTTGTGAATACTTATCTGTTATATGAAATGGACTGGTGTTTGAATATAACATAGGCACATCCTTCTGTATAGTACTAAATCATATTTAGGTTACTTACAATACTTGCTACAAGGTAAATGTTCTGTTGTATTGTTTAAGAAGTAACGATAGGGAAAATGTCTGCATATGTTAAGTACAGATGCAGTTTTATTCCTTGAATGTTTTTGATCCATGGTTGGCTAAGTCTGTGGATATGGAACCCATAGCTATGGAGAACCAATTGACTTTGTTTGTTTTTTAGTATTTGTGATTGAACCCAAGGTCTTACACATGCTAAGCCAGCTACCACTCACAGTCCTATTTATTTATTTATTTGGTGCTGAAAACTGAACACAGGGCCTTCACAGTGAGTCTACATCTCCACCTGTTTTTATTTTTTATTTTTAGACAGGGTCTCACTAAGTTGTCTAGGCTAGACTCGAACTTGTGATCCTCTTGCCTCAGCATCCCCGCTGCCGTGCTAGAATTACAAGCACATGCTATCATGCCCAGCTATATCCCAATTGATACGAATATTTGTGGGTTTTTTTTTTTTTTTTTTTTTTTTGACTTTTTCCTTTTTATCGGTACCGGGGATCGAACTCACGACTGCCTGCTTGCAAGGCAGGCGCTTATGCCGCTGAGCTAAACCTCCAGCCCCAGAATATTTGTTTTTCATGTTTATTTTTTAAGATTTATTTTTTGAGAACTGAGGGTTTTTTAAAATTAAATAATAGCATGGATTTTTTTGTTTGTTTGCTTGGTTTGACTTTTTGAGAGAGGGTCTTGTTCCACATCCCACATCAGTAATATACATTATCCCATTATTCATTAGAGCCCTTAGTTGACATCAGAGGACCTTGAAGGCAGTTGGAGGATGGCAGAGTCCTCATGGCACACAGGGAAGTCTTCTTCTGTGTCTGCCATAACTGGTAGATATATGGTCCACTTTCATTTGTGCAGGTGCCAATTATGGTACCCAGCTTACTGAATTTGAGTCCCACGTGTGCCCATGATCAGCTTTGTGGCCTTGGGAATTTACTCAACTTTTCTGTGCCTCAGTTTCCTGCCCTCTTCAGTGAGGGTACAATATTGGTATGAATGTTAGGATTAGTGAGTGAAACCTGGGAAGTATTCATAATGCAGTAGAGATTGGTGGTCTTCTTGCCACCACTGCAAGAGATGTGTGCTGCTGATGTGTTTTTGCGGTGAGATTTCTCTTGATTTGCTCTTTGTTCTACGGCTTTCCTCGCTCTCCATTAGTGCAGTTGCAAGGACCACCTTCTAATTTGGTTGTGTGGAGTTGCCCCAGAGGCCATGAATATGAGGGTGGGAACTAAAATTTACTTAGTTTCTCTGATACCTACTATAGGGACTCAATAGATTTGTATTCTATTTGTTCACAAATAGGTAAGAGAGTATCTGTTGATCCACAGAGAGTCAGGTGCTTGGGTAGATTGGTAAATACTGGTGGTGTGTCCGTTCATGAACTTAACTCTTTCCATGATTCTGGTCACAAACCAAATTGGATGAGAACCGAATCAAGTTCAATAACGAATCAAGTTCAATAGTTAGCTTCAATATTGACCTTATGGGGAAATTTGATTTGGTTCTTGTCCAGTTCGGTTTGTGACCAGAATTGCAGAAAGAATTAAGTTTGTGCACTGAGGCACCACTGTAAACCAACAGAACTCCTGGCCTTGTAGAGTTTACCTTTTAGTGGAAATTGAAATCAGAATTAAGGGGTTTTGTTTTGTTGTGTTTGTTTTGTTCTTGTGGCAAATGAATATGTATTGGTTTTCTGATGCTTTAAAATCTGGCCATCAAAAGATTTAGGGAAGGTAATGTGGCATCTAGTTTAGATTATAAACTTGCTTGGCCACATCAGAAACAGGGGTTGGTCTGAAGAAAAGCTGGTGTCATGGGGCTTAAAAGAGTCAAAACAATCTCATGGGATAAAATATCTGGGGGTTAAAATGTATTCTGCTTTGAATTTGTTGACTTTTCTTTAAAATAGAAAGCATCCCTAAGGGCTTGCTCTCAATCTTCCTGAGTCATCAGAATACACATTTTTGGCATTCCTTCCTGTAACAAGCAGCTCTTTTTGCCATAAACAGCCATATCCTAGCAGTAGTATTTTGGGAAGCTACTCACGATGTGTGTGTCCCTAAGCTCTTGTTTCTCTACTCTGGCTATCCATTTTTTGGAGATATATTTAAAAATGAAAACAAAAGCTCATGCAAACCTAATAAACTATAATTTTGAAAACCTTGATCTTGAGTTGAAATTGTGGCACACTGATTTTGATTCTTGTCTTTGATGCATTGCTTATCCATTCCACTGCCCTGTGATGGGGAGAGTTTCCAAGTGTCTCTCTGACTTTTTCCATTTGGCAGTACATCTGGGCCTGGACCATTCATTTGTGGGTCTGCTTTTTTGGACCCAGGGCTTTGCTGGTGCTGTATCAGGTAAACTGATTGCTGCAAATCAGTCTGATACTAAGGTTTAGTTAAGATTGTCCATTATCCTTCATGTACATTCAGCTGTCAAGGGAACTATAACTAAAACCCTCAACATAAAGGAAGGCAGAGATTCTGATCTAGGAGTGACTTTGTCTTCTTGGAGATCCTTGGCAATGTCCAGAGATGTTTTTGGTTGTCCCAATTTGGATAGTGGGGTGCTGTTGGTATCTAATGGGTAGGGCCCAGAGATGTTGCTAAACATACCACAGTGCACAGGACATCCCTCCCACTCCGATTGTTCAATCCACAGTCAGTAATGAGAATCCCTGCAGGAGGTGAATGGGAACCATTTACTTCTAAATCCAAGAGCTAAAAAGTTGCATTGTGAAAAATGTTCATACCTGCATTGATTACACCACATACAGAAGATCCAAGTTTGTTCTTCAGCCCTATAAATCCCTGTCTTGTCTCGGCCTTGACAGATTGAGCGGCGCTTGGATGCTGTGCGGTCAATGTGCCACCATTCCCATAAGCGTCTGATTGCGTGCTTCCAGGGCCAACATGGCACTGATGCTGAGAGGAGACACGTGAGTATCTGTTGTGACCCAGAGCCCCCTTCCCATGTCTTTCTGAGACTGTTCACTTTCTTGGTTGGGTGGTTTTTCCCAAGCAACATTAACAAGTTGGATTTTAGATTGGTACCTTTTATCCCTGCTCATGCTTATAGCAGTTCCTGACCACAGCGTTTTTCCTGCTTAAGACATTCATTGCCGGGCTGAAAGCCCTGCTCACCTGAAATTTCTCCAGGTGCCTTAAAGACCTGGTGAACAAATTTGTTATTGGTAAGAGAATGACCATGTCAGTTAGGAATCCTTTGGCCAAAATCTAGAATCCTATTCTGAATTGACTTAGGAAGGAGAAGTAATTTATTGACTTGGCTACCGGAAAGTCTGGAGGTTGGGATGGATCTGAAGTAAAGCTGGGTCTCAGTTTCATTCCTTTTCTCTCCTGTGCCTTTGTCAGTATCTGCTTTGTCCATAGACAGGCACTTATGCCTGGTTGCAGTTTGGCCATCGTCAGTGTCCATGGACTTCATGCTTCCTATGCGTAGAGCCTCTCTTCTGGTATTTTTCTAGGAGCTAGAAATCCCTTTCCGTGTATCAAAACACAGACCCCATTCAGGAGCATTCTCATTCCATCTTTACTGCCGTGGGCAGGGGGTGAGGTGATAGGATGCCCTGATAGGTTTAAACAGGTTGGGCCCAGCCCTCAAGCATGGGTTGTGTCTCCAGCTACAGGCTTTCTTGAGACAGGGGTGTGCTCCTAAGAAGAGTCAGGACACTGTTCTAGAGAGGAAGGATGGACTCTGGGAGGGCCATCCGGGGCTAATGCCATTGTATACTTGTACCCAGGGACCACCATTAGAACATTGCTCACTAGGCAGTTCAATCTTTGCTTTTGCAAGTTCTTAGCTTATGAGTGTGTACTCTTCAGACCCATCATATTAAGCTAGGGTTTTACTTGTTACCAAAGGTCTCAAAAGGTAAAAGTAGCATGTAGGTATCTATTTTACCCTTCTGTATTGCCTACAGACACTTATAGGGCATCTTGACAATAGGGCTATTCCTTCTTGCACAATATTTAGGATTCTACAGTTGTGTACGTACAGAGTAGACATTTGCATGTGCCTACGGTTCCAGGAATGCTGCTGCTGACTCAACCCCCAAGCACTAGGCCCAATCCACTGATTCTGCCCCCACCATTCTTTCTTACTGTCTCGCCTTGGCTTCTGCTCTGTTTACTTTTTTTGGAGGAGGTATAGAATCCAGGGGCCCACGCCTGCTAGGTGAGTGCTGTACTACTGAGCTACATCCCCAGCCCTTGTGCTTACCCTCACTGTTGACTCGTAAGGTTCTGTGCTTCTCCATATTCTCCAAGCCACCTCCACTCTTCTCTTCTGGCTTCTAACTAATATGTGTATACCAGTGACTTTGAAACTATCTTCTGTCATGCAAAGGATTCCTACCTTAGAAGCCCATCTTAGCATATACAAATAGTTCTTCCTATTGTGTTGACATCCTTGAATTTTGTTGCCCCTGTTATGCAAACATGAAACTATGAGGTTATCTCATATCCTCTTTATTTTATTCTCCACCCTCCCACAGCTGCCTGACTAGCAAGTCCTGTGATCCTCTCTGTGAATATCTTTTAAACTTGTCATCTCTGCTCTGCCTGCCACACTTGCCTTGACGCAAGACTGGATTACTTCATGTGTGGACTGTTGTAGTCACCGCCTGAGCTTTATTTCCTGCCTTCAGTGTCCCTCCTTTCCCATTTGTCTTCAGCCTAACTGCCAGTCAGTTGCCTGAAATACACATCAATTCCGTCATCCTCCTGCCTAAAAAACAAAACAGACAAAACCCTCAAACAACATTTTAAAAAAAACCTCTTTAGTGGTTTTTATCAGGACCAATTGCATCCTGGAGATATTTGGAAATATATAGAGATAGTCTGGATTGTCATTAGGACTGGAGACACTGCTGGCATCTGAGTGCTGGCAAACCAAGATGTTAATGTTCTGTAGCACCTGTTGAATTAGTTTCACACAAGTGAATGCCCCAAAGTGGCCTGGTGTACTTCCTTTGAAGGTCACTGGCTGCTTCCCATTGCCTGGGGTGAAGTCCCAGCCTTTTTGTATTACTCTACCTTTGTAATTTGGCCCAGTTTTGCCTTAGCTTTTTAATGCTTGCACACTGTTATTCACACTGTAGACTAGCAACCAGTGCCTGTGCCTGTCCCTGTCCTTCACACAGATATGTCCTGTTAACTGGCTGACCACTGCTTTGACCTGGTATCCAGCTGTCACGTACATTCACTAAAAACACATTAACAGTTTGTTAAGCACCTATATTGTGTATGAGTGCTGGAGATACAAAACTAAGCGTTTGTGGTGTTGAAGGAGACATGAACAAGTGGATAGTAAAATAATGGTAAATAAAATATGCACAGGATACTATGGAAGAGCCAAAGGAATTCCAGGGGGGAGGGAGGTAAAGGAGGCTTCCTGGAGAAGATGATAACTAAGCTGTAAAGGAGGGAAACTAGTGGCTGTATTAGGAATATTTCATGTAGCAGTAGCAAAGGTGCTTTGTCTTTGTTTCTGAAATCTAATGCGTGCTTTTTCCTTTTCCAACATCAGTCCAAAGTCCAAAGGTAGGGCTCTGTAGAGAGGGAAAAAGAGTTGCCATGACAGTGCTAGAAGAAAATGGGTAACCATGAGAGAGTGTGTAATAAGGAGAAAGTCACAGCAGGCTCCAGGGCTCTAGAATTCATGACAGGAGCTCCCAGAAGCTCCTGCTCGTGGAAGGGGCAGGAACTGGAGGAAAGCGAAATGGAACTAGTGACCTTCTCGGCTTGAACCTCTACTGACATGGCAAAGCTTATGTTGTAGGCCCTATGGAATCCAGGATTACTTCTTTGTAGTGTAGTTGATACGGATGTTACATTAAGACCTTTTAAGTTCATCCCTGACAAAAGAAAAACTGTTCACCTTTGGGGAACTGGCAGCCCTCTGTCGAATTCGTTGTTGATAGACAGCATCTCCATAAGTGAGCTTGTATGTTTAGCAGAATCTCCTTGTTTATATCACCAGGAAGACTGTGGGTTTGGAAACCACAGAGGGACATAGAAACCACAAAGCTATTTGCATCTGAAATCTTGATTGATACTTGTCAAAATAGACTGATGGACTTCCAGAGTTGCTCAAAGTATATTTCTCTTGATAACTGCTCTTGTCTTATATTTTACTTCCTTTTGAAAGTCAAATTACCATATGTACCTTGATTCACAAATACAATTCTTTCTGTGGTTTCGATCCTAGAATTCATTCTGCAATTCTGGTTGCAACCAAATTGTAAACATTTACATACTATGCTTGCAATTCAATTGTAACCAGAACAGTGGAAAGAAAGAAATTTGTGAACTGAGGTGCCATTGTAGATGAAACATGGGAATTATCTTCTGTTCTCGTATCTTCCTAAAAGTGCGGCAGCTAGAAGTGGCCTCTTTATAGGCGACAAGGAGCCTGTTATTTTATTTATTTAAAAATACCTCTAAAGGAGGGCAGATGGGTTATTTTTAAATTTTAATTTGAGTTGACTTTATAATTACATAGTCAAAATGTAGAAGATAAAACGAAGTTTTCCCCAGCCCTGTTCCCTAGGCACTCAGTATCCTCATCTGGAACCACCAGTATTAGCAGCTTTTAGGGCACCCTTCCAAAGAAATTGTGTCCGGTATAGACCAGTCCAGGCCCAGATGTATACAGGGGAGCTCTTTGGAGTGAGGAGTGATACGCCATGGTGGACTGTGTTATTTGACATGAGTGCCTTTTCTACTGGGAAGGCCACATTACATGTGGAGCTGCACAATTGAAAGCATTTTTTGTTAGCAGGTGATGGTGTTAGTTACAACCAGCCTACTTGTTGTTCTTTTAGACTGCCTCTACTCATATCTGAACTATCAACTAGTAGGACAAGACACCAAATTGGGGCTCAGGCCATCAGGACTGAGGTCCTGCTCTCCTGCCTCTCTCTGGGGTACCTGATCACTTCACTGCAGTTTGAATTATTTGACTATAAAGGTCAAGAGATACTGTGGTCATTGCTGGCTAAAAAATAGATCTCAGGAAAATGATTTGTTTTATACTTGAAAATATTAGAAAAGCTTTTTTGAATATTTAGCTAGATATTTTTAGGTATTTAAAGCTAAATTTTGTGATTATAGACAAGTGAAAATCCAGTTTAAGAATGTTCTAGCAAATGGATATGGTGGTTCATGCCTGTAATCTCAGTACTCAGGAGGCTTTGGCAGGGGAATCACCGTGAATTCAAGGTTACTCTGAGCTACATGTTGAGTTCAAGTCCATGAGTTCAGTTTGGACTACATAGTAAGGGCTTGTCTACAGTTTAAAAAAAAAATGTCCTTGCAAAAGCGTTTTTGAAACTGAGTTCTTTGCTGCATTTATCTTTGATAATCATTTAGAGAGCAAGGTCTGTGCCTGGAACACAGTACAAGTTGAGCATCCCCAATCTCAAAACCTGCAATCATGAATGCTCTGTAATCTGAACGTTTTCTTAGTGCTAACATGATGACTCAAAAGCATTCAAGTTTGGAGCATTTAAGATTTCAGTTTTAAGGGATCTTCAGCCAGTGAAGTGTGTGCAAATATCCCAAAGTCCAAAAAAGCTTCAAACTCTGAAACACTTCTGGTCACAGACTTCAGATAAGTGACCTATAAACCATATGTGCTTGATTAATTAGTAACAATAACAGCAGGAACAACAGAAATAGCAGCTCATGTTTCCCAAGTACATACTATGTGCTAGGTAGTTGATATTGAATGTCTCATTTAGTCACCAGCCCCAACTGACACATGGAGATGAAATCACCCAACTAATTCTTGTGAGATTAGAAATGGAACCAGAACCAGCTCTCTCTTTTCTGTGCAGTTTGCTTGAAAGGAGGAGATCAGTGAATGGTGACAAGAAGATCAAGGAGAAAGGATCCAAACAATAATGAAAAAGAAAACAAAAACAAAAACAAAATCAATGTCTTTTTCCTTCCAGAAAAAACTCCCCCTGACAGCACTTGCTCAGAATATGCAAGAAGCCTCTACTCAGCTGGACGAATCTCTCCTGGGGTAAGTTAGCCCCTGGCAGAGAGTCGTAGAGGGTGGTACACAGCAGTCCTGGTGAGACCAGAGAAACTTCAAGCATGATGGCATGACCCATCTGCCTCAGAGAACCTAGACCTTGTGGAAGAAAGTAGGTCACAACTGCTGCTTTGCTGGGAAATCTTTCCATTAGTGGGAGCCAGGCTGGAGTTGTGAAGTAGAGAGAGCCACTAGTGAAAGTATTGAGCATGTCAACATGTATCCCCCAAGGTTGAATATGAGAACCTCGATCGTTTCCCTGCTCTAGGGGTAGCTCAGATATATACCCTAACAAGTTCTTTTAACTCCAAAGAGTAGCTTCCTTTAGGGTGACCATCAAAATGTTAATGGTGATTATCTTAAAAGAATGTATTTTCTGAATTATTTGTATTTTTTGTTTTAACTTAAAAATATTTAATTCTATTTTGTTAAACTACACTTATTTTAACTGACACATAATTGTACCTTTTGGGTATATAGTAGTTCAGTGCATGTACAAGGCATGTGGATTGTATCAGGGTAATTAATATATCCATCACCTTAGACATTTATATTAACAAATGTGTTGGGAACATTCAAAAGCCTCTTAGTTGTTTTGAACTAACTAATATTAACAAATATTAACAAATGTGGTGGAAACATTCAAAAGCCTCTTAGTTGTTTTGAAGCATGTAACTAATTGTTATCCTGCTGAGCCATGGGATATTATGAATTAGTCCTGTCAAGCAACTGATGCCCATTGCACTCCACTGTAGAGTTTTTCTTTTTCAGCAGTAATCAAATTAAGCCAACTGTGGTGGTGCGCATGATCTCAGCACTTGGCAGGTTGAAGCAGGAGGATCACTGTGAGTTTGAGACCAGCCTAGGCTACCTAGTGAATTCAAGACCAGCCTGGAATATATAGCAAGACTCCCTCAAAACAAAAACAAAAACAGTAGGCATGCATTTTTTAATAAAAAAGTCTGAAGAGAAAGTAGTTTGAAGGAAGGTTTTCATTTCCTACTACCTTCTTATCTAGTGAGACTGGTGTCCTTTAATCCTATCTGCTCTCCCTACTGTCACAAGGGCCCTGCTTCCCTGCTGGGGGATACTTTTCAGTCTATTTCCCAGGATCTACAGTCTTTTCTTTGTTCTTCAGAGGTGAATGCTTTTCTCCCCTTGTGTGCTGTTCCTTTGTCCTGTCTGTGCACCCATATTTGAGGGCACTGGCCCTGGGAAGCAGGCTGATGTGATCCCTGTTCCCGCCATGTTTGTGTTTCCGTGAGCCGGTGCCATTGTCCTCATTCCAGACTGGTGCTGTGTGCCAGCCCTGTGCTGTACTTTTCAGGTTATTGCTTTCTTAATCCTCAAAACCACCTAGAAAGAACGTAATATTCATGTTTCCATTTCGCAGATGATGGTATTGCCCAGACAAAGTAAGAAAATTGAGCTCACACAGCTGTAAAATAGCAAATCCTATTATCAAACTCAGACAACTTAACTATGGCCACCTCTGACCATACTGCATACTTCCTCATGCCAAATGAACTTCACAGATCCCAAAACGGTCAGGGGGGCAAAAAGGGGAAGGAGAAAGAGAGAATCAGAGCCAGTAAAATTACATCATTTGTATGTGTACTTGGTATGACACCATCTGTGATCACAGGAAAAACCAAAAGGAGGCGTGATGTTCATGTAAAATGACCTTTAAATGTTGGCTGGTTACCTCATCGACACAGAAAAGAGCTGGTTTTTACATGAATACCACTGAGGCTGCACTCAGTAACATACGTAAAAGAACATGCCATGGACTTTGTGTATTCTTTAAAAGATTTTCAGAGTATTTTGAGAACACTTAGTTTTTTTTGGTTGTTGTTTGTTTTATTTTAAAGAGAACAAAACAGAACAGAACAAAGCAAATCAGAACAGACCAATGCAAACAATGCAGGACTTCAAAACAAGACAGTAGGAAATCAACAGTGGCTACCAAAATGTCTTTTGTTTTCTTCGAAATAGACAATAATATCATCACACACCATAATATCTAACATAACAATATAATACAAAACCAGTCAAAAGAAGGAAAGTGTAACAGGGTTTTAACACCAGATAGCAGGAAACGAACAATGGTTACTATGTCTCATTTTCTTCAAAACAGTTGTCCATACCATCACAAATAATAAAATCAAATAAAACACAGCAGAATAAAACCAATCAAAACAAAAGAATAAAAGCATGATAGGACTTTAAAGCAAGATGATAGGAAGTCAGCAATGGCTACCATAATGTCTCATTTTCTTCAAAATAGCTGTTCATACCATCACACATAATAAAATCAAACAAAACAAAACAGTAAAACCAATTAAACAAACAAATGAAAGCAGAATAGGCCTTCAAAACAAGATATCAGGAAACCAACCATGATTACCATAATATATCCCATTATGTTCAAAATAGTTGCCAATACCATCAGACACAGTAAAATCTAACGAAAGAACAAAACCAAACCTAACAAAATTATGAAAACAATACAAGAGACAAGACAATAAGAAATTAACAGTGGTTATCACCTTCCCCTTCTAGGTGATTCCTCCCCTATCACTTTTATAATATCTATTGAGAGACACTTAGTTTTTACCTGACACGGGAACCTAATTCATGAGTAAGTTGTGACCTCATCTCATCATCTACTTTCCTCTCTGAAGTCTGTATCTGGAAGATAATCCTCATTTTAGAGCACAGATCTGTTGACTCAAGGCAGTAACTATGTATGCTGTGTGATAGTTTGAAGGTTTTATTGGGTATGACTGTGGTCCTGTCAAAAAGCAAACAGAGCTGCAACCACGTAATAGTCTAGAACGTGTTTAACGAATGCATACTTGATGTGGCGGGTCTTGTTTTTAAAGGAAGATGCTGGAGACATGTGGTGATGCTGAGAATCAGCTGGCTCTGGAGCTCTCTCAGCATGAAGTCTTTGTTGAGAAGGAGATTGTGGACCCTCTCTACAGCATAGCAGAGGTGGGTGCTGGCCCTCGGTGTCACAAGAGCTGAGATTGGCCTGGGCTACATAATGAATGGTTTGTCTTTGTCCAAATATTAATGATCAGAGCCTTTAATGCACATCCTTTTTTGGAAACAAAGTGAAGAACTTGAAGATATATTTTTTGCCTAAGAGAAAAAAATTTGTAAATAAATATTTTGCTTTAAAGTTAAACTGCAACCCTAAAGTATATCCCATACTGTATTTTCTTCCTTCTAGGTGGAGATTCCCAACATACAGAAGCAAAGGAAACAGCTTGCTAGATTGGTTTTGGACTGGGATTCAGTCAGAGCTAGGTAAGATACAGCTGTCAGAATAGCTAGTAATGTATTACGATGTGTCCCACTCGCAGCAGCCATCACTGTCCCCCACCATAGCAAGAGAAAGACAGCTGAGGGCACAAAGTGGATGCTGTCACAAATGCATACCTTTGCTTGGTTGACCAAGTTACAGTCTGTCTACCCCTTTAGGCCTCATTCTCTCCAGCATGGCAGTGGGAATGTTAGAACATCCCATCATTAGTGAGCCAGTAGGTAAGGAAACAAAAACAAAAAGAAAAAAAAACCTGAATAAATATGTTTTACAGAAGAGAAGATAGGATCACCAGTTCTAAGAGCACATGCTTGGGGTGGCAATGTACAGGAATAAATAGTTCTGTGATCCTGAGGATCCTTCCACATTTCAAACCCTGTGCATCCATAATTACTCTTCACAATCAAGAAATGCTGTGCTCTCAAGGACAGGGCTCATGCAACTCTTGTCCCCCAGTCTGCAGGCTGATGACCTGTAGATGTCTTGTTTACAGTAGAGCTAGAGTGATCTGGGACAGGACTGCCACTCTAGCTCTGTCCTCAAAGGAGTTTGAATCAGTGATATATATTCATTTTCTTGGGTATTTAAGGACCGGAGACAGAGAAATGAGCACCTACAGTTTGGGCTTTTCTCATCCTCTATCTCAGTGGTCAACAAGTTTCTGTAAAGGGCCAGAGAGTAAATATGTTTAACTCTGCAATCGAGATGTTCCTACTAGCAGCCATGGAGCTGAGGCTGTAGCTCAGTTTAGATCGTATGCTTACCATGCATGGGTCCCCGGGGTGAGGAAAGGAAAGGGAGATGGAGGAAGAGGGGAGGGGGAGGGAATTAAGAGTATCCATGGACAATGTGTAAATGAGTGAGCATGTCTGTGCTGCAGTAAAACTTTGATTTACAAAAGCAGGTGGTTTCGCTGACCTCTGTTTCATCAGCTCATCTCAGTGCTCATTGCAACTCTAAAGGAGATGTGATTATTTCTGTTTGGCTAATATGTGGTGATGTAACCACCATTGCTGGAGTAGCTGCCATATTCTGTGTTGGGAGCTTTGATCACAGAGATTAGAAAGTAGCTGTAACACTACTCCATTTCCTTGTTTCTTCGCTGCTGTCAGGTATTAGATGTATCACTAATTTTGATCCATTTATTTGAGAAGAAAAGGTCTAGTTCATTAAACGTATGAATCAGTTGTTAAGATATGTCCTGGCTTAAGAAATGTGACAATAAAAGGTCCATTGAGGCACCCATGCACAGTGAAAATGATAAAAGCACAGTTCCTAAATAAGTGTCACTTGATGGACATTTGCCAGATATTGATCTACATACGTCTGTGTCACCTCACTTGCCTCTTAAACAACACTCATTTGTTTATCTTTGTCTTCCACAGATACAAGTTGTGTCAGAATTTTGTGCAGTACCCTGAAAACAGAGGACCCCAGTTTGAGTGGCAGGGGGAATGGGTTGGGTCTAATGTAACATCCCTTGCTGTTTCACAGATAAAGGAGGAACCTGCGTGTATTATCATGCCTTAGAGGACCTAAGTGGCAGAGCTGGGATTCTAACAGCAGTGTCTGCTGTTCATTTGTCATATGCATATGTGTGATTAGCGTCCTGTGTGGTTTGACCAGACCAGGAAGTACAAGGTTACCCCAAGAGAGAATGTTCTAGTGATTATTTAAACAAGTCTGTGAGTGCTCCTGCATTGGATTTGGTTGAGCAATATTATAGATGTTTATCTATAAGAAATTTTTTATATGGAGTACATGTAACCACTAGTAGATTTTTTTTTCTTTTTTCTTTTAAAGAGAATAAAAACAAGTAAAATAAAAGAGAACAAAGCCAATCATAATAAACTATTGTAAGTGACACAGGACTTAAAAACAATATGACACAATGAATGCAATAAAGAACTTCAAAATAAGACAACAGTAAATCCAAAATGGCTATAATAATGTATCTTGCTATCTTTGAAATAGCTACCCATGTGCCATCAGATATAACAAAATCAAATAAAACAAAGCAGATAAAACAACCCAACAAAACAGAGAAAATAATACAGAACTTAGTCTTAATCGCTTAATTAAGCAAAGTAGGTATAGAAAAAACTGAAGCAGTTGAATTTTTTTTTTACTTTGACTTAATCCTGTGATTTCTCCCAGTACAAAAATCATAAAAACTAATATTATCTACACATATATGTATTTGTTCTGTCTCTGCCAGTTCTGCAACTCAGGTTGTGTTTAGCATCACAGATGAGGCAAGTGAGACACAGATGTTGTCATTAACTGGGTCACATAGCTGGTCAAGTTGGAGCCTTTCTGAAGGGTGGAGCACTTGAGACTCAAATTCACACTTACTGGAAACACCGTTGCCAGTGTTGCTGTGTGGGCTTGCTAAAGTGTTTCTGTGTATCACACACAGTAGGCGTGAGAAAGGCATAGAAGATGATGTTTGCAGGCAGTATAGTATTCTGAGAAGTTTGATGAGTTGCTAATGTGTTTTCATGCTGCATCTTCATAATATCTGTGTTTAAATATGAAGTGTTAAATGTTCCACAACACCAGATATATCATCTACAAACAGGAGGCCAAAGCACATTTAAGAACCAAAAAAGAAGTTATAGGTTATTCCCCCCATCTCTCTACTATAACAATTTTTTAAATGCTTTTATCAGTATATTTTTGAAGCTTGACTTTTCCCTGCTAAAAATAACCATAGGTCACAGATCATAGGAGGATACTTCATAAAGGGGTCTTTAAGAACAGGAATTTATCCTCAAAGGCATAGGAACATTTTAAGTCAGTGCAGGAGAACAGAGAGTCTATAATTGGGCACTGTAGGAAAGGCGCTCATGGATTGCTTTTTAGCGGGATCTGTATGAGACAAAACGTGCGTGTTGTGATCATGCAAATTTCTATCCCTAGTGCTTGGAGGATTCTGTCTTGGTGGGAAGTTGATGTCTGTTTACCTGCTTCTGTTCTTAGAGAATAAACTCAAGCAGCTGTCCTGGGCACTGACCCCTAGCCTGGGGAGAGTCTGTTTTGAGGCAGGCTCTATCTCCTTTGGTCCTTGCTCCTTGAAGTTGAGATGTCCAGTAGTCCTCAGAGGCTGGCTGTCCCTTTGGTTTGCAGGTGGAACCAAGCCCACAAATCTTCAGGCACCAACTTCCAGGGGCTTCCATCAAAAATAGATACCCTGAAAGAAGAGATGGATGAAGCTGGAAATAAAGTAGAGCAGTGCAAGGTACAATCCCCAAGAAGTGTGTATGTTTGTCAGTATTTCGCTTTTGCAAATGATAGATAAGGTCAAATGTTTCAAATTAGGTTTTATACAATTCCTATCAGATTCTGGATGATATAAAAATAAGTTTTTATATTCTTTCTCTTCCAGTGCTATATTATAACCAAAATACACATTTTATGTACAAAAAGTATTCTTAGAGATGAGTTCTATGTACTCCTCCTATATGATTATTTTAAAAATTCAAGGAGGCTATTTTGAAATCGTGGTTAAGCTTATTTGACATAAAGAGGTAAATGGGCAAACGCCACAACAAAACATATCATAAAGTTACGACAATTAAAATAATGCACTACTAGTAGATATAAAAATAGATCAGTAGAAATACAGGTTTTGTAGAACAAGATTTAATGTGTAGTAATTTAGAGATCGTATAAACATTGTGAAGGAGTATTTTTAAATGTTCTTAGGAAAATTGATTTGTAACTTGGAAGAATTATGTCATGAATTAAATTTTAGATTAATTAGCTGGTGAAATGATACAATTTTTGATACATCTATGTAGTTAGGTATTTATTCTAAATGTTATTTGAGGTGGTAAAGACACAGATCTTTGACCTTAAGCTAATTGACCTTTTTGCTCTTATTCACATTTCCAAAAAGTCTGTTAATTCTACTAGATGATGCTAGGAATGTTATATTTTAGTGTATTCAGGTTGTACAATAATTCCCTCTTCAAGAGAGTAAATCTTGATCTATTAGCTGAACTGTTTAAAACTATATTATGTAGAAATTAAAACTGAACTTATAGAGCCATACTTTTATGCTTAAAGTTTGTTTGTTTATTTATTTATGGATTTGTTTTTATTGACCAGGATTTAGAGCATGGGATGGAAAATGTCACCTTGGGGAACACCCACTCCCACCCCTGGGGAATGTCCATGCTCATCTCCCTGGGATGGTCTTTGAAGCGTTTTCTTTTTCTTGACACTTCCTTTGCTAGCAGCAGCCTTTTCAGGCCCACTGCTGCCTGGCTGTTCCTTGGAAGAAAATTTTCTTCTTTTCTTGGGGATACTCGTAGCTGTATCTTCTGGTTCAGTAGCTATTTCCTCTTTGAGTAAAGACTTCTTTTTGGGTGGATTTGTGCTGCCACTAGCTGTCTCTTCCAGATCACTATTAATCAGCTCTTACTTGAAAAATATTTTTTTTTTGAGGGGGTTTAGAGATATAACAACAGACCATTCTGTTTTTATTTTTAATTTTAAGAAAAATAAATTTTTTTATGTTAATTTGTTTTAATTGGTTAAATCACTCATTTGCTAAGTCATTAATATGCCCAGGTGGAATTCGAACTTGGGTCCTCCTGCTTCAGCCTCTCAGAGTGCTGGAATTATATGCCTGTGCTAACACACTGCTTTTCAGTTGCTAGACATTTCATCCGGAGCTGTTTTTATCATGTTTGATGTAAGAAGATGCATTTATCTCTCACTTCTTTTTAATGGCCTTCTTTTTAATAGTCTTCTCTACTTCCCCAGGATCAGCTCGCTGCAGACATGTACAACTTCATGGCCAAAGAAGGGGAATACGGCAAATTTTTTGTTACGGTGAGCACCTTCCTTTGACAGAGTGTTAACACATTGTAAAATATTGAATCACTTTAGCTTTTTTGCAAAAGAGTTTTAGTTTTGCTCCCATTGTATGTGTGTCCATCTGACGCTAACGTTACTTTTGTTTTTGAATGTGGGTCTGTTCTCAGTTATTAGAAGCCCAAGCAGATTACCATAGAAAAGCATTAGCAGTCTTAGAAAAGGCCCTTCCCGAAATGCGAGCCCATCAAGGTAACGTAACCTGTGTGCTGGCCGATGCTGCCTTCTTGCTCTGCCCCTCTGCCTTTCTTCTTCGCTCTGACTCTTGCATGCGTTTCCTTCGGATAGCCTCTGCCTACCAGGGTACTAGTTCCCAGCACAGTTTCATCGTTCTTGCTGCATTCTCTAACTTTTTCCAAACCCAAATTAACACACTAATGGAACATTTGCAGTTCTTCTGAGACCTGCAGTTGAAGGGAAAACTGGCCCCTGTGGGAATTTTTACTTTTATGGACTTGAAAATTCTAGCATCTAATATCCCTTTCCAAATCAGTTATTTATTCCACAGGGCTGAAGTTTTTCCCTGTGACTCTGAGAGCATCCATTCTAGAGGACACAATTTAGACTTTTCAGAGGAAAATTTTACAAGCCAGTCACTGATGTCCTATCATCAGTCACTTAATAATAGTATTGAATCACATGACCATAGCCACTTCTTTCAGACCTATCCTTGTCTTAAGTACTGATGTTTTACTCACTGTATTCAAGCAATTTTTCCCCTTCCTGAAAGCTTTTGATTCTATTTCTCTGTGACTTATCACTGGGTGTTTACCAGCGGACACTAGCAGAAGTTACTGAGGAAGAAATTGTTTTGTCGTCTTTGGGTCTAGTAGCATATTAGTTGTTGCTTAGTAGATCTTGGTTTCAGGACCCTTTGTGGATACCAGAATCCTGGGTTGCTCAAGTCCCTTGTGTAAAATAGTGTAGTATTTGCATATAACCAACACACATTCTTCAGTACTTTAAGTCATCTCTGGACTACTTATATAGTACAATGTAAATGCCACATAAATCAGGTGTTACATAGTGTTGTTTAGGGAATAATGATAAGAAAATGAAATTTGTACATGGTCAGTACAGGGCTTTTTTTTTTCCTAAATTTAATGGGCAGTTGGTTGAATCTGGGTGAGGACCCCTCCTATACCAGGGACCAGCTGTCATTGTTCCTTGTGATTTGGAGCTTGCTTAGGTTCCCCCCTGCAGAACCACTGCCTTTGAGCTGAAAGGGGCTCAGGCTGGGAGGCCAAGTGTGGTGACCATGTAATCATGAAGGAGGGTAGGTGGGTGTGTGGTGTTCTATGGATGTGTGCACACTTGGACCCTCAAGAATGCCATGTCTTTTTCCCTAAATTTTTGGAGGATCTAACAGGATCTGGTGCCTGAAACATTTTGGATTATGAAAGACAATTCTCTTGCCTGACTACATAATCAGGTCTTCAGCAGTGTCAGGTATAGTGTGTCTCATTCTTCCTAGGACAAGCTGCCCTTGTCTATTTCATTTCATGGTTGCTCAAATCCCTTACGTTTAATGATATTGAGTCACAGTAGTAGACGTTCAGCCTTCCAGGGAGCAGACTCTTGCCAGAGCGCTAAGACAGGAACTCACTGTGGGTTGGGCCCTGTGTGAAGCAAAATAGTAGACCTCATTGTTTTAGTCTTTGGTGGCCTCAAATCTGATTGGGAAGACTGGGCTAATAAGCAAAGATAAGAGAAGATTGCGTTTCTGGCAGCCCCATTCTACATTTTTCTCACGGCTATTTTCCCTAGAGAAATACATCAGTAAGTCCTGGGCACAGGGAAGTGTTCAGAATGGAACAGGAGAGCTGGAGTGTGTGGTCCAGGTTCTATGGTCACCCCTTCCCTGAGCTGGAAATCACTGCCTCCCACCTCTGGTTGTCATCCTGCCTTGGTACTGTTGACTGCTCCCCCGCCCCCCTACTCCCCCGTGGCTGCATTTAATCTCCATTGCTTTCAGTTTTCTGGGAGGCTGTTAGGGTGATTCCTTTCCACCTCTATGGTTTGACCACCTTTCCACCACTGCTTTGCAGTCTGGTTTCTATATACAGTCTGTCCCTTGCCCACTACAATTTCCAAAGGACCAAGTGACGTCTTGCCAGAAACTGGTATTTGATGTGGCCTAAGTCATCTCTTCCTCCTTACTTTTTTTTTTTCCCACCATCATTTCACTTGTCTTCTTTTATTGTTAGAACTCTGCATTTTTCTAGTTCTGTCCCTGCTCCAGAAGTCTACCTTTTTTCTGAGGTCTATTCTCACACCTGTGTTCTCACTTCCTGGTTTCCTCCTCCTCTTTCCCCTGGACCTCTCTTGTTTTGACTTTCCCTTCTCACTTGTGTCCCTTGGTGTGGCCTCACCTTCTACTTCAGGGATCTTACACAGCACACCCCTCATAATCCCCGTGCCAACTGTTGAATTTCTTCCTTGTCACTCTAGTGCTTTGAAACTTCAGGGCTGTCTCCCCTTCATCTCTCATCCCTGTTGCCAGGTTCTTGCATTTTTCCCAGCACTCTGTCTTCCTCCCTGTCCCTGCTGCCTCCTCCACCTCCTCATGCTCTTGTCGCCTTGTGCGAGGGCTGTGGGATAGAGTAAGTTTCTAGACTCATGACTCCTGATCTTTTCTCAGCCTGTTGCTCCCCACAGATGTGCTTGCCTGCTTCTTGGCCTGTTGATCCTATCAGTCTCACGAGACTCTCTTCAAACTCACTTCCTTAGAAAAGCCTTCTCCGATGACTGAAACCAGCAGTGAACTCTTTGCAGCCTGAATTGTTCTTGCATCAGTAGTCTACACCAGAAGTTGCACACAGCCATATATCATTAAGAATTTTTTAAAAAATTATATCATTATTTAAAAGCATTATTTACATGCTTTTATGTAATAATCCTGATTTGTGGCTTCTTTTAAGTTTAGGCTGGGGATTTAGCTAAGAGGCATAAGTAAGTGCCTGCCTGGCAAGCTCAAGGTCATGAGTTCCATTCCCAGTACCAAAACAAAACCAAAATATAGTTTAGAAGATGGGTGACACCAGGTCTTCTTCCCAAGTGATCCAAAGAGGAAGCTGCCTCTTGTAGACCAGAGGCTCCTGACCTGATTCATGCCCCAGTGACCGCTTTCCGACCCCTAAAGATAATTGGGTTTGCGGCCCTTGCCTATACCATTTACCTGCTGTGATGTAGCAAACATGTCTTGTCTGTCTTGTCAGCGACTGTTATATGTTAATGTGGATGCCTTGTATTTCCTTCACCATTCATTTGCTCTCATATTGAGGGTGGGGTCCGTATGAACTTGGTGTGCCCACTGCGTGTAGTGGGCTTGGCACATAGTAGGTCTGTTATTCAAGAAGCCAGCATTTGAAGTAGAGTTTGCCTTAGGAATTGTCTCTAGGTCAGTGGTTTTCACTTGTTCCCTTGGCCAAGACTGCATCAAGGTAGTTCTTGTTAGAAAGCAGACAATTGAAGTATGACCTTCTAGGATCTCAAGGTCAAATATGTGGTGGAGGTGATGGCATGTGTTGTGGTAGAATTCTCCTGAGTGATTCTGATGTGTCCCTTAAGGGAAGGGTCACAGGCCTCTTGCCCTGTGTTCAGAATCATTGCTTTAGATGAAAGGGATAATAAAGTATTTCAGATAAGATCTGGCCTGTAAGAGGCCTGTCACAGAGCCCTGTTTTCTGGAAAGGGCCAGGCCCCAGCTGCTTTTTCTGTGAGAAATTCCACTGGACTGGGGCTGAGCCACAGCTGAAGAAGTGTGCTCTGTTTTTGTCCACCACCTCCATTCCCCTCAGCCCTTTCTCTAGTCTTTTTACTCACTGCTCTTTCCATCAGTTTTTAACTTCTTGTGAGCTCTTAGGCCCCTAGACTTGTGGGATTTTGATGTCCGCAAACTGTGTGGTGGGCCCTGGCCTCCTGCCATTAGGAAGGGAGAGTAGAAGAGGACACAGTAGGGTTGGGGTTGCCTGCTTCAATCCAGGCTTCCAGGAGCAGAATGGTTGAAGGACAGTGTCCTTCAGAGGTGCACAGAAGAATGTGCACTCCTTTGGGGATGGACAGGACAGAATTTTTGTCTCGGAGTGTTTTCCACCAGCTGTTTTTGCCTCTTTGGCTTCTGTACACTTTAGCACTAGATCTCTGCAGTGCAGTTCCCACAGTCAGACCAAACCCAGCCATGTGCTTCGCATTTTCTTTCAGTGTATCCATTTTCTACATTCTTCTGTTGGACAGCTTTATTATATACCTTTGTGCTAAGCATTGCCTTTCATGGAACAAAGCTAGGTGTATGATCTGGAAGAAGTAAGGTGCTGCTTTACCGCTGTCATCACAACTTTCTGCCTGAGCTGCTCAGGACCTGCAGATTCTGTGTTTTATTGGGGGCTTTTTTCTCTACTCAAAGTTTTGGGGCCTGTTTGGGGATGGGACATTCTGCATGTCACAGAGGTGTTGCTTCTGTTACGTGCTTACCTTGACCCCAGTCTTACATGACAAATGCTTGACTTGTGTTTGAAATGTTAAGAAATTATTTCTATTTCCACTTCAAAGGAGGCTCTTTCTTGTCCTTTAGGAAGCCAGTGCTGCTTTGCATGGCTAGAATAAATTTCTTTCAATGCGAACACTGTACTCAGTTGCATCCTGTGTTTTAAACAAGGCCGCAGGCCCCATGCCTGTGATGGCGAATTTTGCAGGTGTGGAGCTTTACTGCCGCTTCTGCTCCAGCTGGAGTTGGGTGGTCAGGAGGGGTACGCTTAGCGCTTTCTGTTTCACCAGTGAATGTCCCAGCTTGTTGCATAGTCTGTGCTTCAGTGAACAGTGAATAACAAAAGCCAGTAGTACAGATGTCTGCCCTTTGCCCAAAGCCTCAGTTACCAATCTGCTAGAAAATCCTCTTTGGTAGTTTGGGGAGAAAGTATTGTGGTGATGCATGAAGTTGTCAGGTATTTTACTGACCAGTTTGCCACTGCAGATAAGTGGGCGGAAAAGCCAGCCTTTGGGACGCCTTTGGAAGAACACCTGAAGCGAAGTGGGAGGGAGATTGCACTTCCCATTGAGGCCTGTGTCATGCTGCTCCTGGAGACCGGCATGAAGGAAGAGGTAAGGGGCACCTCAGGGGCTCGTGTGCATATCTCTGTGCCCTTTCTCTGCCCAGCCCACCCCACCTGTATTGCACACACAGTTGCATTGCGTAGCCCAGTGGTTTTCAGACTTCTGTCACCAAGACCAGCATTTCATTAATGAGAGCCTGTGTGTACAATGAAGTAGGCTTCAGAGTATTCACTACTGGTAGTATACTCTGATCTTTGTATTTCATTTTAAGCTCTGACTTATAACAGTGGGTTTCATGATGCATTATTGGATCAGAGCCTCTATGAGTTTTAGTTTTACTAAAGCTCTATGAGCTTTAGTGTTTAATAGTAAGTATCTGTGGCATGATTCATACATTTGCATAGTGTTATGCAAATTTTTTTGAAGACTGTGCATTTGTATACTTTATTTTACAACCTCTTACCCCTTTCACCCCCCAAAAATCCCTTGAATCAAGCAGGGCAGTTCTTCTTCCTCTTGTACGGATAAGGAAGTCAGCAAACAAGGAGTTCAATACTGGGTCACAGCCAGAATCAAAATGCAAGCCTATTTTTTCCTTTTGAAAATTGTTTATTGGAATATAATATACTTCACGGAAATTATACATATTGCAAGTGAACAGCTGGATAAATTCTCACAAACCTAAAACTCACCATCTAATCAACACTCAGATTAAGGAATACCCCAGAAGCTTTCATCTTGGATCATTTTCACTCTAGGAGACATTTGGCAAAGCCTCAAGACAGTTATGATAACAACTGGGACAAGAGGGCCGTACTGGCATATAATTAGGTGAAGACCAGTATTAGGAGTTTATCAGGCTTGGGGCTGGGGATTTAGCTCAGCAGCACAGGTGCCTACTTGGCAAATGTGAGGTCCTGGTCTCTGGACCAAAAAAAAGGGAGTTTACCAGGCTCTGGATCTTAGAGATGAGTATATGGGTATATGGAAAAGGATTAAATAAAGACAATGCAAATATGGTTTGTGGGGAGTCTGAGAAGGTCAGAATTCTATTGGAACTAAGATAAGATTTCTCTGGATTACTTGCATTTATTGGGTTCTTTACAGTTCAGGGAAGTATAAGAAGTGGGGGTCATCTCTGAAGCAAAAACCTGAGAAAATGAGCATGGCCTTGAGAAGTTAGAACAAAGACATGTAAAGCAGTGAATCTTGTTAATTAAGAGAACTATTTGATCTCTAAGGAAGACAGGTTTTTGCTCTGAAACTGGGAGTGTCAGGCCCCTCAGATGCAGTCTTATGCCTTCAGAGGCTGTGAATATGAGCTTTTTGAACACAGCCAGAGGTCCCTTCATGGTCAGCAACTTAAACCTTACACAGCCTGACCTTCAACAGACCAGGATCTACACAACCTATAGTGTACAGGATACCTTCCCACCCCCTAGAAAGAATCATCCAACCTAAAATGTCTTGGGTTGAGACTTCATGCTGATATCGAAAAAGCTTGAGGTTGAGAAACCAAGCATAGATTAACTTTGCTGGAAACTGAAGATGTCTTAACTCCTGACTCAGATCCTTTATATTCCTACCTGTCTTGGTGGACCCTTCATATGTTCTTCTCTCCTTTTCCTGGAACATTCAGAGCAAGTAATTAGCAGCCTTGTCCAACAATTATACTTAAGATGTCAATATTTTTGCATGCCTGTAATCCCAGCACTTGGGAGACTGAGGCAGGAGGATCATTGCAAATTTAAGACCAGCCTGGGCTACAAAGTGAGCACAAGGCCAGCCTGAACTACACACTGAGACCCTGTCTGAAAAAAAACAAGATGTCAGTACTTTTTAAAAAATTCCTAAATTAACAAAAAATCCATGGCAGTCAGTGTTATAGAAGTGTAAATCTTGTGGAAGAAAAAATGCTTTTTGATAATACTGTTCTGACAGGTATTTTAGTAAAGGGACAGGGCAAGAGTTAGCAGTGATTAAAATGGATTGCTAGATACCAGTCACTGTACTCTAGGTGTGAGTCTGGGCCTCTTTCTTCCCCCACACAGCACTGTGGAGTGTGACCCCTGATGCAGATGGAGATGTGCTACAGTTCCATCAGATTCTGCTGTTTCATGAAAGACTCCCAATTTGCCCTTTATGCTAATGGATTTTCATTGTCTTTAGGGCCTTTTCCGAATCGGGGCTGGTGCTTCCAAGTTAAAGAAGCTGAAAGCGGCTTTGGACTGCTCCACTTCTCACTTGGATGAATTCTATTCTGACCCCCATGCTGTGGCAGGTGAGCCCAAAGGAATTTCTGCAAATTGAGCTGCCTTCAGAATGGTGGGCCAGTCCTGTCTCTGACAGATTGTGAGTTAAAAGTCCAATTTTAATTAAAAGTTTAATTGGTGGAACAAATTTTTTTTCTGATAAAATTCCCTAATGTATACTGTAATACAAACATACCCATGATGTCTATTCTTTTTGTTTGATTTTGGTTTTGTGTCTCCCCACTGCAACCCATTAATAAGTAAAGATGAAGGTAATTTACAGAGCAAGTATTTTGGAGAAATTCTTGGATTTCTTCCCTCCTTTCACACTGTAATCCAAGTCTGCCTGAAGAAATGATGTCTGTTAAGAGGAGGATTTTAAACCTAATTTTATTTTTTGTTGAAAGCTAATTTTATTTTCATTGTGTTTTTGTAAGGCAGACTGAATGTCTTTTGTGAGTGTTCCATCCCTAACCATTCCTGCCAGATTATGATTTGTTTCGTACAGTTTAGAAGATTGTAATTGAGATAATTTCACATTGCAAAACAATATATCCAGAGATTTCCAGCATTATTCCATTTCATATTCAAAGAAAGTATTCATGGTTTCAGGTGCTTTGAAGTCCTATTTACGGGAATTGCCTGAACCTTTGATGACTTTTAGTCTGTATGAAGAATGGACACAAGTTGCAAGGTAAGTTTTAAATACAGAGTTTTAAAAGTTAAAAGAAACAATGAAATACTGTGTCCTTTCGTAAGTTATTTTACCCTCAATATATAACTTAAATGGTATATTTGTTAAATAATATGTATATGGATTCTATCTACTTTTAGAATGAACATATTGAGAGTTACCATTAATAGTGTAATGGGTCATGGATTATGCATTAGTTTACATTCCTGTGGTTTAGATGTTTGAAGATACACAGTGGCAGCCACAATAGTGAATTGGTTCAGCTCAAATTCCTTTATATTGAAGAAAGCCCTGTAACTGGAGACAAGTGTGATACTGTAACTGAGTGGCAGTGTGGCTGTCAAGCTTACAAGCTTAGCTATGCAATAATATAATGAAGACATTATTAACAATAATAGTCTAATTAAGTATTTACTGTGTGCTAAGAACAGTACGACTCTTTAGACCCATTACCTTCTGTAATCCTTAAATAAGAGGCAGATATTGTACTTTATAGGTGACAAAACTGGGGCATGGGAAGCAGCACAGTCAAGGTAGTAGCAAGTAATTGGCAGACCTAGCTGTGGACCCAGGCACGTCTGACACAAAAACTGTGTTCCACTCTTTGTTGCTTCTGTGCCCCATCCTTACTCTCTTGATCGTGACTGACTTCTCCTAGATACCTAATTCCTAAATCCTAAGAGACAAAAACAAACCACTCCTCAGCTCCCATCTTCTTCCCCCATCTGCAGATGCTATCACATTCCTATCAGGCTGTGATGAGCTGTAGGCCATTTCTCCTGTGATCATTGGTCATGTCCTTAGGCTTTGAGTTCATCCAGATGTTTAGATCTGAGTTTTTCTTTGTAATTGTGGAACAAGAGACGTTGTGCTGGTAGGTGGCGAGGGTTTTAAGTTTAGAGACAAATTCTTAGTTGTGGTATTTTTGGAACACAGACTAGACCTAGCTTGGGCTTGAGTTAAATGGTACTGACAATCCTGTCCAGATAGAAGATTGTCAGATTCCTTTCCTTGGGTAACTTCCTTTCTTCCTCCTGGCCTTTACTTCTCTAAATCTTAAAAATTTTCCCCTGACAGTAAAAGGAGATGTTATAATTTTAAATCTAAAATGTTCCTGAAAAGCCTCTTGTGGGAATTTTGGAAAGCAATTGGATCATAAGGGCTCTCACTGTAATAGTGGATTAACATATCAGCCAGGCTCTAATTTCTATGCCTCACTGCTGGGCAGCTTGAACCACAGTGGTACATACATGACTGTAGCATTGGGTGTTTTTTTGTTTCAAATTTTATTTATCTTTGTTTTTAGTTTTTTTTTGGATAGAGTTTTGCTCTGTAGTTCAGGCTGGTCTTGAATTCATTATGTAGTTCACCAAGGAATAGCAAGTTTCCACTGGCTTGAACCACCAGTGGTGCATTGAGTGGAACATTTTAGGGAGTGGGGCTTAGTTGAAGAGAGTGAGTTGTGATGGGTGATACTGGGGACTGCATCTGTCTTGTCCCTGGCCCCTTCCTCTGGCTCTCACAGCTCTGCTTGCCAGTTGCCATGTGGTGAGGAGCTTTTCTCCACCATACCCTTCTGCCTGGATGGGTCTCTCTTGAAGCCTGACAAGGATGAGCTATACCTTCTGGAATTCTGAGTCAGAATAGGTATTTCCTCCTCTTTTTCTCGGATTTTATTCACACGATGGAAATGCAATGACAGAGGATTCTGTCTGTTGGTCTGTTGCTTCTGTAGTTGTGAAGTACCAACCGGGCCTCCACCCTGGTGAAGTATGGGTACGTTTAGCTGTCCTGTACCTTACCACAGAGTATGGTCAGCTCCTAGCACTCTTTTGCTTACTGGGCAGAGCAGTCTGTGCTTTGCAGGATCTGCTGTTTCTCTGTCTGGTATTTCTGCAAGTTTGTGTGTTGGATCTCTGTAAGTGCAAGAGTTTGGTTAACTGCTCACAACAGAAATAGGTTTCTCAGCCCAAAGGCTTTGAATAGTCTTGAGATCAAAGGGGAATACTGGAGGTCTGGGTGCTTGGGGGAACTTGGCAAATGATCTGTGGCCAGGCTCACATGGAAGAAGGTATCTGGGCTCCACAAAGCCAGCATTGATACGTGCATTTTCTAGACAGAATTTTCAGTGGTATCTTTTTTCTAGTGTCAAGTGTTCATTGATTTAGGTAGCTTCAAATAATTATGCCCTTGAGGCTTTGAAATCATTCCACAGAACCAACACCCTTACTCTGTTTTGCAAATGAGGAAACTGAGTCTTGGTGAGAGAAACTACCTGCTCAAATTAAACAGAGATTTAGTTGAAATTTGACTCCCAATTTATTTATTTCTAAAATCTGTGCTTTTTTTAAACTTTGGAAAGCACCAATGGTGACATCAATGTTAATATAGCAAATGTTTTAGTTAGCTTTCCATCACTATGACAGAATACCTGAAAAAATCAGCGTAAAGGAGCAAAGGTATATTTTGGCTCATAGTTTCAATCCCTAGTAAGTTGGTCCCAAGCCCCTTCCTCGCTGTTTCCCAGCTGTCATGAGATGAACAGGCCTCCTGTGCTCTATGCCTCCTCCACCATGATACTCTGTGCTTCACAGATCCAGAGCAACCAGATCAGATTCAGTGGTTCTGTTCAACGTTGTCCTTATGGGAAAATGTGATTTGGTTCTCATCCAATTCAGTTTGCAACCAAAATTGTGGAGAGGGTTGAATTCTTAACCAAGGTACCACCATATAGAAATGTGATACTACAGGTATCGGTAAAGTATTCTAATAAATTTCATAAACAATTTTTTCTCAGTGTGCAGGATCAAGACAAAAAACTTCAAGATTTATGGAGAACATGTCAGAAGTTGCCACCACACAATTTTGTTAACTTTAGGTATGTATGATTGGCATTCTGCAAATTGAGCTATCATGCTACAGTGACTCTGGAATAAAAATCTGTTTAATTCCAACAAGGAGGCCATTTAACTCAGGCATACGTGGCACATTTACAAAGTAATATGATACAGCTGTGAGTGGGATTTATGTGTATTATTGTGGTGCATATGAAGTATCAGTATCATATCTGGCAGTAATATATACATTGTCTTGCAGATAGCTGGGTATGCTAGGTTTGAAGTCTGAATTGTCCAGCATGTAAATTGCAAAGTAAACCAGCTGTTATACTTTCAGTATTATCTTTCGTATAAATAAAGCATTAGTCATTCTACTACGAAGATTGTATTACTTTCGTCAGTAATTGTATTTCTAAGAAAATTTACCAAAAGACAACCTTCTGGAATTTAACTACTGTTTTTACATTGACTTAACATATAACTTTGAAGAAGCATAGAGAAAAGGGGGAGTGATGACTCCAAAGAATAAAGACATTTAAAACCAAACAGGAAATTTTCTAAGAGGACTTACTTAAAAACGAGTATTATGCCTGGGGCTATAACCTGACCTTAACTTTATTCTTGGTCACTCTCACTATGCTAATCTACTCCTTTTCACTGCCTTAAGTATCAACCTGGTCTTACGAGTGGGTTGGTATTTGCAATGTCTCTTATTGACTAATTTAATACACCCAACCTAGAATTAAACATACTCTTACTTATCCAGTGTGTTACAGTGGGAACTCATTTATAATTCCTAGTATAATGGGATTTTACCTTTTGGTTTATTTATTTTAGTCTGTAATTTTTGCTGATTTTTTTTTTTCTTAAGTCTGGAATACATTCCTATGGTTCAGAAATTTAAAAGTGGGTCACGTATGTCAAAGGACACTTCATACTGAAGTCCTGGGTCCAGTTCCCAGCACTGCAAAAGAAAACAAAATTCAAAAGCTATATATTGAAAAACTTCCTTTTCCGTCTCCCAGCCACCTGTTTTCTCTCCTGGGATACAATCAGTGTTCACTTTCTTGTGTTTTGTCTCTGCAAGAGTTAATGGTTACAAAAATACATACATACATATGTACAGACAGTACTGCATGCATATTCTTTTTACCTGGCTACTTTTATATCAGATGGTGGTATATATTATATACATCATTTTCCCTTTTGCTTTCTTTGCTTAACATCTTAATTTCTTTGCTTAATACATCTTGGAGATTTCCTGTATCAATGTGTAATAATTATTGTGAGGCATAGTACTCTACTATATGGATATACTATAACTATTTAACCAGCTTCCTATTGATAGCTGTGTTCTTAGTGTTTTTTATACTATTGTACTTACGCAGCAGAGCATGTGATAAATTTTATATGATAAATAGAATATTTTCATCATCACATATAAAGCATTTTCATGTAATTGCCTTTAAGCAAGGTAGCTGAACCTTTTTAAACAGCATATTTATATTAAATATGTATTGAGCCCACAATTAGTTACACTGTAATTTATTTAGGGATGGCATAGAAAGGATATACAGGAGAAACAGATTAGGAATATATAGCAAATCGAGGTTAAATGATTGATCTTCATTTGAGCTATTTTTTCTTTCTAAGCTCTCATTAATCTGTTTTCTGAAACAATGTATAAGAAATTTATAAAGTTCCTTATCTGAGGTAGATTCTAGTTTAATGAGCTCTGTATTTAGCACCTAAGCAATTGGAGATAGAGCACTGGGCAGTGAAGAGAAAATCGCTGCAGCTATTTCAGAGAAAATGCCCTGTTCTTTTTTATTTCACAGGTATTTAATCAAGTTCCTTGCAAAGCTCGCTCAGACCAGTGACGTTAATAAAATGACTCCCAGTAACATTGCAATCGTATTAGGCCCTAACTTGTTATGGGCCAAAAATGAAGGGTGAGTAGTCTTTGCAAACATCATGTTTTGAGTAGGAACATGACACAAGAAGTTCTGGTTTAAGGTGCATAACATGGTGTTTTGAAGTTGATTTTCCCATTCAGTGGACATTGTAAGGTTCCATATGTGAGCTGAGTGCTATTGCAGATACTAGTGACAGAAAGACATGAGACATTGTCTCTGTCTTCAAGGAACTCCCTGCTCTTAGTCAGTAGGCGCCTCAGTGGCTTCAGTACAGTAATAAGATAGACTGATGTATGTCTGTGTGTGGGTCTGTATGACACTGTAAAGGAGTGGAACTCCACCACCTTAATTAGGGTCTTTGGCTGTGCCTGGGAATCAAATTGACATAAAACAGACTAATAGGAAGAAGGCAGGCAGGTTTTTATGTGTATGTATATATGTAGGACCACGTATAGAAAAATGAAGACCTAAAGAAGCAGTGAGAGCTGAGTACTTTTATATTAAGTTGGACAAAAAGTGTACATTGTGATAGTGAGACAACATAGAAGGACTTGGGCCAGAGCTGTTAATTATAGAAATGTAACTAGGAAGATAGGGATTAATGTAGCAAGATTTGTTGGTATAGATTTCTACTGACCTCGACACCCTGTTGCTGGTGATAAAAATGCTCGTCCCTTCTCCTGCTGGGGGAGGGCATTTTTACCGCCTGCTTTTCAGAAGAAAAAGGAGAGACAGGGTACTCTTCTTGTATGTGCTGTTTTTAAAAATGTTTTAACTAACCCATATGCTATAGGGCCATGTTTTGGGGTGTCATAGTTTGCTCTACTTCTGTATCACTGATGTAGGAGGAAGGGCAGCAGACATGAAGACAGGTAATACAGCCTGGGAAGTTCAGGGCAAACGATGGCTTAGTAATTGCACTGGGCTTTTCGCTTGGTGCATGGTAAGTTTCCTACTCCTGACACCCAGATGATCCAAGGCATTTAGGCCTGAAGGGCTTGGTTTCTAGTGTTAAGGTGTTTATTTTGCAGTCTCTAATAATTTGGAGATGGGATTTGGGTAGATCAGGACCAGATAATGAAAGACCTCACATGTCTTGCTGAAGTGTTTGGAACTTACTTTTCAGTAAATGCTTTCAATGCTTTGTTGGCATTGATAGGAGAAGGACAAGGAGGAGAATCAGCTGGAAAGCTTAAAGGAAATTGCCAAGTGGCATGGGCATGATCTTGGCCCTCACCTTTTGAATTACTGTTATTCTCATTTTTGCAGATGAGAATGCTGAATCTGAAAAGGACAAGTAAATTGCTTCAGGTAGCATAGCAGGGAAGTGTTAGAATCCAGGTGCTGGCCAAAAAGCCTGTGTCTTTACCTGTCATCGTTCTCTGCCTTCCTTTGCTGCCAGTCACCTTTGCAAAATCATGAACCAGTCAAGTTCCATTAAAAATGTAGTGTCTCAGGCCAAGGAGACAGCTCAGTGGCATAAGTGCCTTCCTGGCAAGCACAAGGTCCTGAGTTTGATTCCTGGTACCAAAAAAAAAAAAAGTGGTGACTTTTTAAGTCAGTACTACATTTATTAACTTGTGGGCCCAATCTTGTTTCAGAAAGTAGTTATAAGGTTAGGGATCATAGGTATCAAAAGCAAAATTAAAAATAAGTAGATGTACAAAACTAACTACATAGATCATATCTTACAGCAAATAAATTCCAGACAGACTAAAGACTTTAAAAGTGATCCCATAAACATAGCAGAGGAGTATTTGGGCTGGGAAGGATTTTCAAAGCATAAAAAATGTAAAAAGCAATACATTTAATATTGAAGGATTGGCTCTCTGACAGCTAGAAACTTTCCTGTCACCTTAAACAAAAGGCAATTCACAGATTAGGAAAGAGTTTCTTCAAAAATTCCAGAATACATAAAGAGATCTTGCAAATCAATACCCAAACTGTATCTCTTAAAGAAAAAAAGATGGAAAAGAACATGGTTGAACAGTTCCTTCCCAGTCCACTATGATTCTAAAGCATGATGACTGACCAGAATCCAGATGGGAGAAATATTGCAAAGAATAATTTGCAGACAGCTTGTGTTTTAAGCTGGGACCTAACTAGACCTTTTCCTTGGTTAGAAAATGTTGTGTTATGAGCTTGATGGCATAAGCCTATAATCTTAGCACTTGGGACTGAGGCCAGCCTAAACTACATAGTGAAACCCTGTCTCAAAAAAAAAAAAAAAAAAAACAACAACAACAAAAACAAGAAATGAAAATATTGTAATAACTTTCTGGTGAGAAGCCAGGTCAGAGTGATAACGGGAAAAGAGGTTGGTTTGAGTAGTTAAAACTGAGGGCTCTTTTATCCAATCTCCTTTTTTAAATTATTTACTTTTTAATTTTTATCTTTTTAAGGGAAAAATAAAAAATAGGATACATGACAGTAACCTACTTTGATTTCCTATTAAACTTGATTTGAAACCTTGTATTGCCCTCACCATCTTGTTTTGACTGATTGTCCCCTATTCTGCTTAGCTTGGTAGTACCAAGTTCGAAAGTATAGGCAACAACTGGGAAGACAATAAGATTCATTGTGACGCCTATTCTAGTTGACTATTATCTTCTTTTAAAGTCCTGTAATGTCTCCAATGTTTTAGTTTTATTCTTTACTGTTTTGTTCAATTTTATTATAACTGATGATATAGGCAATTCTTAAGATAGCAAGAGGCAGTATGGTAACCATTGTTGATCACCTTGTATTTTGTTTTTACATTATCTATTATGTCCATCCTTTTGATTTGACTGACTCTGTTCTGATATGTCGCATTTGGTTTTACTCTCTTCAAAAAAAGTAGTAAGAACTGTGGGAATAATAAAACCCCAAATGTGTAATTGTCATTGTACAAAAGAAAAGAAAAGAAAAGAAAGTGCTCTAAAGTTTATAACTGCATATATGTTTAAGTGTATAAGATAGATAACCATATTACTGAGTTTTGTTGGATCATTGAACAAAACTGTTTGCAGTCTCACTGTTTGAAAGTCCACTTTATATGGTTTAATTTTGTAACTTGAACAATTATTTCTAAGATGAGAATATGTAATCTATTAACTAGTGATTTCTTACTGTTTATTTTTTGAATTTTGTATTACTTGTACCCTTTTTCTGTTTTTTTTTTCTCCTTAAATAAAATTTTAAAAACAAACAAAAAAAAACCTGAGGGCAAGTTCTATGGGAATTCATTGTCCTCATTCATAAGAAAGCCTCATGATAAAGTAAATTCAATGAGAACCTAAAGGTTGGTAAATGTCTTATTTTTTTGTTTGGATAAAATACTTGACCACCCACAAGTTAAAGAAGGAAAGGTTTGTTTTAGCTCAGGATTTGTAAAGATTTCAGACCATAGTTGGCTGGATCCAAAGTAGGGTAGCATGGAAGAGGAGAAAGCTCATGGCACATTGGGCAGGAAGCAGTGATTAGGATTAAGGGAGAAGAAGATATATGTATATATGTATGTATCCTTCCAGGCCACACCTACAGTGACCAATCTCTTCCCACAAGGCTTCACATCACACATAACTATAAACCAATCAGTGGACTAATCCAGTATCACACATCCATCATCTCCTAAAGCCCTACCTGTGAGCACATGAGGCTTTGGGTAGACATCTAGATAAAAGTCATAATAGTAGATAATTCAGTAAACATCAGATGTTTTGCAGGTGATTTGCTTTGATGGTATTGATTCTCAACTGGTAGATTAGTAATTAGTGACAGGGGTAATGATTATTTTCTTACTTTTGAGCCCTGACATCAGGTACTTTTAACCTCTGAACACTCATTTTGGGACCAGAATATACGTATGACAGTGGTGTGAATGCGGGGCCCATGTTTTTTTTGGAGGCATGTGACATTGTCTGCTCTTGGTTATATTAAAGACAAAAGTAGGTGATGGTGATTTTGGGCCCTAGCATATAGATACCAGGTATGATTCTTTTCTAGCAGAAAAATCCAGTCCTTCTTTCAAACCATTTTAAAGCCGGTTTTTGGACACATGTTATTTACTGGTTGTGGAGCTCCTGGGTGTTTGTGTGGAGTAGACACAGTGTTTGTCACATTGCAGATGAAGGAGTGATAGTGGGTCAGAGTAATTTTTCCCCTGGGTGATTGCTGCCAGACCCAGCCTAGGACCTTGAGGATTTCGTTGTCCTTCTGTTTTTAAATATTTTATCCTTTAAAAGGAACTGAATTGGCTTGCCCCAACCTGTGGATATTAGAGATAGCCTAGAGGAAGCACTTTAATTTTGCACACTTGCTTTGCAGAACCCTTGCTGAGATAGCAGCAGCCACCTCTGTACATGTAGTCGCAGTGATTGAACCCATCATTCAGCACGCTGACTGGTTCTTCCCTGAAGGTAATCATCATTTCATGTTCACTGACTGCTGTAACAATAGGATAGTGGTATAAAAAGTCTTGTTGAAGAATAAAATTTATCAATGATTCCATAGTTAGCTTCACTTTTAATGCTTTTTTATTTGCACTCACATTTTGGCATCATGAAAATCATACCATTTTGTATTTCATGTAATTTCACTAAAACACACTCAGCCGATACACGTTGAATACCCACTAGGTGCTGTGTGCTTGCTGGTGAGGTACACTGTCTTCCCTGGAGGAACTTGGCTCCTTAGAGAAGGCAGCTACATAACAAATAAATTATGATATGTGGGAAAATAGAAAACTAGGTGGGTAGAAAAAGACTTGATGAACTCAGTGTTAGGAATAGGGAGCCATAAATTACTTTTTAGAAAAAGTAACATTGAATATGTAGAAGTTCTCTTCTTGGAAGAGGGCTTTTCGTCTCTCTAGGTAGTTGTGTTTGTGCAAAGTTAGAGGGTAAGGAAGGAAGGGTTGATTGGGGACAACTTGTAAAGATCTGGGTTAGCTGTATCAGAAAATTAGGATGTCATTCTATCAGTGATCGGTTTTCAGAGTACATTTGTTGCAGACCTGGGATCCTTGGAGATTTTCAGGGCCTCCTTTTGAGGTACCGGTTGGGCAGTGTTGAGTCCAGACCTCCCTTCCCTGCTTCCCTTAGAGTAGCCCAGCTGCCCTGCTCACTGCAGCATAAGCTTTCTGATGCGGGGGTTGTGCTCATCTTTTACATTCACTTCCCGGACTCAAGAATCACGACTCTTTCATGTTTATTGCCCATTAAAAAGATATAATAGATGCCTGTTAGCCTTCTACCCACACTTTCTTCTTCCAGGCACTGATTCTTGGAAGTATGCCCTTCATGTTGTCTTTTATTTCTGTTTTATTTCAAAGTGTAAGTACCTCACATTTTTAATGTTTCAAATAAGCACTTTACATTCATTGTCCCCTTCTGTATTTCAGGGGTTTTCTTCCCCACAAAAAAGAAAGCAGAAATACTATGTGCTTTGTGTTCTGAGTTGTTCCCCCTCTGCTGTCTCTTATTTCTCCTTTGCCTCTGGGTTAATAGTCCACTCTTCAGATGGGAGTGCCTAGCGCTGCCCTTGTGAAGGAAGAAGGGCCTGCAGCTGAGCAAGAAGACCCCCATTCCAATGGGATATTTTCAAGCTCCCTCCCCTGTGCTGTATGTCTCACACACTCACTAATTGTTCTTGCAGAGGTGGAATTTAATGTATCAGAAGCATTTGTACCTCTTAGTACCCCGAATTCTAATCACTCATCCCACACTGGAAATGACTTTGACTCGGGGACCCAGGAGAGGAAGCGGCCAGCCAGCATGGCAGTGATGGAAGGAGACCTGGTGAAGAAGGAGAGGTGTGTTTAAAGCTATTCATTTCTAATGCAGCGGGAGATGTCACATAGAGGAATGTTAGACCCATGGTATCTGGTTCCAGTTCATTGTCCCCCAGTATACCCAGATAATGTAGGAATTGTGCTGTAAGTTCATTCCAAGCGTTAACCTGGCCATGAAGCAGTTCTGTAGCGTGTGAATTGACATCATGCTATGCACGTCCAGCTCTGCTATGTGATGTTCTGTGAAACATCACCCAGTGGAATAACATCATACACAGTACACTGCATACGCACACACCTATGTGTGTTTTATTGGCGGAAGGTAAGAGTGAAAAATGGCGAGAGTGGACTTGGCTTCCAGTACTGTGTGTGAGAACAACTCATACTTCACACTGTTTGGATGTAGTTTGGTATTACATTGCCTCTCAGTAGAAGCCAACCACTGAATTTAATGTTTAGCTGGAGAAAGCTAATATTTGCCAATTGTGGAAGAGAAAAATGGCTGTGTTGAACTTCATAGTCTATCTCGATGCAGTTCTGTGTGGAAACTTTGTGGGATTTTAAAAAAAAGAATTATTAAGACCATATATGGCTTCATATCCCAGTCTGTCCAGTGTGTATGATGCAGTGCCACTGTACTCACCAGTAATGTGGGAGTTGAGGCCTGTTTGAAGTAACATGCTTTTCTTGCATATATGTAATATTATTCCTGGAACTTGCTTATATTATAGCTACACAGCAACCTCGCATTTTAATCATCAAGATTTACATTGAGGTGTGTAGGTGTTTGTTTGTTTCGGGTCTTACTCTTAGCAAAGGGAAATGCTTCACTTTTCTGTTTTCTCACTCTGAAATTCACATCTATTCTGTCCATAGGTTTCACTTTTCCCAGTCCTCACGCACCTATTCAGTAGTATCTCCTAATAAATATTATTCTTTGTGTAAAGATTAGCTTTCTTGTGTTTTAAGCTACAGATAGAACGTTACATGTCTGGTCAGAACAGGCACACACTTCTCAGTGTTTTCCAGCTGACCCAGTAAAGACAAGCTCCGGGAGCTGTGTTCCTTTCTTTCCTTTAGCTCTTCCCTCCCTCCTGTCCTCCAGCCACCATCTCCTTCCCCAAAGCAGCTATTTTTCCAGTCCTATGTATCTTTCAGATTTCTTCTTTTATATTTTATCTGAATTAAGAGGCAGTGTGATGGTGGTCTAACATGTCACCAGTCAGCCTTGGACTGGCTTTCACCTCATTTTCCAAACACAGATTTGAGATGGGAATTAGGTAGTAGGAAAAAACAATATAATGTCATTCAAGATGAAGCCTGCCTGTTTGCTTTCAGCTGCTCACGCCCAGTTGATCAAGGACATTGATCAGTACCACGTCCATTTGTTTTTGCTCAGGTTTAAAGCCAGGTTGAATTGCTTGCTTTGGTAATGGGGATGACAATTATATGGTCCTTGCCACTCCTCTGCTTGCTGGGCAATTTGGGTGACTGTCCCTGTTCAGTTTTAACACGTGTGGCCCAGTGAGCTTCTGTCTCAGTTGTCAGCTTGCATGGTGTGTTGACTGTTTCTTCTCTCTGTAGCTTTGGTGTGAAGCTTATGGACTTCCAGGCCCACCGGCGGGGTGGCACTCTAAATAGAAAGCACATATCCCCTGCTTTCCAGCCACCACTCCCGCCTACAGATGGCAGCGCCTTGGCTCCAGCAGGCCCAGAGCCCCCTGCCCAGAGCTCTCGGGCTGAAAGCAGTTCAGGGGGTGGGGCTGTCCCCTCCTCTGCAGGCATACTGGAGCAAGGGCCAAGCCCAGGTGACAGCAGGTAAGCAGGCCCATTTCTACTGGCAGTGGAGGCCAGATGCCTTAACCTTTTTGCAGGTGGTGGCCTTTGGGCATGGGACTTATGCCAAAAGGCTCCTTCCAGCATATAGTGAACCAACTTGCTCTCACTCCTTTGGTTAGCAAAGGATGGGAGTGGGAAAAAGACTATAAATAGCTTGCTTCTATTTCTGTTTGCTAAGGGAAGCAACATTCGTTTGCATTCTTTGTCACACTGCTGCTTTGGTGGCTAATAGGTGTGTAACAGTATAATAAACCCTTTATACCCGCTTGATGTGCAGCTGTCAGTGTTCCTGTGCCATTTGCTTGTTTTCATTCAGTGTGCTCACTGGTAAGCATTTAAATGTAGAGAGTTACTTGTGGTATTCCTGGCATCTGTCATTAACTCACACATTCATTAATTCAGTCAGGCAGATTGAGGCACTGGGGCAGGCACATTAGGTAACTAAGACTGCTCCCCGGACGCGATTGCAGTGCATATATGAGTGAGGCCTTTTTGGGCCTAGTGGTTAGGTATAGTGGCCATGGTTTTGCCCTTGAGGCTTCTGATGTTTCAGAAGAATTGGCACATGTAAATACGGTAGAAAAGAAGATGTTACTTTTTCTTAAGGGTGATTGCTTAATCTTTGGGTAAGCCACTGGGAGTGGACTACACAGTATAATAACTTTAAAGTAGGTGCCTCAGAGCTGAGATTTTTATTTGTGTTGAGTAGTTCTCTGCACTAGTCTGGGCAGAGGCCCTTTCAGGTGAAAGGTATAGGTATAGTGGCTCCAGTGGCAGTTGCTGTGAACAGTGAGACCTTCCATGGGGTGCGAGGATTTGTACAGCCATTTACTTTAATTTGGCCATCTTCACAGTACTAAACGATCATCTCTGAGGTAAAATAAACGCATAAAACAAGGACTGCTTGTTTACTCAAACTGTTCTTCCCCATCTTCTTTGGGTTAATGAAGAACAGTCTCATGGTGTGCAGAGTGAGTTACCAGGTAGCCCCATACAGAGACTTTGAGTGCTTTGTGCATTCTTGAATCTTTTTCACTCTCATAATGTAGAGAAGTCCTTTTTTTTAGTTGAGAGAAATTAAATCTAACTTTGTAGGGCTTCATAGGCCTGATATCGGCTTCATTTGGCTTATCAATAACCACTTCTCCATATATAGATGTATTTTGGCTTAAATTCTTTTTGTTTGAGGAAGAAATTAGCAGATTTACACATCTTTATTTTTTCAAGAAAATCAATTTACTCAAGACTGAATATATTTAAGTCACTCATTGGTCTTTACCACAGAAGGACAAATGGAGTATCAGTCATCAGCTTGCTTTGTTCTTAATATTCTGTGGGTATTTTTGTGTACATTTCATTGATGGCATCCACTCTTTGGTGGCTTCAATAGATGTCACTGTCATTTTTGCTGCATAAGAGTTTGGCCCAGGAAGTCAGAAGCCTGAATTCTGTTCTGCAACTGTTACCAGCAGACCTGGGCTTTGAGTTGTTATTTAGAAATTTAAGAATTTTTCTTCCTTCAAGTTCTAATAGTCAATAGTCATAATTTCAAGTATCATTTTACTACTGCTTTTTCTTTGTTTTGTACAATGTATTTGTAAAAATCCAAAAGGCCTTTCTTATCTTTTAATATTGCCCAATTTATATAAGCAAAGTAGGTAGAACTTGGGACTTCTCATGGGCTCCTTTGAAATGGCCTTTAACATGACATTTTAGGAGTAGTTGAAGGTCAGTCTGATGCAGGGAATCTCAAAAATACATATTTAAGGAAATATTAGCTGTATAGGCCCAGGGTAAAAACTGTTTAAAATTGCAGATCATCTCTTTGCCTGCTAAAATAGAAACTGTACTTGGAATCTTACACAGTCAACCCTGTATACCTGTGGGTCTTGTGTCCACAGATTCAACCAACTGCAGATAAAAATAATTTTTAAAAAATTGTTTCTGTAAGCCAGGTGTGATGACTTGCACCTTTCATCCCAGCGCCCTGAGACTGAGGCAAGAGGATTGCCTGCTTCGGCAAATTAACAACTTAATGAGCTCCTGTGTCAAAATGAGAAATTAAAAAGGGTAATGAGTGGATGACTAGGGATGTAATTACCAAAGACAAAAAGAAAAACATGTCTGTATTGAACACATGTACTTTTCTTGGTTATCCCCTAAACAATAAAATATAGCAGATATTTCCATAGTATTCATATTATATTAAACATTGTAAGTAGTAACAGGGATGATTTAAAGAATACAGGAAGCTATAGATAGGTTGTATTCAAATACTGTACCATTTTATATAAGGAATTTGAACATCTTTGGATTTTAGTATCTGTAGGGAGTCCTGGAACTAAAGCCTGTAGGTTACTGATAGCCATATTTTAGAGTATGTTTCAATTTTCTAACTGTGAATGTCTGATGTCTAACTTGACTTTTACTCCCCTTAGTCCTCCAAAACCCAAGGACTCTGCACCTGCAGCTGTCCCTGCATCCGGGAGAAGCAGCAGTCAGGTGACTGCTGGCCAGAACCAGGCCCAGGCAGGTGCCGGCTCCCATCAGCTCTCGGTTGGCCCGGCCCACAGTGCTGCTGATCCTAGCCCTCACACACTCCGCAGGGGTAAGTAGCCCTTGGGGAGGGATGCGCAGTTCTCCTTGAGTTGGTACAGGGATGCAGGATAATCTTTTCTGTGGATATTTAGAAAATAGCAGGAAAACCAGTCATTAAACAAAAACAAAAAAGCAGACAATCAGTCATTTAAGAATGTTTTCCTGTAGGAGCTATAGAGTTTAAACAAAAAGTTACTTATTCAGAAACTTGCTCGGTTTTCTGGTAATCTGCCAGCCTTTGCTCTGTTTCAGAACCTCCATGACCTGTGTACCACCTGGACTTCGTGGGTCTGGAGGCCCCCTAGAGCCAGGGCTTTCTCGGTCCCAGTGCATACAACCTGTGTTTCTCTCACCCATCTTCTTTACCCAGCAGTCAGGGACATTGCTTTTAGATACAAAAAGATTGAGCCATTTCTTGAGAATTCATCAGTGGCTTTCATGTCCACTTCCCACCTGGCCCCAGGTGAACCAGCTGATACGTGCCTCTAAGGCCTGCTTTCATACCCTCCTGCTTCTGGCTTTTCTCTGTTCTCTGTCCCTTGGTTGCACTGAACTCATTCCTTCCTTAGAGCATTTGCAGCTTGTTCTTGGCTCTTCTAGAATATTTTATCTGATATAGTCATGTAGTCTGTCTCTTATCATTTAGATCTCAGCCCAAGGTCACTTCCTCCATAAAACCAACCCAATTTGCACTATACAAGTCATCCTCTGTCCTGTTACTCTAATTTTTTAAGAGCATTTTTCTTGGTCTATAATTTTTAAATGTGCTTTTTAGCTTGTTGCCATTCTCTTTGAGTTGCTATTAGTGAGCTGTGCTTGTACATGTGTGTTGCACTCCAGTGTCCCTGGCTCTCGTGCTTTGCCCATCACGGAGTGCTGTGGGTACTAGGAAAACTGGAGTTGATTTTGTCCCCTCACCTCAGAACATTTGGCAGTGTCCTAACACCTTTGGCTGTCACAAATGGTGAGAGCATTGCTGTTGTCGTTCAGTGGACAGAAGCCAGGGGTGCTGCTTAGGATCCCATGTAATGCACAGGACAGCCCACAAGAAAGTTTGCATGACTGAGAATATCAACAGTGCCGAGCTGGAGAATCCCGGCTGTAGAAGGAGACATGAGTCAATAGAGAGGTTAAATTCTGCGTGAATGGAGATGCCCACATGGACGCTTCACACTGTATCTACTGGAGTGCGGTCGATCCTCATTACAATGTGTGTCTCATGGTTCTTGGAGCTCATAAAACAGTGCATTTAAAATATCACAAACAGAGCCGTACTTCATGTGTCTCACTGCTGGTTGACTGTCATTTGAATTCTGTTGTCCTTCTAGCTTGATCCACTCGTGGTACCTGCATGACTATCTGAAAAAAAGGGTGCTGCTCTAGCCGCAAAAAAAGCCAAACACGTTACGACATTTTGATATTCTGCACAAATCAGCTGCCTTTATGTATAAAGTGTTTTTTTTTAAATTTATGAATATAAATAATTTTTTAGTTTAGTAAAATAAATTTTATTGATGTGTTAATTTTTCCAACTGATATGAATAATATTCATATTTACATTGGGGCAGCAGTTAATCAAATTTAAGCTACCAACTAAATTGGGTGTACTTATAGACTTGCTATTTTATTAGGGAAAAAAAGACCAATAAAGGTGATTAAATGGATGGAAAGTCCAACATGAAGAAGCAGCTGCTTGAGCTAAAGCCGGCCCAATAGAAGTGGTTAGATCAGTTTGTCCCAATGGGACAGTCATACATGTACCACCAGTAGTTCAAGCCAACCAGAATGGGTTTATAAATGCATGAAGTGAAGAATATATTTCTGAGCTCATTCTTTTTAGCATTTTCTTTGTAACTAGGGACTGGTACAATAGAATGAACAGTGCTGCCTCTGCAAAACCTGCAGTTAGTGGAAGTGATCAGAATACAGACTTTAAAACTCGTTAGAGAATATAGTTCTGAGGCTACACGTAGAATGAAGTGTTGGCCATTTTATGTTACAGTAACTGAATACCTAAGAGTTAGTGACCTATAAAGGAAAGAGGCTTATTTTGGCTCACAGTTCTGGAAGCTGGAACTTCCAAGGGCATGGTCCACAGATGATCTGCTTGGCTTCTGATGAGCTCCTGTGGTGGTTCTTTAACTCATGGAGAAAAGCAGAGAGATCAGACTCACGCAGTATTCTGTAAGAAAGGCAGTTACCCAGACATCTTCCACTAGGCCTTGCCTCCCAGCCCTGGCACACTGAGGGATTAAGGCCCCTGCTCACCAACCCACTGAAACCATAGCATATATAATAATGCTGCATAGATGATTCGGATATGTACTAAGGAAAGTCATGGTATGTGGGTGTTGGTCTCCGCAGAGAGGCAGGTGAGAAGAGGAGCCTGAGGAAATTCCACCAGGAGCAGACAGGTGCCACAGCACTTGGAGGGGAAGCACTCCTGCTCAGGAGCAGGACTGGGAGCAAAAGTCACATGGGATTTCCTTTTGAAAATCTCTGCGAGGTTTCCCCTGGAGGTTTGGTACACCCAGGAGAGCTAGGCAGTTTTTCTCTTTAACAGATCTGAGCTCTTCATTTGTTGACTTGAATTTAGGGACAAAGCTATACAAAGTTTTTGTGTTGATTGAGAATAGTCATCATGCTCAGTGCTATATTCAGAGGCTAGTGGGCTGTAGCCAGCCCAGGAAGCAGCACCTGTGTCCCGACTTCCTGCTCACTCTCACAGAATCATTAGATTCCCACTTGTAATCCTACGTGTCTGATAACTGCCACCGCAGGCTGGTCTGCTTCCTTGCGAGGGCCTCCTACCTGTGGGAAGTAAAGATTCACAGGCCTGGAGGAGCTGAGGGCGGTGCTGCAGAGCCAGGTGCACACTGGAGCTAAGGGCGAGGGGGAGGGTGGGAATAGTAGTGTCATGGAGGCTGACTTGGTCCTTGCAGTGATGCCCGGGCTGACAGTGGCACCCAGGAAAGGGAGGGCTGGAGGGATGGCTGTACATTCACACGTGCGAGCTTTCGTCTAAAGTCGCATAATTGTGACGGCTGCAAATCTTTCCTAACATGATTCTTACAGATGTATAGTAGAAATAAAAACAGCTGTTTAAGAGGAACATTATGAGGTTTAAACTGTTACGTCTGTCTAATGGTGGAGTGCAAAAGCACTCCACTCTGCACACTGAGGCAGGAGGCAGGTTTGGGCACAGTACTTGGTTAGGTCCCACTGTATCCTTATGGCCATCTTCCCTTGTGTGCCCCGTTGTCTTCACCTGGTGGCCGTAGAGAAGTCCTCACTTCCTGACTGGAGTCCTTTGATGTTGAGTCTGAGGCTGTGTTCATGGTAGCCACATAGCAGTGTGTCTTACTTCCTGAAGGAGAAGCAGCAGATAAGGAAGGAAGCTCAAGCATCAGTGAATGAGTTGAAGTCTGTGTGTGTGCATCCCCAGCTTTCCAGCACTATCTTGAGAGATCTTAGACAAGACCACACTTTCTCCCAGCTTTGCCTCTATGGGGAACGTGGACCCCATCATCCTGTCCTGCTGTTATGCTTTCGCTAATTTCTTCTGCACCTTTAAAGGTCAGGAATGATGTTTTACCTGATAATAAATTTACAGTTAACATTACTTAGAATGGAAAATCAGACTTACAAAAATGTTGTGTATGGCAACCAAAATATGGCTAATATTCCAGAGATCTCTTCCTTTGTGAGCAGGTTGGTTGTTTCTATGGGACAAGGTTTTCTAAGTTTAGGGTTGAAAGTTCTAGACACAAGAGCAGAGCAGACATCAATCCTGAATTCTGGACAAGGAGCCAGGCAGTATTAGAGGAATAAGAAAAGTCCAGGGGGTTCATGACATGAATGTAAACCTGTGCTCCACCACTTCCTAGTTGTCGTATTCCTACAAACACTTGTTCTCCCTGAACCTCAGTTTTATCCACTGAGAAATGGGTATAAAATAATACTAGTTCTGCAGTAAACTGATGAGGCTTAAATGAGAATTTATGCGAGATGCCTGCCTCAGTGCAGGTGATGTTAGATGAGTGATACATACTCATTTCTTTCCTTTATTTCCCTCTCCTTTTCGGGGTGCGGGGATCAGTGAGATCTCAGTTAGAATTTCCATTCTGACCTCGTTGGTACCAGATTCCCAGTCCTGATCTTAGCTGGGGATGGTGATTCACCTGTCTTCAGAGAAATAATTCTAAGGCAGCTCTTCTAGATTGATTTGTACCTTTACTTAGAATATTATCTGTTAACTCAAATAATGTTGAAATTGGTAGAGCTTCTATTATTATCATTATTATTGTTATTATTTTTAAACTGAAACCAAAGAGAAGAGGGCCTGAGCAGGGGACATGGTGGGACAGGGTGGACCTTATCCGGAGGAAGCTGGATGAGACGGCTGCGGAGTGGGTCTGAACATGGCTCTGAGTGGGTGTGGTAGGCTCGTTAACTGAGCTTTCTTCCTTCCAGACTTCTAAAGTGACGTGTCACAGATGGCCTATATGTATATTCTACACTGCCTTTTTAAAATAAACTTTTAATGTTGAGATAGTCGTAAATTTACAGAAAAGTAGATGTCCCATATACTCTTCACCCACTTTCCTCAGATATAATCTGATGTCACTGTGGGATATTTATCACAGCAGACAAAGCAGTGTTGGCACATGGCAGTGAACTGCCATGCTTGGTTCTGATGTCCTTAGCTTTTTCCCTAATGTCTAGCTCCACTTCCAGGATCTTGTCTAGAAGACCACACTGCATTGAACCATCCTGTCCCCTTGGCTCCCTCTACTCTATGAGTAGTTTCTCTGTTTCACCTTGTATTGTCATGGCTTTGACAGTTTGAGAAGGACAGCCTGTGTTTGTCAGATGTTCTGATGTGCAGCCAGGGTCTGTGGGTTTGGGGAAGAAGGAATAGTGAGGTGCCTTTCTGACTACCCTCTGCAGGGTGCTTGATTGCTTATTCCTGGGGATGTTTAGCTTTGTCTTCTGCCTTTTACTGTGCTGCTCTGACAGGGATATTTTTTCCCCTTTATGTAGCTGTTAAGAAACCTGCTCCAGCACCTCCAAAACCAGGAAACCCACCTCCTGGCCATCCCGGGGGCCAGAGTTCTTCAGGAACATCTCAGCTTCCACCAAGTGTGTCACCAAAGCCAGCCACTCGAAGTCCTTCTCCTCCCCCTCAGCACACAGGCCAGGTGCCAGGCCAGCCACCAGCCACTGCCCAGCCGTCTGCACCCCGGAGGTACTCCAGCAGCCTGCCTCCAATCCAAGCACCAAGTCACCCACCGCCACAGCCCCCAACCCAGGCCACTCCACAGGTGCACACCAGGCTGAACAACCAGGGAAGCCCCTCCTCTGGGGCTCTGCCCAGTGAGCATGGACTCGAGCAGCCATCTCATACCCCTCCCCAGACTCCAACTCCCCCCAGTACCCCACCTCTGGGAAAACAGAACCTCAGTCTGCCAGGATCGCAGACCCAGGCAGTGAATAACCCTGAAATTGCACAACCACATACTGGAACCCTGCTGAGACCCAGACCAGTACCAAAGCCTCGGAACCGACCCAGCATGCCTCCACCCCCTCATCCTCCCAGTGCCCACCCAGCTGGGGACAGCAGCATGGCCAATGCAGCTCTGACAGCTTCTAAAATAGTGACAGGTAAGTAGGAAGCGGCTCCCATACATTGCTTTGCTACTGTTCCCTTCACATAGGCTGCTTTTGAGAGCAGGAATCAGCAGACTGCCTGCTAACCAAATCTGGCCCACAGCTAGTTTGTGGAGTTAAAGTTTTTTTGGCACACAGCCATGCACATTTGTTGACACAGTATCTCTGATTGCTTTTGTGCAAAATCAGCAGTAGAGCTGAGAGATCATACAGTCTGTGAAGCCTAAAATATCTACTATCTGGCCCTGTAAATTTGCTGATCCCTGCTTACCAATCTGCATTTACATTTTTTCTGAGTATAATGACATTTAATCCAGGAGAAAGGTATTATACATAAGCATGAAATTAATTTATTGTTGAATTTCTTTATTTTCCAAGAGGAAAATTAAATGCCATAGTAAGTGAAGAATTTGAAGAATTACTTTAAAATTATGTTTAATGCTAGCATGGATAGTCTTGGACAGCAACTCTCAGGACCTAATTATATCAGTGCACCGGCCTCAGATCTCTGGGGAGGAAAGAAGGGAGATTTTCCTGTAAGCCCAGTGGAAGCTTGCTTTGCTATGGGAGGGATTCCACAGAATGTAAGGGACTACCTCATGGAGTATTTTTAACAGACAGTCTAGGATACAAGCACATTATTTATGATTTAAAAATACTTCCATCCCAGTTTCTCAGATTTAATATTTAAAAATGAATGTTTTTTGTGCTTTTAAAAATAGTAATTAGAAGCTCCACTTCATTTCTTACAGTAGCCTCCTCTTAATTACAACAACCTAATTATAAATTGTTCTAAGGGGAAGCATTTTTGGAGAAGCTGGACTATCTACCTCTGGGCTCCTCAACGATCCTGAGTGATATCTCAGCAGGAAATCAGTTAGCAGTACACCCAAAACTAATACTGCAAATGACAACATTAACTGATTTTTTGATAACTTTCACTTTTCAGGAATATAATACCTAACATATATGCCTATTAATGAATGGTTAATAGCTTTTCTTATGACTCATTTATTTTGAAAACCACAAAATCCATTTTGGTTTGTTTGCTTGTTTGTTTCCCAATAGATGCCCTTCCTAGTGCCCTCACAGGTGGGGAAGGTTTCCAGGACTAAGGTCTGTAACCCCCCAAGCAGCTTGAACCGCAGCTCCAAATGCTCCTGCTTTAGCTGTGTTTCGTGTATGTGCTTTTGACTTTGTGCCCTAGAGTGGCTATTTGATGCCATGCTGTGACAGTCAACAGCCGTGAGTTCTGTAGCATGTTTACATTCTTTTCATTTTTATTAGAAGCACTTTGAGCTTCAGTACTCCAAATCAAAGAGGTAGATGTCAGTAGGTTGAAACCACTCAAATAAGATACAAAGAACATTTTCTTTCTGTTTGGGAAGCCTTTCACAGTGTTCTGCTCTTTCTGTGCACCTCACCTGTCGTCAGTTGGCTCCTCGGGATCCAACAAAGGGGACTTGGGTACCACCAGCATAGGAAATTGTGTCCCTTATGTCTTGCGCTTTAATTTTTAATTTTGTATTTTAAGTGCAAGTTAACTGCATGGAGCTTCTTAATTATCTCTGGAATTCTCAGAACAACAAAAGCAGTCTTCCCCACAACGGTCTTACCTGAATTCCTCATCTGTGTTCTGGCATGCTTAAGTTTTGCTTTCTTAAACCACATAAGCTTTTTAAAGGGGTACTGTAAGGAACCAGATGTGGTAATGCACTCCTGTAATCCCAAGGTGTCTGAGAAACAGAGACAAAAGGATTACAAATTCAAGCCCAGCCTGAGCAACTTAACTGATTTAGTCAGACTCTGCCTCAAAATAAAAAACTAAAAAGAGCTGGGGTGTTGCTCAATGTGAAAGCCTTGAGTTCAATCCCCAGTACCACCAAAAAACCCTACCATGAGGCCCATCTGCATCTGTCTCTCAGCCCATGTTTGAACAGCATAGGATCTCCTTATGTGGATGTTTGGTTTCGTCAGAATCGGAGGCCTTTTGAGGGCCACAGAGCCAGAGTGTCCACAGCTTCCAGAAGGAAGAATGAGAGTGAAACTTTGAAAACATAGAAGGCACAGGCATGATTCCTCCTTCCGCGCTCTTTGGCAGTTAATCTGGAAGTCCAGGGTGACTGGTTAGGTGTGGAAGTCACATATATAACATGACTAAGCCCTCATTTTTATTTAAATGGAAGACTACAAACCTGAATTATGCTTGGTCTTTAATACCATTGTTGCCAGAGATGCATTTATTTCAGAAGGTGATTTTATTGGTCTGTTGCAACACTGCAGTGCACTGTCCTTTATAAATTATTAGATAAGTGATATTTCACATTTAAAAATACTTTTCCTTAAGCTACTAGCTACGTATTTAATCATTCTATGCTATGATTCTCCTAATGCAAGATATTCCAGGCCCCCTTAATTATCTTTGTATTATAGAATTAACCTTTTAATACCTTAAAACTCCCTGGAACAACATTGGTAGTATACAGAATATCAGCATTTAGAATTCATGAATCCACTGGTGGTGTTCCTGCTACCAATGAGTCATTCTTGGGCATAGCCATAGAGTTTTTCAGAAGAAAAAGTGTAACTGCCGTGGATGTGGCAGTCTTTTATTATGACATTTTGGGTTGGAAATTTTTAGATAGACAAAGTCCTAAAAGCAGGTTATTTGTTTAGCGCATTTATTCTTCAGCGTTGCACTGAGGCTTACGGGATTAAGGTGAACTCCTGGAGGAGTTCTGCCAGGCAAGTTTAGTTGCCAACTCCTGGCACTCAGCAGCAGAGCTGAGCTCTGGAGAAATTCTGTGCTGTTTTGAATCTTGAGGTTTTTTTTTTTTTTATCGGTACTGGGGATTGAGCTCACGACCCTGTGCTTGCAAGGCAGGCACTTATGCCGCTGAGCTAAATCCCCAGCCCCTTGAATCTTGAGGTCTTAATTGTAACTCTAGAAAGCAGTAGGGCTTTCCCTTCTCAAATAACAGAGTTTAACATCTTACAGTTTTTAAAGTAATAGATTTTAGCAAAGAGTATTCTAATTTAAACATTTTATTAAATAATTTAGATGTATGACCTGCCATATTCAGTAAGAACTGAAATTGGAATATTTAATGGTAAGGAAAAGGCACCTGATTGGCCAAAGCATTTTTGCTACGGTATGATCAATATTCATGCACTAATGCCCGTTACTAACCAGTTACCCTAACCCTGCCTGCTTGCACCCCTACTAATAGTGCATGCTTAAAGGAGAACTGGCTTTGTTCATGCTTGCTGCCAATTCTGAATACTAAGTGTGTTGACAGACATTAACTGGTAATCTTGTTACTTATTTAATTTCCATTCTTTTCTCTGTTGAGCAGGCTTGAGGTATAGTGGGAAGAACATACACTGTAGAGTCGGACGCACCTCAGTTAGAATTTCAGCTCTGCAACGTCAGGCAAGGCACAGGCTGGTGATGTGTGCAATGGTGACACCTAGCAGAACTGCTGAAAGGATTCAATTAGACAAAATAAGAAAAGCGTCTATTACAGTTTATAATATCATGGATTTAGATAAATGGTAGTTACTGTGTTTATCTAGAAGAAAATATATTTTATCAGAGTTACACATTACCATTCACATTTCAGTATGTTAAAGCTTAATGCCCAGACCCATCCTTTCTGGATCCAGAAACTTGAGGCTAGAGGCAAGACTGGGGTGTCTGTATTTTAATCTGGTGCACCCCTTGGTTTTCCTGTTAACAGTTCTTTCATTGGTTAAAAGACAGTTCTCAGCTGGCTATGTGTGCCTGTAATCCCAGCCCTTTGGGAGGCTGAAGCAGGCCCACCTGTGAGCAGCTTAACCATTTAACAGACCGTGTCTCGAAACATAAAATAAAAGGCTGGGGATGTAGCTTGGTGCAGAGGCCCTGGGCTTTGAACCACTATCACTAAAAGATTACTTTTTAATGTAATGAGAATAGTCATGAGAGAACCTGAGGTTATTCATCTACTGTATAGTGAACAAACTTGATAGAGTCACTCTCAAACACTCACACAACTAGATGGTGTGCTCTTCTTGAAATCAGACTTTCTTTATATCATGAAAGTACTATGTTTTTTTAAAAATGCGCATGGATATGAAGGAAATTAAAAATAATATGGAATCAATAGTAGTTTTACACTTGGAGAATATAAATTCTGGTTTTGTTTTTCTAAAGTCAGGAAGGTACAGGGTAATTATTTTTGGCGTATACAGATTTTAGTCCTGCATTTTGTATACTTTTGAGGCAGGGTGTTGCTAAGTCTCTCAGATAGACTCCTGTGGCTGGGATTGCAGGTGTTTACCACCATGTCTGGCAGTTTTGTATTTTTATTTTATTTTCTATCCTATGCTCTTTCCCATGTGACAGTTTAGTTTTTAAACTTTTTCTTTAATGACTGCATAATAGTACATCAAATAGTTGTATTATTATTTGTAGCTCATCATAGAAATGTCCTCTACTTCAGGTTATTTTTAATGAATAAATAACAGAACCGTGTCAAATTAAACAGCCAGTGAGACTTGAACAGGATGTCTCTTTTAACTAGAGTAATAAATAACTGACTCAAAGTCTTTCGTGGACTAGAACATGGTCAAACCCTTAAAAAGTGGTGAGGGGTAGAGAAAGACTGTCCCCGGATCCTGGTTAGAGAGGACAGACAGGTGGTAGTTGTGGGCTAGTGTCAGCCCTGCAGTTGTACTTGAACCTCTTCATTCAAGGATGTTTTGAGATCTATTTTTTGTCCAGGTTGTTATCAGGTAAGCTTGGCTTTTTTAAAGGATAGATTTACAACCTAAAGTACATATTTGAAATTGTTGCTAGGACAGATAATTCTAAGTATAGAATGCCAGTCTGGAGAGTCAGCTTCCTAGATGAGGATAGTTCAGGAAGCACCCTAGGTGATATTTGTCAGAGCCTCAGGCCATGATGAGCTATATCACCTTTGGTCTGAGACGGTTAGTGGGAGTCTCTTTTTTCTTTTTCTACTTTAAATATGTGTCATGTGAGTAAGTTAGGTGTGCCCCTCTCCCCACTTACTGACTTCCATTCTGCTGAGAAGAAATCTGATCCTTAAATCTGTGCACACAAACCACCTTTGCACCACCATGTGGTATGATTCCGCCGGTTCTGTTGGTTGTATTATAAGACCTAAATTGTCTGAAATGACAGCACCTAACCTCTTCAACACTTGGCCCCTGCACCAGTGTAGGAATTTTACAAGTTGTGACCCCAGGAAACCTTGAGGGAGGGTTTCACCAGTGCAGGGGTCAAAGGTTGAGCAAGCAGTGTCCTGGGGAGTAAAGAGACCTCAGAGCTGGGGACTGAGGATAGGCACAGGGATGGTGGTGGGCCAGGGGAAATTTTAAAAGTAGCAAACCTCTCAGAAGCATTGCAGCATTAGCCAGCTATGTCTGCCTGACTGAGGAGCAGGCAGAAGTCCTGTGAAAACCAGCCACAGCAAGGGTAGACAAGGGTAACTGCACTTGTGCAAGTAAGAGAACCAGCTCCTCAGCATAACTGGAAGCCCCAGCAACTCTACCATTCTCTACCATGGCTCCCTGCCTGCTCTCTACCATGACCAGCTTGAATATAGTCAAGTAAAACTACAGTAAACCTAAATATTTCCCTTCTGTCTTACACCAGTCCTAGGATATCAGTCAGGGCCTTGTAATTTGCTAGAAATCAAACCTTCTGTCATGATTAGAGCTGAGTTCCTGGACTTGCCTCATTACAGCGATGTTGGTCATGTTCACTGTTGTGTCCTCAGCAGGTGGAACAGGGCCTGGCATGGAGTTGCTGTTCAGTAAACAGTGGCTCACGAATGAAGAATCAGATCCCCTGCCTCTCTGGGAAGAGAGCTGTGTCCATAGAGCTGTCCTATGAGCCTGGAGGGCCATGTATTTGCCATCTGACTAAGGGAATTTGAACCAGCATAAGACATGAAAGGCAACTAGATGTATTAAAAACCGAAGAGTCAATTTTCACAGGAGGCTGGCAGGTCTGCTTGCTATTGTCAGCTTGAAGTGATTGTGCCCCCCACTTGGCAGTCTGTGTCTTGGGACATTTTGGGTAGTCACCCTGGGGGAGGAGAGGCACTGCCACTGCAGTCTGCTGGGTAAAGGCCAGGATTCTGCTCAGTGCACAGGAAAGTGCCTTACTGCCCAGAATAGTTCAGCCTGAAATGTTGCCAGTACCAAGGTCAGGATCATAGCATAACTACCGGGGGAAATCGTGTTGGCCTCAGGAGCAGGCTCTTCCCGATGAGCTCAGCTGCAGCCCTTGTGTTGGTAGCACAGTCCAGTATGTAGCATTAGAGATCTTGATAAGAATAAGGTGAATGAGGGTTCCTTTTTTCAGTCACAGCAGGCAGGTCTTTTAAGGGTTGCATTTCTGAGGGCTGCCTGGGCTCACAGAAAGGAACACCAGAACCCAGTGGTGGAGCTGTGCCATGTGGCTGCCAACTGAGCATCTCACAGGCTTGATGTGACTTCTCAGGGCTGCGGAATATGCAGTAAGGGACTGTGTATGCATGGGCGAACCTGAACTTTCCAGCCTCTCTTCTGCTTAGAGCACCTGTGGTGGCCTCGTGGCTGTTACCTTCAGTAATACCTTGTCTCCTCATGTTTTTGTCCAGACACCAATTCTAGGGTTTCAGAACCGCTTCGCAGCATCTTTCCTGAAATGCACTCAGACTCAGCAAGCAAAGACGTGCCTGGCCACATTCTGCTGGATATAGACAATGACACGGAGAGTACCGCCTTGTGAAGAAAGCCACCTCCCAGCCCGTGACCCCTGCCACCTTGGTGCGTGGAATTGGGGCAGGCGACCCTCTGTCCTTGCAGACCAAACAGTGAAAAGCTTTCAGTGGAGAAGGCCTCACCACATAGGACTCGGCCCTCTGCACAGCCCAGGAGAATGTGGAGGCCAGCACTTAAAGCTGAATGACCTGTGTCTTGAAGAAATCGGCTTTCTTTACGTAGGAAAGAAATCATGCCAAAAAAAAAAAGTCAGAAATCAAAGAAATACCTAAGGTGAGAAGAGTATTACTGCTAAGAAGTGTATGGGGAACTTTTGTCACTGCTGTTGACATGGGCAGCACCAACAGCAGCTTGGAACGAACAAGAATGAACACGTTTACTCTCTATTTAATAAAGCACATCAGTTACACAAGTCACCTACTGCCTGCTACTCACACTTTCATTCTCATACCTTAGGAGGGAGGCTTCTCTCCTTCAGACTTGCTGCAGAATTATTTTGTATTAAGTATGGTTTTTGTTTCCCTCGGTCCTCTCAATCCGCGTGCATTGATGGTGACTGCTGGATCTGTCACCTCATCAAACTGGATATGACTGTGCCTTGTTGGATTGCCAGAATGTAGATAGAAATGTACTGTTTTTTTTTTTTTAAAACAATGTAATTGCTACTTGATAAGGACCGAAAGTTATTCTAGTTTCATGTTTAATTTGAATTAAATATATTCTGTGGTTTATATGACAACTTGGTAATTCTTGGAGCAGTGTGTGTGTGTGTGTGTGTGTGTGTGTGTGTGTGCGCGCGTGTGTGTAGACAGTCACAACATAGAACTGTAGATGACACATCTTAGGGTCTGTAGAAGTTTGAAAGAGTAGAGAGCCAAGCCACAGCAGTAAAAGAAGCCATCAGTGCCCCAGAGACCTCCCAGACTGTCCCTCAGTGAGCAGTCCATGGTCAGGGTTGTGCTTATGCTCTCTCCAGTCCTGAACCCCTTCTTATCCATCTAGAGATCCTTTGCTGAGGGAGAGCTTATCCTTAAGCTCAGGATAAGTGACTCAGTCCCTAGTGCATATATGCTAGGAGCTATGATTTACACAGGAATTTCCTTCTTCAGTGACTGGAATGTTTTCCTGCCATGTCTCGAACACGTCTTCCCAGGATTGGAGGGCTTGAGCAGATGGAGAGTTGGAGCCAAGTGAGTATGTCAGTCTGGATAGCTGTCCTCATGGTGTCCCCTCCCCGGGGCCCATACATGGTAGTTTTCTCTTGGGAATGCAGGGTATACACTGCTAGAGTTGGCTACTTGGAACCATCCATCCATAGAGTTATCTGTGGGGTGTGTCAGTATCCTGTCCCTGGCTTGGAATATATTGGACCTCCTTTTACCACGCAGAGACTCAAGCCTAACTTGAAAGGAGCAACCAGTTTTCTTCCCCCCTGAGTTCTCTGTGGCCCCAAAGCACTCTTTGCACTTGTTAATCGCACTGAGAATGTGTGCCTAGACGCTTCACCCGTCTAAAATGTGCTTACCATTCACTTTTCTCTCCTTATTCTTCAGCACCCCCCTTTAACTGTAGAACAAACATTGCCAAGAAAGCAGTTTCTATGCAGGCTGTTGCTCAGCATTGGGTCTGACTGTACACAGCCTGGTGTTTGCAACTAGATGCAAGATGCTTCACCGTGCTGTAACTGGCAGTTGTGAGGACTTGGGGGACATACTGTTGCCATGTGGGCACCCAGAAATGAAGAAAATTTACAGTGACATTCTCCTTGCATGTAGCATGTGTTGATAATTCCAAAACCCAGCAAACCTACCCTCCTTGTTTTAAGAATGTCATTCTTCTGTTGTGACAACCCAAATCTTCAGAAAAAAAATCAAAATTACTTGACCTGTTGTTATATCAAGGGTAAATACCAAACAGGAACTACTGTCTGTCACAGTGCAGGGAATCAGTGGCTCAGTGTTCAGTGTTTGTAGGTATAACTGCCCTGAAGCTTATCTGGAGGCAGGGCCGAGGATGGCACCTCAATGCTCTTCCTTTTTTGTTCTCAGGATCCATGATTCCTCCTGCTTGGAGAGTTGCCAGGTTGCTTGTACTGTTTGTTGTCACCACACATGGCAGTGCCTTTTACTCCCTGCCCTCTGTCAGAGATTGAGAAGTGTCATCAAACTTCATATTGGTCATCCTTGGCTCTCCAGGGAGATGCTCACCTCTGTGATCCACCTTTCAGTTTCCTTCCCTTTATACTGCTGGAGCTCTAGACTTACATCCTGCTCCTCTTGCCTACACAGCATCAGGAATAGAGAGCTGTTCATCTTGCCCACCCTGCAGTTTAGGACATTTCTGGCATTATAGAAGGTCACAGTGGCTCTCTGACTGGCCTGATAGTGCTGGCTTCTACCCATGTGAACTCTCTTAAGAGTTCACAGATAGTTCGAGTGACCCAGTCCCAGGACCATCTTGCTGACCCTGGTTCCCTGAGAACTTCTTTAATGGATCCCCATTCCTCTGTTAGGGCTCCACCGCACAGCACATTCCTATTTGAAAATCTTCAAAGATTCCTTCTGGATGGACTGGGGATTTAGCTTAGCAGTGTAAGCCCCTGCCTGGCAAGTGCAAGGTCGTGAGTTCGATCCCCAGTGCCAAAAAAAAAAAAAAAAAGATTCCTTCCAGTTCCACCATTCCCCACCCAGCTCTTACATATCCTGCCACACCGTATCTTCACTCCAATGGTCTCTAGAACCTCAGCCTTAGTATTTTGCATTCGATGGCTGCGCCTCTTTCGATGGAGATGGCTTCCAGGAGAATTGAGCTAGGAAGGAAGAAAGATGCACTAGTGTGGAGTCATGGGCCCTGGTGCAACCAGATGGCAAGCAAGACTCTAGTCCAGTGACAGCACCTCACAGCCAGAGTGGGCACTTGGATCCTTTCCCTGCTAGGTAAGGCCCATCTCGCCCAGCACAGTGCTTAGGTTTTTATGCACATCAACATTATACTTGACCCCAAAATTTGCATATCATTTCATATAGAAACAGCATTTTCCTCCATGAGCTTTGACCTCAAGCAGCTAACTTGGTGCAGCTGACTGGATGTTCCTTGGTCCTAGATTCCTGGGGTTGTCCTAGGTCAGGCAGTTAGGCTAGGGAAGAGTTGTAGTTGGTGGCTGTAAAGCAAAGGCCAGAAAACATTGGTGTTTTAGAAGACAAATCTGCACATTTGTCCACCAGGCACTGAGCAAAATCCTGATGTGAGTGACCCATTCTGTCCTTGAGGAATTTTTAGTTGGGCAGATAATTGAGCATTTAGTAATAAAATGTGGTACGTGTTTCAGAGGCACATGTCATAGTGGGTGTGATGCTCAAAGAAAGCTTCTTGAAAGAAGTGATGTGTGAGCAGAGTAGAGTGGTATTTAGTCAGAAGAAGAAGAAGGGAAGAGTACAAAGACCTACTCATTCAATATTTAGCCACAATAGTAGGGCCTCCTTTATGGCGTCGCTGAGACTGAGGGTGTAAGGTGTGACTTCGATTGCCCAGGGAGAGATTGGGTTGTTAGGGATCTCGCCAGTGTACAGGGAAGGTGGACTTCATCCCAAGAGTCCAGGGAGGTCACTGGAAGATTCCAAGCAGAGTCTTGGCTTGATCAGATTTGTTCTCTGCCTGTGGCTGGAGAATGGGCAAGACGATGTGGGAAGGCAGCCAGGAGGCTGGTGGCAGCAGTCCAGGGGAGATGGTAGTGGCCTGAGCCCTTGTAGTGACAGCTCTTGTTAAAATGCACTAATACCCCAACCAGAGGTGGCAGAGGGCTCAGTGTTGGGAGAGCTCTTAAGACTAGTAGAAATCTCTGTTCCTTCTGCTTCCCTCCTTCAGCCCCAGAGAGGGACATTTACCCTCTCCCATGAAGAGTGCCTCTTGAGCCCTCTTAGCAACCAAAGGGGTCTTGCCAGGAGCAGTTCCATGGGTCTGTATAGAAGCTGCATTAGCAACCAGAGCCCCCACCACCACCATACCCCCTCCTGAGAGTGCTGAGTTTACCCTTGCCCAGCCCAAAGCTATTAATGATCTGGATTGGTGTGGAAAGACCAGTTCTCACAAGGGGAGACTCTGGGCTAACTGTGTTACTATAGAGCCGCTGGCCCCAAGTATTCCGTGCACCAGCTGGGAACTCTGGAGAGATCACTGAATGCCTGTGATCAAGTGGTTCCTCAGCCTGTGTTTCCTATTTTCCTCTGTAGTCTGGAAATTGCAGTCCCTTGAAAAACTGGGACCATTACTCTGCTTTCCAGTTCTACCAGAGTAATGGTAGCTCCACCTGTCCATTTATCCCTGGACTAGAGAGCTTCCCCAGCAATGGTTGTGTATGTGGCTGCCATAGCTTCTACAGGTCGTTTCTAAAGACACTGTCAGGTCCCAAACCAAAAACCTGCGATGCTGGTTTTGCACAGAACAGTGGGTGGCTGGTCCCCAAGTCCAAAGAAGCATGGGCTCTCCACTAACAGATTCTTTGCAGACATCCTTCCTTCTGACTGCTCATTTGGAGAAGCACCTCATGGGGAGTCAGGTAAAGAAACAGAATTCTCTAAAGCAGAACTTAAGAAGTGCACACAGTTGTCTGATTTTCTTATAAGCATGAGATTCCAGAGCAAAACACTCAGGTCTCTTTTCAAGAATTCATGCCCCAGGAACAAGTACCTAATGAGAAAACCTTTAAGATCACTATTCCTTTTCAAAAAGAAAAAAGAGCTAGGACACTATTGGGAGGTTGAGGAAGGATTGCAAATTCAAGAAGCTCTTTGGGAGCTTAGTGAGACTCCTGTCTCAAAGTAAAAAAATAAGGCTTGGGGATGTATAAACCCCTGGGCTCCACATGCAGTACTGCAAAAGGAAAGAGAAGAAGGAAGGGAGGGAGAGGGAAGCAAGAAGGGAAGAAGAGAAGAAGAAAGGAAAAGACCTAAATGTTCTGATGAGAACAGCCCTTGAAGTCTCATAGTAAACAAAAGGTTTATTATTATTTCTTTCATTAAAAAATATTATTAAAACATAGACACTTGGGTTCCTTGCATTAAGCAAAGTAGCCCCAGAGGAAGATGGCGCAGGTAATGCAGACAATACAGTTGATGTCCAGAAGGGTTTTCACCATGGGGCTTTCCTCCAAGGAAATTAGGAGAGGTTGCACTTTGCTTGGGGGTGCCTCTTTGCCCTTGTTCTCCATCCCACAGAGCCACAAGATGGCATTCACCACTTTGGACTGCTTTGGGGTTGCATCACCTGAAAGGAACCAGTGAAAGAAAGGTCATAGAGGTGGGCTGTGTCTGCTGTACAAGAGGACACTAGTCAGCTGTGTTCCATCTTCCGTACTCAGGGTCCACAGCCACAGATTGAACCAAACACAAAAGGAAAATATTGGGAGAAAACTGTGTCTGAGAAAACTGTGTCTGCACTGAATGTGTGCAGATTTTCTTTACCATTATTAAACAATTCAGTATAACAACTATTTACATTGTATTAGGTTTTTGAAGTATATAGAGGATGCAAACAGCTTATATAACCATTTTGTACAAGGGAATGAGTGTCCATATACTTTTGAATTTCTGGGGAGTCCTGGAATCAGTCCCCCACAGGTACTGAGAAATGACTGTATTCATTAACTCCTTCATTTGGGAAGTCTAATTATGAAAGGTTGGTATTTTCAAAACTTCACTGTCTTCAGATGAAGAATTTCAGTGAAGAAACTGAACCTCATACCAACTTGAGCAAAGCCTCCTAGCTGGTGAGGTGTGGCAGGAGTGAGGATAGACTCCTTTATGCCGCACAGCCTTCCAGGGGGCTGCCAGGAAATCAAATGAGCACTTTTGTGATAAACTTGGTTTTCCATTTAGAGCTGGGGCCATGAACCCAACTATTTTATAGGGTCAGATAAGTAATACATTTGAGTCAAGGGAAGCATGTTTGCATATTAAGTACTTTAAAACAGGCTTCACTCTACCAAGAAATAAGCTATTTTCCATTTTTCTTTACATACATGGCTTTCTGGCTTCAGTGGACATGGGTTCATATCCACAGTACCCAAATTAAGAACCTGTCAAAAGCCATGATTGTCCACAGCCTCAAGATCCTAGGAATAACCGGGATAGGTAGAGACATGACCTAACTGAAGGACACAACCTAAATTTAAGTGACAGCTGCTTAACAGCTTCATGTAACTTCCATCATAGACATACTCTGTGTTGCATTTGGTCCCCTCAAGAGAAGATGGAAATAAATATTAACTCACATTCAAATAATACCAGTGGTCCCCAACATTTTTGGCACCAGGCAGTGGTTTCACACAAGGTAATTCTGGGACATGTGGTTCACAGCAGTTTCATGCGCTTAAGAGAATCTCATGCCCTCCATGATCTGATAGGAGGTGGTGCTCAGCTGGCAGTGTATGCCAGGAGCTGCAGTTAATACCAGTGAAGCTTCACACACTCTGGCCCATTGCGAACCTGGTGCCTAACAGGCCACAGATGGGTACCCATCATGGCCCAGGGTTTGGGGACCCCTGATTAAAACAGGTGGGCAGCAGACATCAAGTATGAAAGTACAAATTTAGAGGGTGCTGTAGTGTTCTAGCTGACTGTGTGTGGTCCATGAGAATTAAAGGGACCATGCTTTTACCAGACAATCAACAGGAACCCATCTGAGACTTCTCTTGAAGGTTTCTGACAACCCCTTTTCTGGTAGCTGGAGAGTGGGGATGACACTGGAGTCTGGGGGTGCTAAAATTCGAAGTTGTCCCCTTTTCTACTTTGAGATTTGATAGAAAAAAATTCTCCCCTTGAACACATAATGCGGCTTCTTGAGTCTCCTAATATAACTAAGGCAAGAAGCAACTCACAGTTGTGGTTTTTGGATATGTTTTCTTGAACAATCTCAAACTGGATGCTGGTGCTGGTGGCTTCTGGAGTCCCATTCTGAGAGACAGTAGGAGGCAGCGGGATTTCTGGCGGCACCTGCTCCTTCTGGACCACAGCGTCATGACGAGTAAACCAGGTCAAGTGACTGACCTAAGGAGCAGAGATGAGCTGTGAGATGCAGGAGGGGCTGGAGTCTTCCTCCACAGCCCCCAGCCTCCCCCGCTTTAGCCTTCACACCTACCCACAGCTGTTCTGACTGCCTCCTTCTCACCCTACTCTCCAGCAAGTTTCAGTCCCCTGGGTCTTCAGGACCAGTGCTCAACTCTCCGTCTGTCTTTGACAGCCCTCATTCTTATGTTGGGCTCTAACTGTCCCTTATACTACCCTTCTGAGCTTAGCCCTAATCCCTTGGGTACGGTGAGACCCAAGGACTATCCATGTCAACTCAGCCATTTCTCTAGCCAGAGAAATTTCATGGGTTTATTTGTTCATGAGTGAGCATATCGTGAGTTGACTCCATCAATGGGAACCAGGAAATTTAAAAAATAAAAAAGTAAAGGAATCAGGAGGTTTGCTAGAAATTCCAAGGCAGAAATAGGTATGCTTTTTTTTGCCCCCCCCCAACCTGGGGATTAAACCTAGAGCATGTGCAATGAGCAACATCCTGGCTCTTATTTTTTCTTTTGAGATAGGGTCTCACTAAATTGCCCAGGTGGGACTTGAATTTATAATCCTTGACTTCAGCCTTCAGAGTACTGGATGTGCCACCATGCCCGACTTGAAATGCCTGACTTTTAATTAGTGACAATCAAAGAGGATACATTCTTAGAAGCTGTGTACCCCCACATGGGACCTACGAATCAGAGCAGAAGTGCAAGGTGGATTCTGATGACCTTTTGTGTGTCTTGAATCCACTTTTCCCTGAGTCCAACTCTGGGCTTTTTGTTTCTCTAAACATTCAGTCCTCTTTGCTTAAGCCAGATGAAGTTAGTGTTCTTGCACTTGCAAGAGTGTCAGCTGATATAACTGTCAAATCAAATATACCATCTCCTTGGAGGGTGACTCTGTGAGCCAGCTCACGGTGGTTACAGTGATCAGGGTGGCCGCAGACAGAATCATAGAGAAGTAGAGGTAGTGGATGTACTTCACCACAGCGGGGCGCTCATCCGGCTGGTCACAACGAGGCTCAGGGTAGATAAAGTCCAGGACCAATCTGATCAAGCCCAGGAGCAGGCCTAAGATCAGGCCTGAAAAGGCACCCTGAAAATCAGAGCAAAACAACCTTCAAAACACTATGTACTCCAAGAAGCTTTCACAAGAGCTTCCTTTTTTACAACCATCACTGCCTGCCTCTATGATTTGGAAAGGTCTGGAGCTACTTGGCTATTTCTTTTCTGCAATGCAGTCATTCCTTGGTGTGCATTCAATCCAGGACCTCCTATGGATGCCAGAATCTACCCATGCTCAAGTCCGTATATAAAATGGTATAGTGTTTGCATGCAACCTCCATATATTCTCATGTGGACTTTAAATATTCTCTAGATTAATGTAAATGCTGTGTTAATTGTTTTATACTCTATGGTTTGAGGATTAACAAGGAAAAGAGTCTGTACATGTTCAGCATATATACAATTTTTAAAAAAAGTATTTTCAGTCTGCTGTAAGTTGAGTCTAAAGAAGTGAAACACACAGATATGGAGAGCCAGGTGGAATGCATTATGTAATTCTCATGTAATTTACTCATTCTGTTTAATAGAATGCATCAAGATTCTTCTAAGAACCCCACTGCACTTTATAGTTCCCCTGTCTGCCACAGAACTCCGGATCTTCCCAGCACACTGAGTCCAGCCCACCCTTGGTCCCACGCTCCCTGCTTCCACATGGACAGCTCTTGGTTCTTGTGTGGCGTAGGCCAATCCACTTACCTTTTCATTAGCCCGCTTCCAGAAGCAGCCCATAATGAAGACCACAGCCACGGGTGGCTGCAGGTAGGAGCTGATGGACTGGATGTAGATAAAAAGTTGGCCTCCTTGGCTGACCTGGACCACAGGGATCCAGAGAATGGAGACCACCACCAGTAGAAGCACAAATATCCTGTGCCAGACAGGGAAGGGTTCCAAATTAGTGCCATCTTCCTTAACATTCTCCCTGTTTCCTTTCCTCCTTTCCTCTTTACACAGCTACATTGGGATATCAGTTAAATACCCTAAATTTAGTACCTTATAAGTGTACAGTCTAGTAACTTATTAAATTTATAGAGTTGGCCAACCACTACTACCATCAAAATATGTGGGCCTGCAGATGCCCAACAGGTATTACAAGCAGAACAAAGCTTGACCTTCTTGTGTATCCTTTGTTACTGCACGTCTTGGATCAGATCTCTCCTCAGCTCTGCCTAGGGCTACGCTAATCATTTGAGAAGCGTCTGTCTAGGAACTGGCTGGACAGGGTTGATTAGCCCTGAATTTACATGCTTTCGTCCCCTTTCTAGATGAGGATGCCAAGATGTACATGGATAGTCCCTCGGAAGTCTCCAGCCATTATCCTAAACCTGTGATTACAATTCCAGGAATGTGGAGCCCCTGTGTCTAAATCCACAGACACAGTCCTTTCCCAGGAGCAAAGCCATCCCCTAGCAGTAGAGATTCTAGATTTACAACACCAGGACTGAGACAGTGGTCAAACAGACCCAAGCCCACCAGCTAATCCTTGAGGCCTGGCCTCCTACCCTTGGTAGAGGGCCTGTTTGAATCCCTGTATCTGACTGTGCCCCAACCAGCTACCTAAGCTGAAGGCCTTCCTTATCTTCCCTCTAACTTTTCAATTAAATCTTTTCTTTTTCTGTTAAAAATTTAGAATATCCATCACACCAAAAAGTTCCATCAAACTCATTTGTAGTTTAATGCCCCCCCCCCCGTTAGCAACCACTTATCTGCCTTCTGTAGTCTTGCCCTTCCTTAGCATTTCCTATAAATGGTATCCTGTGATGGGTGATTTTTTGTAGCAGCTAGCTTTGTTCACAACATGTATCTTTATTTCATTCCTTTTTATGGTTGAAAAGTACACCATTGTTATGGATATGCCATTATATGCCACTGTTTGATGGACATTTGGATTGTAACTTTTTGTGGCTAAAATGATTAGTGCTTCTATGAGCATGTGTACACAAAGCTCTATATTAGACATGCATTTTCATTTTTAGGGATGCTAACTGCTGAGTTACAGGGTGAATGTATGCGTAACATTCTAAGAAACTGCCAAAATGTTTTTGAATAATTGGATCATTTTATGTTTCTACCCATAATATATAAAAGTTCCAGTTTTGTACTTTGTCTTTTTTATTATAGCCATTCTTGTGGGTGTGTAGTGGCATCTCATTATAGTTTTAATTTGCATTTTTCTCATGATGAATGATGAACAATTTTTCATGGCCTTATTAACTATTTACTTACGTATCTTCCTTGGTGAAATGTCTATTCAAATCTTTTGGTTGTTAGTTTTATTATGTTTTATGACTTCTTCATATAGCTAGATTACAAGTCCTATATCCTAGTATTTTATCTCCATCTATGGCTTATTTTAAAATTCTTAATGGCATCTTTCAAAGTGGAAATGTTTTAAATTTTGATGAAGTCCAGTGTAACACTTTTTCTTTTACGAATTGTGCTTTGGGTGTTATATCTATGAACTCTTCCTAACCCAAGCCTCAGAGTGCATCTTCTTGGGTGACAGAGCCCCAAGATGCTTATCTGCATCTATTTTACATAAAGTACTAGTGATTGAAACCAGGGCCTTTGTACTGAGTTCCATACCCCGCCCTTTTTATTTGTTAATTTTGAGATAAGGTCTTATTAAGTTGATAAGTTGCCCAGGCTGAGTTCAAACTTGCAGTTTTCCTGGTCAGTCTTCCAGAGTGCTGGGATTACAGGTGTGCCTGGCATACATGCCATCAGCTGCAGCTCTTCCCATTACATTTGAGGGCTCTGCACAAGTTTCGGGTAAAAATCTTTCTCTCACCTGAAAAGCACACTTTTACCTGTACCTGGTTCATTCTCCTCATCCCTCAGGTCCCAATCCAGATTGGATCACTTCCTGTGAATTTCTAAATCTCCTGACGGCCCACAGAACACTCATTAGGGCTATGCTTGTCAGTTGTTTTCTCTTCCTCCTCTAGTGTCGTGGTGGCAAGAACTGCATCTTTTTGCTGTTCTATGCTGAACCTTGGAACATAGTAAGTCGGTGCTCACTGAACAGCTCCATGGAGTCCTAATGTTCTCTTTGCCCTCTTAGGATGCTGAGCCAACCTAGATAAGCTGCTGATTAGACTTCGCCTATGCTACGGGTAGACTCAGTTTTCTCTTCCTTGAGTATCTGGATGTTGCATTCACCCACCTGCCCCCACCCCGTAAGCCTTTACCTGCCCACCACCATGAGCTCCCTCTCAGATGCCCGTGGCCGGATGTGATTCCACAGGTCCATGGTGAAGATGGTGCTGGAACTGTTAAAGATGGAGGTGAGGGAGGACATGAGAGCAGCCACCATCACAGCCATCATGAGCCCACGGAGTCCTAGAGGCAGAAGGGAGGTCTATGGGCCTTGGGCTTTCTGTCGACAGCTTCTGCCTTCACTCATGACCTACTAATCCAGGCCCAAAGCTATCTGGTCCTAGTAGACTCAGACCTGAGGAGGCAGAGCCTCAAAGAGCATGATTGAGGTGAGCCCCTGGATGGTCACAATCTTGACTTTTAGGGAGATCTGGACCTGGGGCTTAGGTTCTGAGGCTGGAGTTTGTTCCACCCTCAGATCAGAGCCTAGCCAATGTGATCCTTTCTGGGAGTTCTCGGGCGCTGTGGGAGGGGTGAGGAGGGCATTACCTGTGGGCAGGAGCTCTAGCACGAGTTTGGGATATGCGATGTCAGAGCAGCCAGAGGGGTTGCTACAGACTTTCTGGCAGATTTCTGGGTGAGCACAGGCCACTTGATCTGTGGAGGAAACACAGGCTGAGTTGAGCAGACAGCCCCAGAGCCCAGGCCTGACCGCAGCATGGCCTGACACAGGCCAGCCCCAGGAGATAGGTTTAATGTGTGTGTGTTTATAGCTCAGTGAAATAGAAAGGAGCCTAGGCTTTATAAAGTGTGACCTTGTTACTTGACCTTCCTGAGCTTCAATTGTCTTATCTGTAGAACTGGAATAAATAACATAAGATTGGATTGAAAACTGGCTAAGAGTACACTCATAAAGCACTTAGCACCAAATCTCATACATAAGAGGTGCTGAGAATATCCCAACTATAGTTACAGCAACCCAAATAAAGCTGAGACACCCAGTGACCTCTCACCACAGTGCATGCATCAGCCTTCCCCACCCCAGAGGGAGACAAAAGCAATTCATACCTAGACCAGAGTTCTTAATTGCTTGACTCATGGGGTTATTTTTAGTACTGAAGATCAAACTCAGGGCCTTCTTACTGTCTTCAACCTTTTTTTTTTTTTTTTTTTGGCTTGTTTTAATTTTCAGACATGGTCTCACCAAGTTGTTAATTTGCCCAGGCTGGGCTTGAATTTGTGATCCTCCAAGTTCACTGCCCTACCTCCCCAGACTGCTAGGATTACCACTACCATGCCAAACACTTTTTTCTCACAGTATGAGGCCCTGAACCCAGTGCTTACCCACTGAGCAGTAATCCTAGCTCACCTTCCTCCCACTGTGTTTGTGTGTGTGTGTGTGTGTGTGTGTGTGTGTGTGTGTGTGAGAGAGAGAGAGAGAGAGAGAGAGAGAGAGAGAGAGAGAGAGACAGAGAGTCTTGCTATGCAGTTCAGGCTGGCTTCGAACTCACAGCGATTCTCCTCCCTCAGCCTCCCAGAGTCTAAACATGTTTTAAATTTTTTCTCATCTTCTCAATAGCTCACAGAGTTCAACAACTGCTTCTCATTTTAGATCCAGTGATTCCAACTTACTAGCTCAGAATTTCCCTCTCCCCTTTCTGCTTTTCTGTATCAATTATTTGCTCTCCCAAGCACCTCTCTGATTCTCCAGTAAATTTATCTAGCTTCCCTGGCATCTCTAGTTGTTCATCCTTATGTGTTATCATGATCCACATTTCTGTTATGGGCTAGGTATGGCTTGAGTTTTTCCTAGGGGTTCATGTGTCAGGATCTAGGAATGAAAAGTACATATTCTCCATGCCCCAAACTCTTGTTATGTTTTAGACAAAATTAAGAAGAGAGACTAGGAGATCCGGCCATGGAGGGACTCAGGCAGCTTATTCACCGGCCCTCTTGGTAAGCACCTGCAGTGTGGGCCTGGAGGAGCACCATTACCTGTGAGCCTACTGCCACGCTGGCTGAAAATCAAGCACCCTTCCCCCGCCTGCCCCCTCTCCCCATAGCTACTGAGGATAGATGTCTCAGCATCTCTTGGGAGGATGACCATATGCAGTATAGCAAATATGGGGGATTTCCTTCTATCTTCTGTTCGAAGGCAAAGGTTGTTTTCACTGTTTTGTTTTGTTATGTTTCTTTTGCTTTATTCAGTATTCTCAATTGGTTTTATAATGTTCTATTTTTGGTTTGATTTTACTATACCTAATTGACTGGACAACTATGGTTAAGTTAAAGAGATATGCCATAATACACATTATTACTATCCCAGTATCCCACTGTGAAATCCTATACCAATTTCACTGCATTGTCTCGGTTGGCTTTGTTCTGTCTTGTGCTGTTGCATTTTTACTACTTTCAAAATAAAAAAAAGAAAGGAGACTAAAAATATTTGATAAGAAATATTAGGGAGAAATAATCTTATTGAAAATAATATCCAGAAGGTCATATTTCTTGGCTTTTTATTATTCTTCTGGAGAAACTTGAGTTAAAAATATTTTCATTCCAATCACCAGGGGCCTCCCAGCTGGGCCACGGGTCTTATTTAAATTCAGTTCAGTGCATGTTCGGTCTGTTTTTCACAAGCTCCTTCTCTCCCAGGTCCACCAAGAAGGAACAAGCATCTCCCTGAGATATTTAATTGTTAACTACAGAGTTTTTATTTTTCTTACTAGGAATACAACTTTCAACCATAGGACACGTGACAGATGCAACCCTTATAAAGCACACTTGTTGCAGAAAACTACTTGATCATTTGTCTAAGAGTATGTTCATTGTTGGGAAATTAGTTGGTTAGGCTAATTCAGACGTGGCAGCAACAGTCAGTCTGCTCACCTGTTAACTAACCAACTGTGTCTCAGAGTTTTCTTAGAAAACTTCAGACCCCTTGATGCATGAAATAAATGATAAATCAAATCCAAACACAACACAAAACCTTTCTACAGTTTAAGCATCCACTGAAGTTTCTGTATAATTCAGATACAGCATAAACTCTATATATAAGCCAAGTGCAGTGATGCAGGCCTGTAATTTGTGGAGCATTTGAGAGATTGAGGCAGGAGGATTGTTGCAAGTTTGAGTCTGGTCTGGGTTACAAAGTGAGCTCAAGGCCAGCCTAAATTTCATAGTGAGAACTTGTCTCTAAAAAACAAACAACAAAACAGTGTATATACCCCTCATTTCATTTTCATAATTCTGTGGGGAAAGATAATGTTATTGTGCCTGTTTATTTATTTTTGAGACAGGGTCTTGTTATATATCCCAGCTGGCCTTCAACTAACTGCGTAGCCCAGGCTGGCCTCAAACTTGGGCAGTCCGCCTGCTTCAGCCTCCCCAGTGCTGAGATTACAGCTGTGTCCCACCACATCCTGCTGTCCCTATTTTAAAGACAGGGAAACTGAGGCTCAGAGGGAAGTAGTTTGCCCAGATCATACAGATGGTACATATGAGAGGTAGGACTCAAGCCTTTACTTTATTCCAAAGCTGAGGCTGAGAAGATTGGCTTTGTAAATAGGTCCACTTTCTAAATTCTCTCTCTCTCTCTCTCTGTGTGTGTGTGTGTGTGTGTGTGTGTGTGTGTGTGTGTGTGTTTAGTTGTCTTGTTTCTTTTTCAATTTCTATGGAAACTTTTTAAAAAAATATGTCCTATTTTTATCTGGACTGAGTAGAAGTGGGTTTGTCCAGGCTTATATGAGCCTAGCATCAGAGCATCTTTTTAGGCAGTTTAGAACCATCAGAAAATTTAGGAGGGACTTGGGAAGTCAAGGCAGAGAGAGCGGAAAGAGGAAAATAGAGTGGTTTAACTACAGAGCCTTGCATGGTAAGCCAGGGACCCTCGATCTTTTGGTGGCCTTGTTAAAAATAAAAAGTTGTCTTTGCCTCCAACCATTCTGATTCAATAGTTCTTGGAGAGGCCTAGAAGTCTGCATTTCTAACAAGGTCCAAGTAAACACTGCCAGATCAGCAACTGCACTTCACAAAATATTGGTTTAAGCGTCCAAAGAAGGGAGAGACACTTCAGAGCCTGCCTTACTCTCCTTACCTTGCCTCAGTCTCTAAAAGTCCTTTGAACTTATTCCTAGAGCCATGCGATAGAGATTTGATTTTATTTTATTTGGGACAGGGTCTCACTCTGTAGTTCAAGTTAGCTTTGAGTTCACTATGTAGCCTAGGCTGGTCTCAAACTAGCAGTGATCCTCTTGCCTTTCTCCTGAGTATTGGGATTACAGGTGTGCACCCTCATGCCCAGTGTAGAGTATTTTAATTATAGATTCTCTTTATTTATTTAATTATAGATTCTCTTATTTTTTTTATGAGTACCAGACTCATCAGCCACATTACAAAGTCCTTTGGTTCACAGAACACAGCATTGTGTCTCTTTAACAATGATTGTTGACTGGCTGGTTTTTACAAGGTGGCCAGGGTATCAATACTGATCTTCCAGATCTCAATCCTAAGCTTGGGATGTGATTTGTATGTCTAAGAGTCAGTTTTTAAAGGCAGGTACACCTCAGTTCAAACCTGGCTCACTCTGCATTAGTCCAACAGGTGCCGGCATGTGATCCCAGATCCTGGTTTCGTTCCCCCTCGTACCCAATTGATCACCAGTCTGATGGGGTCCACATGAAAGCATATTTTCAAACATTCACCTGGTTCCACTGCTGCCTCCTCAGACAATTTCCCCACAAACCCTGTCAAAAGTGGCCTTGGCTTTCATTCCTTTGATCTCTCCCTGAACGTTTCCTTCTCACAGCACTCAGTTCAACTAATACTTTTCTTGTTTATGTCTGTATTTCTGTCGTTTCCTCCACCTCCTGAGTCCCACTGTAGCAGGATTCTTCATGTCCTTCTCACCTATGGATCTTCAAGGTCTTTTGGAATAAAACCTGACTGATAATTTCATCCCAGAGTATTTGTTAGATACATGGAAGAATAAATAAATGAATGAGTGAATTATTTTCTTGAGCTTTAATTTCTTAAGATAGGAATAACGATAAATGCATTTACCTCATAAAGTCATTTGGAGGATGACATGAGGTAATACAGTTGTCTCTTACGTGCATGGGGGGCTGGTTCCAGAACCCCCCATAGATGTCAAAATGTGAAGAGTCTAGGTCCCATCTACAGAATGTCATAGCATTTGTGTGTAACCCTTGTGCCACGTATGCATGCTTTAAATGATATTTAAATTACTTACAATGGCAATACAGTGTAAATGCTGTGTCAATAGTTGTTAAACTGTGTGGCTAGAGAATAATGATAAGGAAAAAGCCTGTGTGTTCAGGACAGATGCAAATTTTCCCACATGTTTTCATCTGCAGTTGGTTGAATTTATGGATCCAGAAACTAGGCATACAGAGGGTCAACAGTAATGTACAAAATAATAATTGTGAACTCTTACATAGTATGTTAGTCCGCTTTTTATTACTATAAAAATACTCGATGCAGGCTACTTATGAAGTAAAGAGGGACTTACTTTTGCCTCTTGGTTCGGGGAGTTCAAGGCAGTGGCCTTGCTAGTGTGGACTCTGGTGAAAGCTGCAGATGAGGAGCGTGGGTCTGAGCAAGTGCTTGATCAGAGCCAGGAATCCAAGGAGACAGAGGCAGGTGTTGGGGGAGGGGAGCATCAGAATCCTACAATCTGTTTCAAGGACATTCCCTTAAAGATCTAAGGATCTGCCACTGGGATCCACATCCTGAGGGTGCACAGCATCTCCCGTGTTGCTACCTGGAGCCTTTGCCTTTCAGAAGGACCTTTGGGGGACACTCATCTTAGCTGCAGCATAGAGTGCATGCCATGTTTCAGGAACTGCTATACGCCAGATGAAGGTTTTTAAACCTTATTTGACAAGTGAGAAAGTAGAGACAGAGAGATCACAAGATATATACAACTCATGAGCAGCAGAACCAAGACTTGGGCCCAATCCCAGAATTCAGTACTGACTCCCAGAATTCAGTGCTGACTTCCCCTCTCCAACCTTTACTTCTTAATTCTCCATTCTTCATCTTCCTCCTCCTCCTCCTCCTCCTCCTCCTCCTCCTCCTCCTCCTCCTCCTCTTCTTCTTCTTCTTCTTCTTCTTCTTCTTCTTCTTCTTCTTCTTCTTCTTCTTCTTCTTGTTTTTGTTACTGATACAGAGTCTCACTATGTAGTCCAGGCTAGGCCTTGACCTCCCTAAGTAGTCCAGGCTGGCCTCAGACTTGAATTGATCTCCTGCCTCAGCCTCCTGAGTGCTGAGGGTACAGGCATGCACCACTACACCTGGCTTATTTCCTAATTCTTAAGGGATTTAAATTATTTTGATTTAAGTAGGTTAACTAACAGAACATTTCCCACTACCCTTCGTTAACTTCTGTGTAGCATTTTGTAGGATGAGGCATAGGGGAGCAAACTCTTTTTCTATTCCCCTTTGATGGCTATGGAGCCTTGGTGTATGGGGTGAGGTGCTCACTGGAGAGAAAGAAAGAAGCTTTCTCCTGTACAGGTTACCAGGTCCAGACTCTACAGTGACTCACAGTATTACTTACCTCCATGGTACAAAGCATATTCCTTTACCACATTGAAAAAAATCAATACTAAGCATATATTCTAAAGGCTGTGATACACTCTGATGTTTGTTAAGAAAAGTACCCATAAAGAGTCCCCTTGAACCAAAGTTACCAAACCACTGAACCCAAACACTAAAACATGAGATTCCAAGGAACTGACATGTGATGTCACACAATTGTGGTCTGTTTGTGATATGAAAAAATATAGCTGAGGAAGATCCCCAATAAATTTCTGCTGTTTGATCTGAGACACCCACTGCACAGAGCCAGTGTTAGGAACTAAGTCTGGACAGAGCCAAATTCTGATCACTAGGAGAGGGGCCCTGGTCCCTCTATCTGAGAGCAGACAGACAGACAAATTTAGAATACTTCATGGGGCTGCGACCTGCAGAGAGAGGACCTCTTATCCATCTGTGCCCTCACCTGGAAAGAGGATGCGGCTGATCATACCAGGGAACACCATTAGGAAAAGGGGAAGAACCTTCAGGTAAGCGGCCATCAGGGATCCTCCTTTGGCATGAGACAGGTTCTTGGCAGCCAGACTGCGCTGAACAATCACCTGGAATGAAAGGAGGGTGGTTGGAAGCTGAGGTGGACCTTCTAGGGAGGAAGACCAGCTGTGCAGTGTCTTGGGAGTGTGGTAGATTGAGTTTTGTTGCTTGCCTGGCTTCATTTTAAAAGGAAGCATGTCTTTCTATTCCCAGGCTTTACACGCTAAGCAGGGTGGCTGTGACTCCTGCTCTGTTTCCTCCTCCACACCTTTGTCCTGGCCATTTACAGTTCACAGAATAAGTCTACCAGCAGCAGCAGCAGCAGCTAAGCAAACAGTGTACCCATGAGTGTCCAATTAAAGCTCTTCTTGAAAACTTTTCCTGATAAAGGGAAGGGAAAGAGGCACCTTACCCCCTAGAGCCCCCAAATAACTGTACATTTGAACTGTGGGATTTAATAAATGATTAAGGGTGGCTATGTCTGTGCCATTACACCAGGAAATCTCTTTGAGACTGAAGTCATCTAAGAGAAAAGAAAACCAGGAAATGAAGGAAGAGAAGTCATTTCTGATGAGCCCTTCATTCAAGCTCTGCCAGGTCTGGTTTACAGTATGAACTCTGGAGATGGAGACAGCCTCCAAATACGGGGTTTTAATCCTACCTTCCCACTTTCTGGCGTATGACCTTGAGCAGGCAGCTTTGCCCCTCTTTGCCTTAGTTTCATCTGCCAAGAGGCAGTTAAAATTAAGAGGATAAAATTAAGGTTTCAGGAATCACTTTTTACCTTCAAACTGTTATTTTTCCTACAAATAACAAGAGTTCACACTAAGTCATCAAATAACCCTTAATGGGAAGCATATCCAGAGGCAGGATTTGTCCAAAATCCCACATCACCACACCCTTAATAACATCAAATCCCACAATTCAAATGTTAAAGTCATTTGGAGGTAGATAGCAGATGGGTGAGATGTCACCTTGAGGAATGTGTCATCAGTAGAACCTGTGGGATCGAACCTTGTCCTAAACCTGCCCAGGGCTCTGTGCTGTCATCTGTAATGGGGATAACAATGGTGTTTGTGTTTTGAGGAATCCTGAAGTTCCTAAGGAGACTAGTAGTGATTTTTGTTGTCACTGTCGCTGTTGTTGGTGGAAGAAACTAGAGAAAGAAGTTCAGATAGATTAACAAAATAGAAGAGAGCTGGGAACTGACATTGGAAGCCGCAGCAGGGCAGCAGGTGAGCTGTTCAGAAGCACAAAAACAGTGAACACCGGGCCAGTCCAGGATGGAGGAAGGTTGTGGAGGTGCAGCTGGGCAAATGTAACTGTCCGTGTCCTGCTTTCAGGATTGGCTCTTCCGTGGTGGCAGAAGGAGCCAGTGTCTGAGAAAGCACTAACGCTGAGAAAGTGAAAAGGAGGAGGGTAGACTAGAACCGCAGCTTTGCTGGAGTGATGAATTAAACAGATAGGGGGAGAGGAGTCTCATCTGTTGCTGCCCTCTGTATTGGAGAGACAGAGATAGTTTTTGCACCAGGGATGCCTGGAGCTTACCCTAACCCCTCTCCAAGACATTTCTGTTGAGTAGGGTGAGCGTAGATCTTGCTAAGGTTCATCCACTCCAGGGGACGACATTCCAGAGTATTTGCTGAGTCAGGGCCTGGTTCCCACAAGAGCCCCCTGCGTTGGGCTTCATTTGGGATGAACCATCTCGAGCTTATGGCACCCCTGTACACACAAATGATGATTATTTGGATACTGTGTGTGGAAAACTCTGACGTGTGGAATTACTTTATTTGAGCAAAGTGGGGGAGCATAAGAATTCCTTTCTTCAAGGCTGGGAAATTATCTATCTTTTTACAGTTGGCTTAATTATTAGCTGTTATTTCTCAGGACTCCAAACACACTTACTGAGGCTAGAACACTTAAGAACAAAATTGGTAGCAAAATTTAACGATATCAGGCAATAATATATTAGCTTTTAAAGAGAATTTTAAACATTAATTTACTTTTTATCTGGTAGCTGAACATGATGGCACATGCGTACTGTCCCAGCTATTATAGAGGCTGAGACAGGAAGACTGCTTGAGCATAAGAGTTTGCAAACAGCCTGGGTAACATAACAAGATCTATCACTTTTGAAAAATTATTTAAAATGTATAACATGTCAATATGTACACACTATGGAATGCCTAAAGAGAGACAGTTAACATATGGATTACATCACATTCTTTTTTTCCTTTTTTATTTCTTTCCCTTTTTTTGGTAGTGAAAACACTATATATGCTCATTGAAACACTATCCACAATCACCAAGTGTCCATGGGCAGATGAATGGACAAAGAAATTGTGCTACATACACAATGGGAAACTACTGAGCCGAGAAAGGAATGGAATCCTGTCATTTGTCACAATAGGGCTGAACCTGAAGGACATTATGTTAAGTGAAGTAAGTCAGACACAAGGACAAAAGACCACATGATCTTACCAATGTGGATTCTAAAGGAGTTGAACTCAGCAGTAGAATACAAGGGACTGGAGGCTGGGATATTGGAGCGATGCTGGTCAAAGGATACAACATTTCAATTAGACAGGAGGAACGAGTCCAAGAGATCTATTGTACAACACAGTGGCTTTGTCTTAGTGACTTCAATGCCCTTAGAATATATCCAGTAGAGAGATTATTGCTTCACTGAGGTGCCAGGAGACAGGAAAGAGTTCATAGTTTCATGAAACGAAGTCCTTTCTACCAGAGATCTGAAATTGTAATTTAAAAGAACTCTGGGACAACCCATTTGGGACCCCTTCTATCTCTCAGGAGCCATTCCCTTTCTCCAATAAATTTTCTTACTCTTTAAATAATAAATAAACAAATCTCTGGCTTCTATTACCATGAAGTGGTACCTCCAATTTGACTTTAACAAGTAGCTAAATAATTTTCAGACTAAGCTGTACCCACAAGCTGAAGGAGGAGGGTGTCACCCTCCACAGCAGCAGCCAACCCAGTAATGGTGCATACCTCGCAAGGGACGCTAACAGAATGAACTGAGATGAAATGCTCAGATCCGTGACTGGTAAATCATACAGCATCTGTAAATGTTTAAATGACATTACTTCTATCAGTTACTGTTTTCCTTTTGCATCTCTGCCTGGGATGATCTGAAACATGATCTTGATCCATGGGCAACAGATGTTGGTTTGCCTTTCTTGCATTCTGCGTGAGCTGAAGGGCTGCCAGTGACGTGCGTTTCCAGGGCAACACCAGCACAGTGAACCAGCACATTCTTTGGACTCTGTGGAATCTGGGTCAGCAGAAAACCTTATGGTTGACCAAAGTCAAAGGGCTAGAGAGGAATGGCTGCGGGCGGGTCCCTTTGGCCTTGCCTGGCATTTGGAGATCCAGTCCTCCTGGACTAAGTCCTTAGGCTCTTGTGCAACATGGAGTGGGTTGGAGGGCCTTTGTCAGTTTCAAGCCTGTTAAATTTAAAACCCACGGAGATAGTCTGAATCTGTGGTGTCTCTCGTGGTCTCTTCTATCTGAGATTTGCTAAGGATGAGGTAAGCCTGTCTCCTAAAAGTATTTGTGTGCTACACCAATTACTGCCTTATGTGCTCTGCTCTTCAATCACAGGAGTCCCTTTCATTATCTGTGACATCTCTTACATCAGCTCAGCTGTTTGATCCTACGATCGCTGCTTTAATTAAACTCTCATCAGCCCTGACTATACATTATGGCTCCCAAAATGATACACAGATCCCTGGTCTTTGATGTACCAGAGAAAAATGTTTGAACAGGTGACACAGTCCCAGGTTCAGAGTCAGACAATGTACAAAGAGGTGCTCAGAGAAGTGGCTCTCATCTATCTTTGCTCACTATTCCTTTCCCTGCCCGTGAATGTTGACTCTGTTTTATGCAAGCCCATGCAGAATTGCTTCCTGCACACACAAGCAAACATTGATTCTGTCCTACTCCCATCCACAGTCTTTCCACGGCACGCTTTTTATTTTTCCTGTTTCTTTTTTCACACCGGTTACTATTTGCCTTAAGGCTTTCTCTCTGGTTACTCCCTGTGCCACAGGTGTTTTTCCTCCAACTATCATAGGGGGCACTCACTTTCCTCCATCCCAGGAAAGCAGCATAGAATTCTTACAGTGGGGAAAACACAGAGCAACAGTCTATCACTAGGCACAGCTCCCAAAGATATGAGCTAAGTTTGTTGAAAAGACACAGTGCCACGTGCATTGCGGCACTGTTATAACAGCCAGATATGGAATTGATCTGTGTCCATTCTCAGATGTGTGGGTAAAGGACATGTGTAGGTGCACAGTGGAACACTTCTCAGCAATAAAAAGGGTAAAACCTTGTCACATGCAGCAAGATGGAGAGACTGGGAGGACATACTGTTAAGTGAAATGAACTAGGCACAGAAAGAAAGTACCACATGGCATCCCTCATCCATGGAACCTAAAAAAAGCTGAGCTCATAGAAGAAGAGTGTCAGAGTGGTTACCAGAAGCTTGGGCAAGTAAGGGAAAGGAGGGGATCAGGTAGGGGAGATTCGTTAGCGGAACAAAGCCATGCTAGCTAGAGGAAACAAATTCTATTAAACAGAAGGGTACTATTATACAGAAGAGTAATTATACTTAACAATACTGTATCATATAAATAAAAATCATGGCTGGGGACTTAGCTCAGTGGCATAAGTGCCTGCCTGGAAAGTGCGAGGTCATGAGCTCGATCCCTGATACCAAAAAATAAAAATAAATAAATAAATAAATAAAAATCACTAGAAGAGGGGATTTTGAATATTCTCATAACAAAGAAATAATACATGTTGAAGATGATGGATAAGCTAAATGTCTTGAGGAGATAATTACACAGTGTGCAGATATGCTGACACATCACACTGCACCCCCAAAGATGTGCAGTTGTCTGTCATTTACAATATATACATTTAAATTTTTGAAAACCTAAAAAATTCTTCAAAATGTCTCCGCTCAAAGTCTCAATCACACCTCTCCTCATCATCCTATTTTAAATTGTGCTCCCACCTCTCAGTTCCATTTACTTCACTCTGCCTTTTTAAAAAATGGCACCTTTGGACCAGGGAAGCTCAGCAGCATAAGTGCCTGTTCAACAAGTGTGACATTGTGAGTTGAATTTCCAGTATAAAAAAAGAATAAAAATGACACCTTTTAACATCTCTCATGATAAACTTAATTGTCATCTCTTGTCAACTCTCAGTAGAGGCAACATAGCACTGTACATGCTGAGGATTTTGTCTGATTTGTTTCCTCCGTATTCCCGAGAGCCCAGAGGTGCCTGGGACACAGAGGCTGCCTGCCAAAGCACTGCTGACCAAGGGATGCCTCCAATATGAGCACTGGCCTTCTTGTAAACTGTATCATCTCTTTTCCTATTCACTCTTCCCAGACATCAAACAAGATGTATTACATTTCCCCTTTGCAAAGGTCAGCACCTTTGGATTTTCCCTTTGCATTAACAAGTGCAAAAGAGCAAAATAGCATGTAGAATGCGACAGAAGGGAAGTAGTCTGGGAGGTGGAGAAAACATAAAAGAAAACAAGAAGGGAAAGAATGCCACCATCCGCCACCCTAGGCAAACAGCTATGGAATGTGCTCACTCAGCCGGCTGCCTGTACCTGATCCGTGCACCAGTACCACAGAGATGGGATGGACATTCCAAACAGAATCCCCGGCCATGGGAGGTCAGACGTCACTGGATCTCGGAAGATATGGAAGGCATCCTCCCGGGGCAGCCCACAGCTGCTGTTCACACTCTGGTTGCTAGCCAGGGCCAAGAAGTACTTTTCCTTCAGGCCTTCCATTCCCCCAACTGCAGAAAAACCTAGAAGGCACAGAAAGCCTAAGTTTTCCAGGAATTCAGACGAGTCTGTGACAATGAGGGGACAGAAGGCTCCTTGAGGGTTGTTAATCCCTTTTCTTTTCATATCTTGGATAGTTACCATAGATTATGTTTTAGGATAACGTTTCTAAGTGTATAATACAAAACCCAGAGGATTAGTTGGGCATGAAGGCACACACTTTTTTGGGGGGTGTGGAAGGACCTGGGATTAAACTCAGGACTTTGCGCTTGCTAGACAGGCGCTTATGCCGCTGAGCTAAATCCCCAACCCCAAGGCACACACTTATAATCCCAGCACTCTGGCAGGCTGAAGCCAAAGGATTGCAAATTCAAGCTCAAGTGGATTCAAGGTAATCATCAAAATATAGAAATGTGACAAAAATGCTTCACTGAATGGTAAGATGTAGCAGTAGGTCTAATTAATGATTTAGTTAAGCAGCTTTGAAAACAAAAAATATTTAAATACATCAGGAATAACTTTAATATAATATAAAAATACTTGGAATAACTTGGTATCAGATTCACAGGTACTACTCCTATTGCTGTGGTCCATAGCCTACAATTATAATGGGAAGATGGTTAATTATAGATTTGAGCTAACAGAGGTATATTTTTCCATCAGAATCCACAGATGTCCAGAATTTGGTCCATGGACCCCAGGTTTCTTGCCTTAAGAAAGCATTCTTTTGCCTTTGAATTCCTTACTGGTCTCAATTCATGGTAGCAGAGTGGACCAGGAGACACGTGGACCTGAGCTAATCACTGCCCCTCTCTGAACTTCTGTCTCCTGTCCTGTAAAGGGGCAGAACTTCACACCAGCCTCCTAGGCCTGGCACAAGGATCAAATGAGATGAGACACACGAAACGACTAGCACAGCTTCTGGCACAGAAGAGCACTATTATAAAAATTATTCTTTAGTAATTGTGAGCTTGGGATTATGCTTTTTCAGTAATAGGACCCACCCATCTGTTTAAAAAAAAAAAAAAGCAAGTGAACTCTTTCATAGAAAGACTGTTGGAAATGGTAACTATTTCAAAAGTCAAACTCAGATTCATGTTTTCAGGAGGTCTGTGTGCAGCACTTAAATGGTGCCAATATTGTAAGTGGGGAAAAGCAAGTGAACTGCATGCAGCATATAAATCACAGTAGAATGATCCCATAAACCGTGATATAGATAAGAATCACCTGGGAATTGTTAAGTGCAAATTCTGACCCAGCAGGTCTGGTGGGGACTAGAACTCTGCCCTGCTCACGACTCCTGGGTAACGCTGAAGTTACTGAATGGGTGTAAGAGACCTCAGGGTACCAATGAACTAAACATTCCTCTTGGCAGGAAGAAACTGAATGGCTTTGAATATTAATCTTGATTTACTAAACTCCTTTTATGGTCAGTTTTTCTGTTTCTTGTATTTTTTCTAGGTGCAGATGTCATAAAACATCTGCAAATAATAATTTTACCTCTTCTTTTCAGTGTACTGTATATTCCATAGATTTTATTTTGTATTAAATAATAGGAGAGCATCCTTTTTGAATTCTATTGGGATGACTTCTAATTTTTAAACAAGTATTCTAAATAACATCCTTTTAAAATTCTACATAGATTATTTCTAATATTAAACAAATATTATAATTTCTTCTTTAGAAATTGAACTATTAAGATTTCCTTTCATAACAAAAAAAATTTTTTTGGTACCCGGGATCAAAATCACGACCTTGCGCTTGCCAGGCAAGTGCTTATGCTGCTGAGCTAAATCCCCAGCCATAAAATTTTTAAAAAATAAAGATTTCCTACTTTTTCTTGAGTGAAATAATTTGTGTTTTCTAGGAAAAGCATGAATTTCAAGTGTTTTATATTTATTAGCATAAAACTGTTTAATCAGTAGTCTGATCACTTTTGCCCTCTGTGTGTTTGATTCCTTTTCTCATTCCTAATTACACTACATTGTTTTTCTTCTCTTCCCTTAATTTGATTTACCACTACATTGTACTGGGTTTTTTTTCAAAAACATAGACATTAGAGTAACTAATTTTGTAGTTTTCTTAATTCTAATTCATTAACTTGGGCTTTCATATTAATGGGTATAAATGTTTTCATGCAACTTTTGACTCTATTAATTATGAAATATAATATCACCTCTTTTTTCTAAATAATCCATAATTGCAAGGGTATTGACATTTCTGAGAGTCTCACTATGCTTCCCAGGCTGGTTTTGAACTTCTAGGCTAAGTAATCCTCCTGCCTCAGTCCCGGTAGCTGAGAGCTCAGGCACATGCCACCACACCACCTTTGCAATTTTATTTCCACTTTCATACAAAAACTGTTTATGAGGTGGGTTCAAATTTCTAAGCAATCAGTTTTAAAACAAATTTATATTTTTCCTATTGAGTTTAACTTTTTTGTTGTTTTATATGGGTAAGATCCTTTACACAACACGTGCCTGAGTATTTTTCCAGAATTCTGTTTCAATGATTGATTTTTGTAGATATTTCTATACATTTTTAGGGGAAGGAACATTCACTATGTTTAGCATGCTTATTCATTTGTAGAATAACTTTTTTTATTCTGCGTTGTTTGATTTTATTGTCTGTGATGGTATGAACAGCTATTTTGAAGAAAACAAGACATTATAATTAACTAGTGACGATTTAATATCATCTTGTTTTGAAGTCCCACCAAGCTTTTGTTGTTCTGTCTCCATCAGTTTTATCATGTGGCATCTTATTGGATTTTATTATATGTGATAGTACAAACAAAATATTTTATAGACAAGGAGATAATATAGTAACCTTTGTTTATTTTCTGTTAGTTGGTTCTGAATACCCTGTAATACTGTCATTCTCTTGAATGGTTTTATGCTGTCTTTTTATGTTTGATACTATAGTATATGAAGGTATACTCAAATATTTCAAGGAAAGAGACACTATGGTAGCTACTGTTATGTCGGATTATCTTGTGGTGAAACATTATGTTGCTTAAATTGTTCTGTTCTGAAAAAAAATTTATAACTTCTAAATTCTTATTTGTGTTTTGCTCTGTCATGTGTTAAAGTATTTTAGTACTATTAGATTTCTGTCAAATATTTCTAACATCTTTTGCTTTTGTGTAACCTATTACAATATATTTAATACATAGATGTTATATTTTCATTACCAATTTTCTGGTTTCTAGTATAAAGTAAAATTTCCTTCTGATTAATACATTTGACCTATTTATCTGAGACACTTGAAAATTATATCAAGTGAAAGTTTCTTAACTCAAGCCATGTAGCACACATTTTGTTGAGAAAATAAAGAAGATATAGCTAAGTAAAACAGTAGAACAAACAGCCATATACCCAACTCACAGATTGGTAATGACACAGAAGTCTTGTACCAGAAGGGAATTTTATGTCACTTTCTTGTACTGTCATAATTAATGCTTTGCCTTCTATTTTATTGTTCCCCTTAGGTTGTGATTCTTTGTATTTCTTTTTAAGAAACTTACATTCCATATCTAAAGGAAAGATTTATAAGAATGTCTACTGGACGTTTACATTTGTTCTTCATGGTGTCTCAGATTTTCCTATTTGATGAGAAATTTAGCAAATTTCTCTTTTTTTGGTACTGGTACTAGGAATTGAACTCACAACCTCGTGCTTGCTAGGCAGGCACTTATGCTGCTGAGCTAAATCCCCAGCCCAAAATTTAGCAAATTTCTAAAGGAGGAGATTGGAACATGGCAAAATGGCAGGCAAGTAGGTGTGACCTGTTAGTCTTAGAGAACCAGGAGATATGCACCCAAACCCTGCACCTAGAACCAGTCAGAAAGTGCTAAAACTCAAACAGGTTTTTGATAGGTTGACCCAGACTTCAAGTCAGCCAAAGAAATGGGAGATACAAAAGATGGCTGCCACTGAGCGCTTGGCCCCTGTGCTTTCTGTTTCACAGTGGTCTGTTCTCACCCTGAGGAGTATAATTGTCTTCTTCCTTTAAGTATCTTGCACTTGCTTTTTCTTTTCCTACATCTAGTAAATGTAAAATCTTGCTACCTTTTATGCTCATTTTGTCCAGTTCTTTGTTCAGAACAAGAAGAACCTGGAAAGAATTTCTAGAAGGTGTCCTCAGAACTCAAGAACCCAGTAAAACTACCTCTCTTATATTTAATGTCTTTGTAAGTAAAACAGTGTTTAGATCTAGACAACTTTTATTAAGTTGTTATGCTTTTTATGTAACATTTGCTTAAACAGTCTCACAATAATTTTTGGATCTATAACTATTTTACTAGATCTTCATTTACTATCATTTTTTAAAAATCATAACATTAGCTCTGAATTTAATTTAGCTTCTCTCTACCCTGTGTTTTTATTAGTCTTTACATAGTCCAGAATGCTTCTACACATTTATCTCAGAAGTAACTGGTTAGATGTCTGCCTTGGGGGCTAAGTTTTCTCCATAGAACTCTATAGCTCTTGCTCCATAATCTTTGGAATTTTATTTATGGAAGAAAGAAATGAGCCAGTTTTATGTTCTGATCTTTTTTAGCTCACCACTTTTTTCTTTCTGGATTCTTTAATATCTTTCATGATCCTTATCATCCAAATTTTTCCATGTTGCTTCTTTCTGTAATCTTTTGAAACAAATTGCTAACATCTGAATGTAGGCTGTCATTGAGGTGGGATAGAAGAAATAAATATTGGCAGAAAGGAAACTACTTCTGATGCATGATCAAAGTTACCTTTGTTCAATGTTCAATGTTCAAAGTTATCTTTGTTCAATGTCTTTACTCCCTAAGCTTTGCTTTGCTTTCTTTCTTTCTTTCTTTCTTTCTTTCTTTCTTTCTTTCTTTCTTTCTTTCTTCCTTTCTTCCTTTCTTTCTTCTCTCTCTCTCTCTCTCTCTCTCTCTCTCTCATTTTCCTTTTTTTTTTGTCTTTTTGAGACAGGGTCTTGCTATTCAGTTCAAGCCAGCCTTGAGCTCATTGTGTAGCCCAGGCTGTTCTCAAATTTGCAATGATCCTCCTGCTTCAGCCTCCCAAGTACTGGGATTACAGGTGTGCACCACCACATCTGGCTACTCTCTAAGCCCATAGTTTGCTTCTTTGTTTTCTTCTAGACCCATCATACTCACTAACCCTTAAAATACTATAAATTCAGGCCAGGAATTTAGCTCAGTAGCATAAGTGCCTGCTTTGCAGGCACGCAGTGTAATATCGATCCCCGGTACCAAAAAACAAGCAAGCTATAAATGTATAAGTTAACCTAGGAAATAAAGTAAAGGGCAGAAGCCTGACCTTCAGATGAAGAAATAGACACAAGAGCTTCAGAGAAGGTTTTTAGGCAAAACATCTTATATTATCCACCTTCCCCCCCCCCCCCCAGTTCTGGGGAATGAACTCCAGGCCTTCACACTGGCTTACATTACCAGCTCTTTTAAAATTTTTTTATTTTGAGAAAGAATCTTGCTTCCTAAGTCACTAAGTTTCCCAGGCTAGGTTCGAATTTGAAATTCTCCTGCCTTAGCCTCTCAGAGTGCTGGGATTATAGGCATGTGCAACCATGCCAAATAAGGTCACTCTTTTTAAAGGATACCTCCAACACCACAGGTACCCCTAGTGTCCCCAGCTCCATACCAAAGTGCCCTCTTTACTGTTCAGACTGTTTTTTCTCTATGTACTTCTTCAACTCTGCCTAATAAATCTGCTTATATCACTTACTGTCATCCAGAAAAAAAATTTTTTTTGGCAGTACGGGGCATTGAACTCATGACCTCGCACTTGCCAGGCAGGTGCTTATGCTCCTGAGCTAAATCCTCAGCTACAGAAATTTTTTTTCTATGACAAGAGTCCAGGAGCCTACTTGGAGGGGGTATGAAAGGGGGACTTGAGGTCCCCACCTCCTTTCTGAGAAACCTCCTCAGATGCCCATTAGTGTCAGTGTTAAGATCTAAGAGTCTTGGCAGGGACAGACACAGGAGAGGTCACACCCCTTGCTGGCACTTCTTAGATCTGGGTGCTCATGAGAAAGACAGGAGGTGATGGGAGGAGGCAGCTGCTACACGGAATAGACGTGAAGCACCAGGCAGATCTTGGGCTAAGGCAGCAAACTCTGTGGCCCAAAGCACAAGTGGAAACCCTCTATGACTGCAGAGGGGACCGAGCCCTGACGACATGAGTCTTGGACAGCCACTGCCTATAAACGAAGACCTCCACTTCCACTGCAGCAAGGGGAGGAACACAGCCAGAAATGGTTAAAATAAAGGTTGATACACATTTAAATGTTTTCTTCTTCATAAGAAGCAAAATTTTTCTGGCAAAAGTTAACAATAAACAATTTTGTTGCTGTTCTTATTGTGAAATGAATATATTGTCCTATGATTATTTCTTTTGAAAGATAAAAATAAAATACACAAAATTAGAACTGTATAAAAACATACAATGTTAAAGTAAAAACTATGCCTGTGTACTTTGACTCCCGCTCCCAGACCCTTCTCACTGATGTTACTGGATTACTTCCTAGTAACTGGGGAACAGGGGAGTATCAGGATCTTGCTATGTTGCCCAGGCTGGTGTCAAACTCCTGGCCATGAGTAATCTTTCTGTCTCAGCTTCCTAAGAAGCCAGGACAATAGGTATATGCCACCAGTCATGTCTTGAATGCTAGCTCTGTGAGCCATGTGATCTTGGGTGAGTTGTTTGGTAATTAGTGCCTCAGTTTCTCATCCAAAAAAGAGAGTGATCATAATACCAATCTTTGTGAACTTTATAAACCTCAAAAGGGTTAGCATACCTAGAACTGTTGTATTTCAATAGCAATTAGATTTTTATAGAGATAATTTCAGACACTGAATTGTAGAAATAGTACAATGAGTTCTCATATACCTTAAATTCAAATTTATCATATATAGCCATAGTACAGTTATCGAAATTAAGAAATTAAGCTGGGCATGGCGGTGCACAACTACATTCCCAATATTCTGGGAGCCAAGGCAGTATGACCACAAACTCAAGCCCAGACTGGTCACCTTAGTGAGACCCCCATATCAGAATACAAAATTTAAAAAGGGGGTGGGGATGTAGTTCAGTGTGAAGACTATGGGTTCATTCAATCCCCAGTACCACACACACACCCCTAAAAAATTAACATTTGCTATGGCTGAATATTTGTGTCCCCCACCTAATTCATATACTGAAGCCCAACCCAAGATGATGGAGTCTTTGGGGTCTGGCTAGGTCCTGAGAGTAGAATCCTCCTAAAAAGTATCAGTGGTGAGCTGGCTAATCCTTTCCCATGTGAGGCAGAAGTTATGTGCTTGACTCTGGAAGAATATTGGTTAGATATGTTGTGAAATGTCCTTGAATTGGGGTCTTCCCAATGTTTGCTTCTGTTTAAACTATGCATTCTGGAAAAGAACAGCAGAGAAGTGATTTTATGTCCTGCTTGGTGCATCATATCAGGAGGTTCATGGTACCCTTGTGTCTTGTTAACGGTGGAATTAACCTTGGCCATTTAGTTATCTGCCAGGTTTCTCCACTGTGAAGTGATTATTTCCCTTTGTAAGCAATAAATACTTGAGCCGCAATACCTCTGATACTATCTTGTTTTTCAAAACCTTTTACTCACTGTCTTGAGCACCAGGCACTGGATTTTCCCTGCAACAATTATTATTCTGTTGTTCATATGGTGATTCTCTATTTTCCTCAAGCAATCTGTATTGGTTAATTGGAATTCTCCTTTAAGAGTAGTCCCTTTCATATCTCCTTTTATTTATTTATGCAATCATTTATATCAATACCAGAAGAGATATTTTTACCTATAAAACAGTAAGCTTCCATGAAATTTACTCTTAGCTAAAATAACCATGCCTCAAACAAAGGACCTGTGACAGAAATCCCCATGTAGCATATTTTTTGATATTTGGGTTAGCTTATCACTATGATGGGCGCAGATGTCCTGCTGTCATCCACTCAAATCACTCTGGGAGGCCACTTACTGTAGCCCATCAAGGTGAATGCTCCTAGAAGCATAATCCCAGTCTGCAGAGCATCGGTGTAGATCACAGCGGCCAGGCCACCTGGAGGGGAGGAGCACTGAGGTGAGGATGGGGCACAGAGAGAACAAGGAAGATCAAGACCCAACATACTTGTTTGGGTCAATTGGTTGCAAAGATGACCACAGTAACTCCCCCTGCCCACACGAACATCTACAATACAACTTCGCTGCATTTCTTATGTTGAGATGAAGCCGATTTCTCTGCATCTTAAATATGGGCTTGGCCCTGTGACTTGCTTTAGTCCACAGAACACGGAGGAAGTGGTAATGTGCAGCTCCAGGCCTCACCCTCCAGGAAGCCTGTGGCTTTGGCTCTGGCTCTCAGGTTTCCCAGAGAACTCTTTGCCTTAGGAAGCCTGGTCTAACCTAATGGAGGATGCTGCCCTGGAGAGGAAGCCTAACTCATAACCAAAGATAGTCACCAGGCATGTGAGTAACGCCATCTTGTTCCAGTCATCATTCCAGATAAAGTTCCAGCTACCATTCAATAAAGGCAGGTGAGACAAGTAACCAGCCATCCAGAAACCCCTGGGAATGAGTGGAAAAGTAAGTTTAAGTCCCTAAATGTGTGGGTGGTTTGTTGTACAACTTCTCGCTGAAACAGGAAGTGATATTTGGGCCACATTCCTCAGGCTCTGAACAGCGTTACCTTTTAACACTGGGAAAAGGATGTGAGTGCTAGGCTTTTGGAAACCCCTTGGAATTCTTTATCAGGGTCATTGTGTTCAGTGTAAGAGGCTTCTGTTGGGAATTGTCACCTAGAAAAATCTTTGCAATGGCAATAATGGTAGCAAAGTCATCAGCATCTGGACAAAGCAGTTTTCCCAGTCTCTTCTCTGAACCTCCCTCTTTCCTCCTCCCCCAAAGGGAAGGGACACTCATCTGATATGAACATGTTTACTAGAGGGCAAGTCACTGTGCAATAAAAAAAAATGCAAATGGGTGTGGTATCCTTGACCTGTGCTTCCTCAGCGGGAAGAGGTCCTCTCACGCAGCGGAAGGCAGTGTGGCTCAGATCCTGCCACCAGTTCCCTGCTGTCCTCACATGACTCAGCCTGAACGTACCGAGATCCTAACGACTGGATTCTCACACACATAAACCCACCCTCATTTCTCTACTACTGTTTGTTGAGCATTTATTATCTGTCACACATTTTGATGGGCGTTTAATTCAACCAATCACTAAATATCTGGTGAGTGTCCAACAGATTCTACATAATGGGGATACAAAGACCTCGCAGAGCCTACAATCTGATGGGGGAGAGAGGCTCCCAAACAAGGAATGCAGAGACAAATGCACTGTGGCAAATGACCCTGTCTGTCCCTGGGCTCCAAGCCCTTATCTTCTGTTAGTTCTGAAAGCTCAGCTAAGGTCTGCCATGTTAGAAGCCTTTGCATGTGTGAGATTTTGTTGCTTTTCTGTTTACAGCACCTAGTAGTGTGTTATGCGAACAAACCCCAGGCTTGTTTTATTTCCTCAAAACTTAGGTCTCTTTCCTTCCCTCCGAGTCTTCTCTTACCCTCAGGGCAGCTGCCCGGCACAATTGCATAGAATACTGTTGTCACTTTAGTTTGTGTGAAAGGTGTCCCAGGAGCTGAACAGAACACGTCCACAGCCATGTGCTCACTCAACGCTGGTCACAACTGCCCTTTGCTGCTCCTCAGACGAGCAAATGCACCTCATCCCACATATTTTCCTGTCACTTCTCCCTCTGCCTCAGTCTCTGCCGCTGCACTTCTGGTGGGTACCACTGAACTAAAGTGTCACCTGGGAGATGCCTTAACTGACCCCTTTGTCCCTTAATCCCCATATCCTCACCCTGCTCGGTTCTCATTCATGGCACTTACCAGGTTAGAATAATTTACCCTGACACATTTATTGATTTCTTTCTTCTTTATCTGTTTCCTTTCACCCACTAAATGTAAATTCCTCTGAGGTGGATATTTTTGGTCTGTCTTATTTATTTTCCATTTCCTAACATGATGTCTGGCACAAGTGTGTGGATGCATGTACATTTGTGCGATGAATTACACTGTACCAAGAAAAGGCAGAGAAGAGGGAAGCTGGAGAACATGAAAGGGTAAATATTAAAAAATGGTTTTTGGCAAGGCCCTACTCTATGCTGGGCACTTTTCTAGGATACAAGTCTGAGGGAGAAAGATAAAGATGCACAACATCAGCCTCCAAAGTGGTGATAGCTTATTATCTAGCCTTGTGTCAAGTATATGAATGGTCATGCACGGCTCGTAGGTTCTCGTTAAATCTCTCTGGAGCACATGATTGGGAAAAACATTTATGTAGCTGTGGTGCATTTCAACAACTCTTCCCCTTTCCATTTGGATAATAGCTAAGAGAAATCTCATCATTCGTGGAAATGTAATAAGATTTAATGAATAAATGGTCTTAACATCCTGAAGCACTGCTGATGAGCCAGGAGAAGATGGGGTTGGCCCCAGTCCCCACCCACCACCTCTCCCCACGTTACTCCTTGGTCAGTCATACCTGCGACAGTGTATAGAGCTGTGATGGCCAGCAGCCCGACAACAGCCAGGTACAAATCCAGGTGCAAAGACTGCTGAATAAAAATGGCGCCTGCATACATGTCCACCTGCAGAAACATGAAATTGATAGATGAAGGAAGGAAGGAAAGAAGGAAGAAAGGAAGGAAAAGGGAACTAAAGGAAAGAATGAAGGAGAGAGGAAAAGAAGGAAAGATAGAATAAAGAAAGGAAGGAAGGAAGGAAGGAAGGAAGGAAGGAAGGAGGGAAGGAAGAAGAGAAGGAAGGAAGGAAGGAAGGAAGGGGAAAAAAGAGAGAAAAAAGGAAGGAAAATTTGCAGCAAGCTTTCACCAGGATCAAGCTCCAGCCCAGATTCTGACGAATATGGTCATACATTATTCTTTTTGTTTTGTTCTGTTTTTGGCTCATCTCATCTCAGGTCAGCGGTCTCAAACTGGACCCTTGCAGCAATTAAGTTTGAAGACCCTGCCCCGGACAAATGCAATAACCTCCCTCGTGGTCCTCCAGCTTCAGTTCTTGGCCTTCTTGCACTCCATTCTCCTTACTGCAGCTTTCATGTTCCTTCCCATCACTGTCACACGATCCTTCTCCCCCAACACCAGAAGTCTTGAGTGCTTCCCTGTTTATCCCCAAGATAACAGCTAAACACAAGACTTAGAGTTGCATGCCAGCCATGCTACCTATGATTTGCCTACTTTCTCAGCCCATTTCCTCTACTCACTTTGAATCTCTGGTCCTCCAGGCTCTCTCAGAAATGCTCCTCATTTTCCCAAGAAGCCAGGTTCACCCAGGCATCCCGTCTTTGGCTTGTGCTGGTCCATGCATCAGGAATGCCAGCCCCTCTTTCTCTAACTGGAGACTCCTCTGGAGATGGAACTTGCCCTGTAAGGCTTTCCGTGCACAGTAGCTGCCTACCAGACTGCAAGTGAATGCCCCATACATGACCGTCTTTCAAGTTTGAGGCTGGAATTGAGTCACACGTCGACTTGGACTGAATGGCCTTCCTTCTGCCTCCTCCCTGACCACCCTCCTCCTATTGGACAAATTTCTTCCAATGTCAGCCTGTAGCCCAAGCCAGGCCCACTGAGTAGAATGTGCCAGTCCAATGGTCAGTCCTCTTGGCCATCAGTACATCCAATTAAGAGCTGACTACTGTCTGACTGCAAGAGGAAAACCACAGTCCCAAACAGCAGGGCTGGTAAAGTTCCATTCAGGGACCCCTGCCATCCTGAGTTATCATCAAAGAAGCTTTGATAAAGGTGGAAAGGGAGCCTCCCCTCTGCCTAGCCTTTCTAACATCTTCCTCCATCCCTGCCTACCCTTGCCCTGATCTCTCCCATCTTCCTGTAACAACCCCCAGCCCAACCTGCCCAAGAGGAGGGGAAGGCAGATAGGAGAAGCCCAGCAATCGGCAGTGATACAGCTTCTTACCAGCTGCAGCAGGGTGACCCTGCCTTACCGAGATCTTGGTGAAGATGTAGATAAACAGGTAGAGCACAGCCAGGGTGATAGAAATCCTGTTGCCACCAAAGCGCTTCCTCAGGTATTCAGGCATCGTGGTGACCTGGTGGTTAGAGCCCAGATTAAGCACCCAGCATTTTTGGCCATGTGGCCCCCTGGTCACCAGCTCTTCCCATTCCCTTCTTCCTTCCCAAACTCAGAAGCACAAAAGGTCTTCCTGGGATTCTCAATGGGAGACTTGAGAAGAAAGGAGAAAATGAGGAACAAGAGGTGGGATGTGGAGGAACTGGGGTTATATGCAGGAGTGTGTACCCTACTATTGCAAACATCAAGTGTGTGTATATATATGTGTACCTATTATGGTTTGAGTCTGAATGTCCCTTCAAGGCTTCATGTGGTCATTGGGTGGGGGGAGCCTTTCAAAAGTGGCTGAGTCTAAGGTTTGCAATTAGTTCATTGTCTAGGGTTGATTGGCTGTGTGAGTGCTACACCTGCCCAGGGCGAGTAGCTGGAATACAATATAAAGGCGGGAAACAGGATGCTCTTTCCTATTTTGCTCTTGTTGCTTTTGGTATTTGCTGCAGCCACCATGAATGGTTGCCCCTGTGTCATGTTACCCTGCCTTGCAGTTAGCTGATTATAGACTAAAACCTCCACAAACTGTGAGCTAAATAAACCTTTCCTTCCTTAATTTTGGGTGCTGGGTATTTTGCCTCACAACAAGAGAAAAATAACTAAGACAGTACCTCATCCCAGTTTTGCTGTAGCCTACATGATCTTTCATTTAATGTTTATCTTTAAGCCAACTGAATTTTTTATTTAAATAAATTTACCTTAAAAGGAAACTTTAAACCACCGCCATTAGTGGAAAACCAGTCAATTTAAGGGCATCCTCAAAAATAAATATAGGAATGTACGTGTTTGCTGGGATAATTTAATATAACATATAAGCCTCTAGAACATCATAGGCATTTGTTCTCCTACAGTCTCACACTCTTGTATGTTACACAATTTTAAATACTCTAATTCAAAAATATCTAAAAATATAGTTCGTTGCTAACATATTGTGTGCAGCAATGTCCTATAAATTAATATCTTTATTGCTTTGTTATACATGTAACATGTTTCACTTCACATTTAGCAAAAATGGCAAATAAAAATACCTTTAAGATTGTAATACTAAAAATGAAACAACAAAATAAAAATACAGGAATGATAGAATAATTCATTTATTTTCTATTCTATTCTGGCAACTTACTGTTGCCCCTCAAAACTCTGGACCTGGAACCAAATTATTCTTTAAAAAGAGAAAATGAAAGGAGAGAAGAGGAGAAGAGAGGTGAAGAGAGGGGAGGGGAGGGAGAGAGAGAGAGAGATGAATTGAGAGGTTGAAAATTGTTCAAGTGATAAGGTCAGTGCTAGTTCCAACATGAGACTTTGCCCTTGAGTCCTCCTGATAAAACCATTATACAATGTGTTACATTCTGTCCCCCATAAACATGGACAATTATTATACGTCCATTAAACATAAAATAAAGCATATTTTTAAATTTTCAAACTGAAAGGCAATGGAAAAGAGCAGAACTTTCCCATGGCACCCAGTGGATTTGGTCCCTTGACCGACACCTAACATCCTCTCAGGAGTTTCTATTTGTCCATGTTCCAAACTGGGGAGACTGTCCCCACTATATCCCTGTAGCCTGCTCCCCAGAAGCAGCAGGGACTTCCAGGGGCAGAATATGTGGGGACACAGACTTTCATCAGGGAGGACTGAATTCTGGCAGCTTCCTGTGGTGTAGGTGGCCTCTGAAGGTAGAAGGCTCCATTGTCACCTGCGACATCCAGGGCCTGTCCATGCTGCTAAGAAGCCATATTTGGGTTGCATTTCTCCTGCCTGGTGGAGTGTCCCTGTTCACTCTCTTTGGCCTACTGCACCTCGGAGTGGGAGCTGACTCTGGGATTTCAAACCAGCAAGTGATCTCATAAAGTCCCATCTCTGGGATGGGGAAGAAGAGAGTAATGGTGATGCTCATAGAATACAAATGGCTGTTTGTGGACATGTTCACAGCACCTGGGCTGCTGCAGCTTCAAATTTTCCAAATCTAACCCAGAAAGGAGAACAACTTTGAGCAGATGAGTAGCAAGCCATCTATTTGTTTCAAGGTCAGATGATAAGGCCTAAAAAGCAGGCAGGGGGACAGAAAGAGGCCTGACAGCCAGTCTTGCTTCTGGAATTACAAATTGTCAAGAGTGGAATCTGGGCGCTCAGAAATATAGGAGTACTCAATGTAAAGTTAAGCTTTGATATATCTGAAATTTTTTACATAATACAGGACAAAAAAAGAACTCCAAAGATAAATAAACATTTCTTTTAAAATAGGAAATAAAACCATAGAGGTTCTATCCTGATTTGCTGCAAGGCGAGCAGAGCAGAGCATTTCCAGAAGTACTTTATATCAAACTCTGACACTGTCGGGGATAGCCCATGATGAGACTCAGTCAAACCTTGGAGAAAGAGAGATGCTCTTGGTGATCGCAGAAGAGCTAATCAGAGAGCCGGTTGAGAGCTTCAGTCCATTGGGATTACTGTACCAACCGGCACTCCTTGACCTCAGATTCCCTGTCATCAGTGAGTGGCAACTGCCAGCCGGGCTGCAGGAGAGCATTAGACTCCTCTCATTGGCCTGCATTATCAATTGACCTTGACCATGGGTCCTACCTAGTGAGAGTGACTGAGCCCTCACCCACTGGCAGGAAGTTTCTCTGCGGAGACTGTCAAGTGAGCTGGCAGACAAGGCTATTTGTTGTAAAGTAACTGAGAAAGCAGTTTACTAAGATGTGGTGGTGCATGCTTGCAACCCCAGCACTCTGGCAGGCTGAGGCATGAGGATCACAAGTTCTAGCCCAGACTGGGAATTTCACAATGTAGCAACATTCTATCTCAAAATAAAACATTAAAAAGGGGCGCTGGGAATGTATCTTAGTGTGAAGTCCTGAGTTCAGTCCCCTGTACCAGGAGGAAAAAAAAAGGATAATTTGCCAAACAAGCAAGGTTGGGAGCGAGGTGGGGAAGAGGGAGACTACACACGAAGCCTTCTTGTCTTGAGTATGCGTCTGATCCTCAGATAGAGGATGCTTAGGAAACAACTGATGGTCAGAGAATCTGAACTGTGATGGTCCCTGGACTACATTTGCCAAAGTATGCCTGGCTTCAGCAACCCCTGCTTTGGTAAGAGCGGGCTGCCTGCTAACACAGGGACATCCTCTGGCTGGGGCTCATGGAGTGCTATGAAGAAATAGATGCAGCAAGTGACAGCACCTTTGGAGAATGCCACTCCATCCCTGGTGGCTCCTCGTTCCTTCACATGCAGATGCCACCCATCACGCTCGTTTCAAAGCCCTCTCCTCCTTCGGCAAGTTCAGCCGCCTGCATGCAGTGATTTCTGCCCCTTCTGGTGCATCCCAGGGTTAAGGGAAGGTTCTCACTTCTCTGTAATCTTCCCGTCTTTGTAGACTTTCCTCCTAATCTGGAACCAGCTCTGACAATAATGTGGAGAAGCCCCACACAGACTTAGCCTCAACAATAGTTTGGCTTCTCTACTCCACCAACCCGTTTCTCTGACTAAAACCCAAACCTTGTCATTGCCAAGTCCTTAGTCAGCCTTGACACTCAAATTCCCATCAGTGCTGCTCACTCACTCCTGGATGATGACCTCTGCTTTTAAATTTGACCAAGACTCATGGCCCCTAATTGGTGCCTTTTTTGGGTGATGGCTCATTCTTCATTTCATATCCCTCAGAATTCAGGGAAGACCCTGGTATTAATTCATTTCAACAAATATTTCCTGAGCAACTACTGTGTGCCAGGTACTATTCTAGACAGTAAGAAACCAGAGACAGTCCCCGCTCTTCTGGGAAAGGCAACACAGCCTAGTTCTGGTTCTCAGCCAGAAGACTTTTCAGCTCCTGAAGGAGCATTTGACAATGTCTGGAGATCCTGTGGTTGTCACAGTTTGGGGACTGTTCTTGGCAGCTACTGGTAGAGGCCAAGGATGCTGCTAAACATTCTGCAGTGTACAGGACCTCCCAAAGACACACACCTTCGAGTATTATCTGGCACTACATGTCACTAGTACTGGGATTGAGAACCCCTGATCTAGTGTAGCATGAGAGATGCGTTAATGGAACAACCATATGAGCAAAAGCAGAATGGAACAGTGGCAGATACAACTGAGACTTAACCTCATCTGGAGGTCACCGAGGGCTTTCTGGAGGAGTAATTGCTCACCTAAAGTCTGAAGGGTGACCAGGAGTTAACCAGATCAAAAAAGGAAAATGGAAAACTTCCGAGCCAGAAGCAAAACAGGGCCCAGCGCACATGAAGAATTGCTGGGTAGAAAAGAGCCTAGAGTATGCTTGGCACATGGCTCACTCAGTATGTGTTTCCTCACTGAAAAAATCATGGAAAGTATTGGTAGAGGCCAAGGATGTGTGAAATGATGGAAGAATAAGGTGGCTGGAGGTGAGTGGGCCCCAAACTTGTAGAGTTCATTTTCTGTGTTCTTAATTAAAATTGTCTCCAATTACCTTGGTGGGTAGTCTTTGCAGGATACTGTCCTCCCAAAAATAAATTCTAGGTGAGTAGATACATAAATAAACAGATGAGAACCACTCATGTCATGGCCAGAAAGCAAAAAGAGGAAGAGACTGGGTTCCCACAATCTGCCTCAAGGGCACAGCCCCAGTGACCTAAGAACTCCCCCCAAGCCCAAGTGCTTCGAGTCTCTGCCACCTCCTGCCGGCAGCAAGCTGGAGGCCAAGCCTTTCCCCAATTGCACCTTTGAGGGACCTTCCAGATCCACAGCAGCAACATATTATTCTCCCAAAGAGGAAATCCAAATGGCCAAAAAGCGTATAAAGAAAATTGTCACCTCAAAGCACAGAGCTTTCACTGTGCTCACTAGATCAGCAAGAATTTGAAAGTCAGAGAATCCTAAGTGCCTGCAAGGATGTGGAGTGCTGGGGCAGAGAGACTGCTCAGTTTGTAAGTGGGGGTAAACATGGACAGAAGTGCTCTGAGAGTCTCCTAGAAAGCCCGAGATGCATGTGTTCAGGGACCTGGTGACTCCGGCCATCAGCACACACCCATGTGCATCACGACACATACACAAAAGTGTGGCACTGGGGACAACCTAAGCTCATCAACAACACAGTGGTTAAGTATCCTGGGCCATCCTACAGAGTACTACACATAGCAGTTACCAAAAGAATGTGTTACCTTGGGTTGTACTGATATATAACTTTTTAAAAAGTAAAATTAAATTTGATTGTCCAGGAATGTAGACTGCCCGGGCCTTTCAGGCCTGGCCTTCCCAGAGGGCCTCCCCATGCCACAGCACCCTGCCCCCTCCGCTCACCTGGCCAGCGATGTAGATGGGAAGGAAGATCCAGGACAACATCAGCACAGAGAATAAGCCCTGCCGAGAAAGCACAGTCAGAACTTGGCCTCCAGCTCCTGTGAAACTGCTGCCTTACATTTCCCCTCCGCATGTGAGGTAGCCTGGCCTGAGCTCTGCCTCTGATTCAGTCTCTTACTTGCTGAGTAGTTCACTTCCCCTGGCCTTCATATTTGCATTTTAAAATGTGGAGAAGACAGTCAGGTGTGGTGGATCACACCTGTAATTCCAACCTCTTGGAAGGCTAAGGCAGGCAAGTTTGAAGCCACTGGGCAACATAGAAAATAAAAACTAAGTGATCAACAACAATAAAAACATTGCAGAGGAGAGGGTTAAATAGAAGAAAGGAAAAGAAAAAAAAAAAAAAAAGAATGGCAATAGAAGACTTCACAATACCTGAACCACATAGTGAAACCCTATCTCAAAAAGACAACAAACAAAACAAAAAACCTCCCAAAATCTGCCTACTCCAGAGGCAGATGCAGGGAGGACTGCAAGCTTGAGCTCAGCCTGGGAAACTTACTGATACAGTGCACAGGAGAGGAGGCCTCTCTTAAGTGGCTCAAGTTAAGAAATGAATACAGAGCTGGGGTATAGCTCAGTGGCTGAGTTCTTACCTACCACGTGCAAGGCCTTGGGTTCTAACCCTGTATTCCCTTCACAAAAAAAGATGTTATTCTATTTTTGAATGCAGGGCATTCACACTTTTCCTTACCACCCACCTATCAAGTGGAGATGAAATGTCTATGTCCAAGGTCAAATACTTACATTAAACTCATAAGCAGCGACAGAGATGCCCACAGATGCTCCTGACCCTGCCAAGCCAATGAAATGTCCACTTCCAATGTTGCTGGCAAACAAAGATGCCCCCACCTGTGGGGAGAGGATGGGTCAAAAGATAGAACTGGGGCAGAGCGAGAAGTGGAGAAGGTAGTGCCGTCCTACCCTATCTAGTATCCCTGTTCAAATTAGAAAGACTCTCTTCCCCTATACTTTCTTAGTTGCACCAATCAGAAATTGCTACAAAAATATGCATATATACAAGGCCTAAATTTTTAATTGTACCTCCTAGGGGATTCAGTTTATAGCTGGAATGACCATCCTCAGCATCCCTGGAAGGAAGTATGACAGGTGTTGTGGCTTATGTCTAGATGTCTCCCCAGAGCCTCATGTGGTCATAAGTGGGGAGTTTTGAACATGACTGGATTAGGGTATGTGATGCTGGGATTAAGGGGTCCCAACCTAGGTGTGGGTGGCATCACTCAAAAAGCGACTGGCTTGGATGGAATATCAAGGGACAGAGAGAAGATTCTTTGCTACTTTGTTGTCTTCTGCCTGTCGCGGACTGTTTCTTCTCTCTTATGCCGCTCTGCCATGCCGCCCTGCCTAGGAACCAGCCAGCTATGGATTGAAACTTCTGCAAATTGTGAGCCAAAATAAAGTTTTCTTCCTTTAGCTTTGGGTGTTGGTGATTTTATCTCAGCAATGAGAAAAGTAACTAAGACAACAGGTATGGTAGAAAATACTCAAAGAGGAGAATCAGAAAGTCTGTGCTACTCCTCAAGAGGAGGGGAGGGGAGAGAAGGGGGGAAGAGAGGAGAGGAGAGGGAGGGGAGGGGAGGGGAGGGGAGGGGAGGGGAGGGGAGGAGAGGAGAGGAGAGGAGAGGAGATCTGAGAGGCCCTCTGCCTTCTATTGACCTTCCAGGGCCTGGTTCTTATCACAATCTAGTCCGTTGACCTACATGTCTACCCTCCACTGCCACTCTGTTAATTATTGTAGGTTTGTAGGTATCATGGTCTGGAACTATGAATCCTCCAAGTTTGTTCTTTTTTTAAATTTTTGAATCAGGAATCAAACTCAGGACCTTGCATATCCAAGTTTGTTCTTTTTGAAGACTGTTTTATTCTATATGAATTTTAGGATCAGCTTATCAATTTTTTTTCTTTTTCTATTTTTATCCGTACCGGGGATCAAACTCACGACCGCCTGCTTGCAAGGCAGGTGCTTATGCCGCTGAGCTAAATCCCCAGCCAGCTTATCAATTTTTGCAAAAGAAAAATTGAGACTTTGATTTACGAATCAGTGTGAAGAGTACTGCCATCTTAGCAGTAGTAACTCTTCAAGTCCAAAAACAGGATATTTTTACAATTAGTTCTTTTTCTACCATGTCTCAAACACGTTACATTTTTTAAAAAATGCATTCTGCTTAATTATTCTTTTATTTATTGTTTTATTCTTTTAAAGCTATTGTAAGTGGAATTCTTATTTTTGAGTTTTTATGAGTATGTGTTTGCATAATGATTACATTCCTCGTGGAAAGTTGGTCCAGGTACCTAACCCCCTTCCCTTCCCTCCCTTTCTCCTTTCCCCATCTCTTGGTCTCCTGCTAGTTTGCAAAAGATCTAGCTCCCTTTTTCCTGCTTTCTATCTTTTATTTTGATCTTTATTTATAATTTGGAGGGTTTCTCATATAAGAAAAACTGTTTAATATTTAATCTAATTTATTTCATTTAACATTATAGTCTTGAGGGGCATCCGGTTTCCTACAAATGATCAAGTTTACCCTTCTTTATGGCAGAGTGGTACTCTATAGTGTAGAAATACTACATTTCCTATATTCATTCATCTGTTGGTGGACACTTAGGGCATTTCCAGGATTTAGCTATTGATATGGAATTGTTCTAACTTTGTTTTCAGACTTTCCATTGCTAGTACTTAAAATGTGATTAATTTTTAAATATTTATTTTACATTCTGCAATTTTACCGAATTCATTTATAACCGCTGATAGGATAGTATCTTGTGGATTTCTTAGGAATTTTTATGTGCAAGAGCATGTCATATGCAAATCAATGTAGCTTTGTTTCTTCCTCAGATTTCCTTTCATTTTCCCCATGAAGTGCCTTAGATAAAACCTCCAGGAAACACTGACTAGAAGTTGCAAAAAGAGCATCCTTCTCTTGTTTCTGATCCTAGAAGAAAAGCTGTCAGTGCTCCATCACCTGTGGTGAGGAAGTCACCTAAGCATAGCACCTGTGGTGTTTTGTGAATGTGCTTTATCAAATTAAGGACACTTGCTTCTAGTTTTAGCTTGTTAAACATTTTATCATGAAAGAGTTTTAGATTTTGTCAAATATATTTCCTGTGTCTACTGAAAATAATAGTGTATTATTTCCTACTTCTATAATAAAGTGTATTATCCTGACTTGTTATGTGTTAAACTAAATTTTCATTCTTTAAGATAAATCTCTCTTGTTCATGTGTAAATCCATTTTTATATGCCACTAGACATTTCCATAAGGGACATTTATCTGTAGCTTTGTTTGCCTTGGGGTGTCGCTTTCTAGTTTTGGTAATTCTAGCCTTGTAGAATGAGTTAGAATACATTGAAGATTTGTGTTAATTTCTCTTTAAACATTTGGAAGAATTTATTAGTGAAACCATATGGTCTTTGGCTTTTCATTGTGGGAACTTTTGTGATTATTCATTCAATGACCTTACTTCTTATATGTATAATGCAGGTTTTTGATTTATACTTGAGTCAATTTGGATGCTTGAGTCTTTCCAGGAATTTCATTTTCATTCAGGTTATCTAATTTTTTGGCATAAATATTCCCTTATGACTAATTTTTATTTCTGTAGGATTGGTTGTAATATCCCCTTTCATTCCTGACTTCAATAATTTACATCATTTCTTTTCTTGTTAACCTAGTTAGAAAGTGGTTAACTTTGTTGATCTTTTCAAAGAATTGACTTTTGATTTGTTGGCTTTTTTTTCCTACTGTGTATTTTGCTTATTTTCAATAAAATAAATCTTTATTATTTCCTTTCTACTTGTTTCAGGTTTAGTTTACCTTCTTTTTCTAGTTAATGTAAAATATTAATTAATCAATTTAACATTTTTCCTTTTTAAAATGTGGGAATTATGGTATAAATTTCCCTGTAAGCACTGCTTTAGCTATCTTCCATAAGTTGTTGTATGTTGTATATTAATTTTCCATCATCTTAAAATATTTTCTAATTTCCATCCTTATTTGTTCTCGGACTCCTTGGGTATTCAGGAGTATGTCGTTTAATTTCCACATATTTGTGAATTTCCCAAACTTCTCTCTGATTTTCTAATTTCATTCCTCGTGGACAGACAACACATTGTAATATTTCAATAGTTTAAAGCTTATCGAGACTAATATATGGCTAACATATAATTATCCTAGAGAATTTCATGTGTACTTAAGAAAAATGTGTATTTTACTGTTGTTTGATTATTTTATATCTATTCAGTGTCACTGGTTTATAATGTTGTTTGTGCCTTCTGTTTTCTGACTCATCTTCTATGTCATTTATTATATTTTATTGAAAGTGAGATTAAACCAGGCCTAGTGGTGCCCACCTATGATCCCAGGACTCAGGAGGCTAAGGAAAAAAGATCACCGTGTGTTCAAAGCCAGTCTGGGCTACATAGTGAGTTCAAGGCCAGTTTGAACTACATGATGAGACCCTGTCTCAAAACAAAGCAAAACAGAACAGAACAAAACAAGTGAGATTAAAGTCTCCAATGACTACTGTCAAATTGTCTATTTCTTTTTTAGGTCAATTTTTCCTTTGTACATATTGGGCTCCACTATTACGTGCAGGTATATTTATGATTGTTACATTTTCTGGCGCCTCCTTTTTTCTACCTAGTAAACATTTTTGCCTTAAAGTATATTTTGTCTAATGTGTGTAGCCATCTGTGTTCATTTTTTGGCTACTGTTTTGCATGGTGTTATGGTTGATAATTGTGCCAACTTGAGAAGTTTAGAAATTTACCTGAGAGACTCATCAGGGAGCCAGAATCTTTATTTTGTAAATATCCTTATTTTGTGCAAGAGGAGGGCACAGAGATTTTGTGAGTGCCACGCCCACCCTGGAAGGTGATGGAGGGGTATGACACACATACACAGTAAGGGAGGAAAAGAGGCTTGCTCTTCCTGCCTTTTTGCTCTGGCTGCTTTTGCTGGCTGCTGCCTTGAACGGTTGCCCCTGTGCCATGCCACCCTGCCTTGGAGCCAGCTGGTTATGCACTGAAACCTCCAGAAACTGTAAGTGAAATAAACCGTTCCTTCATTTTGGGTGTCAGGTGTTTTGCCTCAGCAACTGGAGAAAAGTAACCAAGACACATGGTATATCTTTTTTCTGTCCCTTTACTTTTATTCTATTTGAAATACAAACTATTTTGTTAGATTTGCTTTTTCACCATTTCACTTTTTCTTCAACATATTTGTGCCTTTCACTTCAAGTATGTCTCTTGTAGACAGCATATAACTGGGTTACATTTCTTGCTTTTTTTTTTTTTTTTTGAGACGGGTCTCATTATGCAGGTCAGGCTGGCCTTGAATTCACTTTGTAGCCCATGCTGGCCTTGAATTTGCAGTGATCCTCCTGCCTCAACCTCGTGAGTGCTGGAATTACAGGTGTGCACCACTATACATGGCTGTGTCACATTTCTTAAAAATCCATTCTGCCAAATTTCTGCTTTTTGATTGAAGTGCTTGATCCATTTAAGTTAATGTAATGCAAATAAAGTAGCATTTATATGTCATGTTGTCATCCAATATTTATATGGCTAATGCCATTGTTATTTTTCCCTTCTACAATTACTGTCTTCTTTTACATTAAATAGTTATTACCTGATATGCTATCTTAATTCCCTTATTGATTCTGTTACTGGTTTTGGGGGGGGGGGTTGTTTTTTTGGTCTTTTTTTTTTTTTGGTACCAGGGATTGAACTCATAACCTCATACCTCCCAGGCCGGCACTTATACCACTGAGCTAAATCCCCAGCTCTGTTACTATTTTTAAATTTACATTCTTAGTGGTTTTCCTAGGGTTTGGTTATATATTATCATTCAGTAGTATACAAAAACTTGATCCTAGGTAGGCTCATTTTCTTCTTTCTCTTTTAAGCTATTATTGTCATAAAATTACATCTTTATATATGTTCACCCAAGGTGAAAAAGATGTGATTAGTGGTTTATGCAGTTATCTTTTTGTTTTTGATTTTGATCTTTTGTTTGTTTGTTTGTTTTTTGAGATGAGATCCTCCTATGAACTTCAGGCTGGTTCATGAACTCATTATGTAGCCCAGGCTGGCCTTGAACTCACAATGATCCTCCTGCTTCTGCTTCTTGAGTGCTGGGACTACAGATATGCATCACCACATCCACCTGCACAGCTGTCTTTTAAAAATGTCAGGCAAAAGCAGTGAAAAATAACTGTGTGTTATTCTTTCCTATGGAGCTATCTTGACGAGCTCTCTTTGTTTCTCCAGGCAGATTTAAGTTACACTCCAGCATTCGCTTATTTGAGGCTGAAATGAGTATTTCTTACAATGGAGATCTGGTTACCAGTTCTCATTTTTGAGAACATAATCTGATGGTGTCTAGGTCTCTCCTTTATTTTAGGAAGATCATTTTTTCACTATAAAATTACTGATTTGTCTCTTTTTTCCCAAATACTTCAGGCTCCCTGGTTTCAGCTTTTCAGATGAAAACTCAGATGTCAATCTCACTGAAAACTTTTAGAAGTGATGAACTGTTTCTCTCTTGCTGCTTTCAAAACTTCTTTGCTTGTATGTGCAGTAATTTGACTATGATGTGTCTAGGCATGCATTGTTTTGGGTTTATCCTACCTAGAGTCCATTGAGCTTCTTGGCTGTATAGATCAATACTGTCAATCAAACTTAGTTAATTTTAGATCATTACTTCTTCTGATAGTCTTTATGCTCTCTCCTTTCCTTCTGGAACTGGCATTATGCATACGTTATTATACTTGATGATGTCCCACATATTTCTGAAGCTCTTTTTCTTTATTCTTTTTTTCCTGTTCCTGTTCCTCATACTTGATCATTTCAATTGACCTGTCTTCAAGTTCACCAGATATTTGTTTTGCCACTCAAATTATTGTTGAAACCAGGCATGGTACATAATTCTAGCACTTGTGAGGCTGAAGCAGGAGGATTGTCATGAGTTTGAGACCAGCCTGGGCTGCAAGGTGAGCTCAAGGCCAGCCTGAACTGCATAGCAAGACCCTGTATTTTTTTTTTTTTTTGGTACCTGAGACCCTGTCTTTAAAAAATTATTGTTGATCCTCTCTGATGAATGTTTCATTTCACAAACTATACTTTTTAACTCTAGAATTTCTGCTTTGTTCTTTTGTGAGTTTGTTTTTGCATGGCTTCAGATCAAACCCTGGGCCTTGCAACTAGGGAAAGTCTGTAGAACTTTCCAGAGAACTGCACACAAGTAAAATTGTGACAATTCTTTGGGAACAGGACTGTGAAAGAGCTTCTACCCTATTCTACTTGTAGAGATAAAGAGAGCAGAATGTTAACAGATCCAAGCAGAACATCCCAAAGGTTCTCTCACTGACATTCAGCTGTTTTCCTGAGTAAATGCTTTTTGGAGTTTTAGAACATTTTGCTAATTTCGGCTTTTCTGCTTGGTCCACAAAGACCGTTGGCCTGTGGTTTACTTTGGCAAGTAGAATATGATAGATGTGGCACTGTGTGTCTTCTAACCCAATGTTTCGACAGCCTGGTGGCTTCCATTCATACTGTCTTAGAATCAGTTGCCTAACAAGGAAACTTGGATGAGGTCACTGAGATGAGAGAGGATAGGAACACAGAGAGACAGAGACAGAGACAGAGATCCCAGAGATCCAGCCATCCCTTCTTCTGGCTCCCAAATTGGGAGCCAGAAGCCATGTTGAATTTGCATCCCAGCCTGGTAATCAAGTAAATGCAGTTGCATGTGTGAACCAAGAGGGGGACAGCAGATAAGCCATCCAGCCAACCCATGCAGTCATTAGAGATAATGCACTGAGCTCTGTAAGCTACTCAGCATAAGGCAGGGTTTTGTACTGGTTCCTCATTGGCAACAAAACTGTTAAAAGCTCAACAGCAGAACTCCCAAAGAAGCCCTCTGTCCCCTCTGCTGATAGGGAGTAAGTGGCCCAGATAGCAATAAATCTTTGATTTCTGGACAATATGGAACCAGAGTCCAGATAGGGAATATCAGCACTGCAGTGTCTTCAGAAACAACTCTGTTTTCTCACATGGTGCTGGAAATTGAACCCAGGACCTTGCACATGCAAGGCAAGTGCTCTACCACTGAGCTGCTCCCCCAGCCCGAAAAAGTGACTTTAATTAAATCAGACAGCACTTACTGGCCACCACACCATGTCTCCTCCCGCCAAGAAGTAGCCTTTCACCGTGTCTCTTTTGGTCTTCACAGTGGACTGAAATGAAGAGGGCAGGTGAAGATAAATGTCAGCAATTGGAACGTCCTCAAAGGACTTAGGACAGGGACGTAAAGCACAGACCCAATGGGCCAGATTTGGATGCCAAATATGTTTTCTTTACCTATAGGTTTCAGGCAGATTTTAAATGAGACATAGTCTGGTCTGGCCAAGGCAGGCACTACTGTTTCCTGCTTCACACATTTGTGATAAATAACCTCCTTAGTCCGCCTACACACTTGAGTTTCAGACTCATGGCTTGTCCATGGTAGCTCATGATGTTTATCATTTACTGAATGTTTACTATGTTCCTGACACTACGCTAAGCATTGTATAAGCAATAGCTCAATAATTGAATGCTCAGTAGTTACTACTGGGCCACTTGGACAAAAGGGCTGAATATCCTGTTCTCCTAGTTCATTCATGCTCAAATAATAAAATACCTGAGCATAAGTAATTTGTAAACACCAGAAGTTTATTTATTTCTCACAGTTTCGGAGGCTAGGAAGTCCAAGATAAGAGTGCCTGGAGGTTTGGTGCCTGTGAGAGTCATGGATGGAGCCTCATAACCCCTTCACGTGGTCGGAGAGCAGAAGAGCTGGGTAATTCCGCGATGTTCCTTTATAAGATACCTAGTCTTTCACACCATGCTCAATACCTAATCACCTCCTCAATGCCCCATGTCTTAATGCTGTTGTGCTGATTAAGGTTCAACATTTGGGGAAACATAAGTAAATGCATCATACAAAGTATGAGTGAAAAATATGGTGAATGTTTAAATTTTAAAATCATTGCAGCGAAAGATACGTTGTCATTAATCCTCCTCAAATGCCTTCCCCAACCTGGCCTTCAGACACACTTACTTCACCATTCTTGCTACTTTCAGAAGTGCAAACGCACGCTGGAAGTCTGTGACTGTCTTTAGTCACGCTGTTGTGGCTAACTGGATGTCCCAAATCAATTCAAAACATCTGCCTTTTACAGTCGCTCTGACTTTGAGAAAGAGCCAGAAGTTACAAAGGGCCAGATCTGGCGAGTGATTAGATGAGAATACACTGTAATGTTTTTAAGAGCTACCTTGCCATTGGATGCCCCTGGACACCATCAGGCACCGTAATTTTTATTACACTTCCTAAAGATACAAAAGAGGTCTTCCAGAGCTGCTCCAGAAAGTGGCAAGAGGGCCAGGAACGTAGCTCAGTGGCACAGCACCTGCCTGCCAAGCATGAAGCCCTGTTCGGTTCTCAGTACCAAAAAAAAAAAAAAAAAAAAAAAGAAGAAGAAAGAAAAGAAAAAAAAAACAGTGGCAAGAACAATGAACTAACTATATTGAAAGTGAGGGGGAGGGGGCTGGGGATTTAGCTCAGCGGCATAAGCGCCTGCCTTGCAAGCAGGCAATCGTGAGTTCGATCCCTGGTACCGAAAAAGACAAAAAAAAAAGAAAGTGAGGGGGAATAGTTTGAGGAGAACTGATGATAATGTGCCTTTTACTATAATAAAATTTTGAAACAAATTTAAGTATTCATTATATAATTTATCACACCTCATATTACATACAGGTATAAGATGGTTGCCCAACCTCATTCAGTATGAGCTGTATATCAACAATACATTGAGATAACATTTTCCCCCATCATTTTGATGAAAGTAAAAAGTTTGACAGTACACTGATGGTGAGGATGAAATACAAACAGAACTTGGCATGCATCTCTGTTTAGCATGCTGACTTGTCCTAAGGAGGGTGATTAAACACCAAATAGCACAAGACCTTTAACCTAGTAAAGCTACTATAGGAGATTTATCTTACATTATAGCTCTGCACTTCAAAATAATGAGTGTACAAGGGTTGTTTATTATTTTATTGCCAGGAAAAATCCAAGTAACCTTCACAGGGATGGGGAAATAAGTTACAAGAAAATTAGAATACTGTGCAACTTTTAAGAAAATAAGGAAGATTTGTGCAGTATGTACTGATATGAAAAGATACCTAATAGACACTGATAAGTGAAAAATAGGGAGGAAACACCCAGAATGGATAGTAACCTGGGAAGTAAGAAAAAGAGAAATGTATGCATTAATATTTGCTCTTATTTGCATAAAAAACTAGAAGGATACCTTAAATTATAGCACTAACAAGATAATAACAGTAGTTACCTTTAGAGACAAAGGTACTATTTTATTTTTTGTTTGTTTGGGTTTTTTTTTTTTTTGTCTTTTTCATTTTTATCGGTACCAGAGGTCGAACTCACGACTGCCTGCTTGCAAGGCAGGCGCTTATGCCGCTGAGCTAAATCCCCAGCCCCCTATTTTATTTTTGAACCGTGTGACAGTACTGCCTTTAAATTTTTATTTAAATTAAAAAGAAAAAAGCATAGGCTTCAAAGTAAGAGCAGTTCTTATTCTAGCTCTTCTAACTTATAAAATAAGGAACGTAAATTATTTGCAGGGGACAGGTTACTGAGGATTAAATCCAGGGCCTCATGCATGCTACTAGGTAAGTGCTCTTCCACTGAGTACATCCTCAGTTCTAGGAACTTAAATTCTTTGAAGGTGAGGGTTTTCCCCCCTCCTCCTTAAAAATAGGTGTAGTGACTTCCTTGGAGTGACCTGTGCAAATTACAGGAGATAACAGAAGTGAGATGCTTAACCCAGTGCCTGAAATTATAGCCAACACCTTATATATTGTTTTAATTTTGAGAATTCTGATTACACTATGGTCTTGTGCTAGTTTTCGCTTCTCTCATCTCCGGAATGATGGGACTACGTCTGGACTTCTGCCTACCCTCCCTGGCCTGTCTTACCCATAGTCCAACAGCCAGGACAAAGAGGAAGTATAAAACCAGCACAGCGATGTCACCTGGCTCCAAGGCGTTCTGGGGAAACGGCTCCAGGGGATCCAACTGGGGAGGCTGCGCGCTGCTGCCGCTCTCCATGGTCCTGAATCAGCCCTCTCAGCCCTGGGAAGTGCAAACACATGTCTGAAAATGAATGCCAGAATCATTCTTCTAGCCCAGCTGTAGCCGTCTCTGGGGCACCTGAGAAGGAGGACCCGATGCTGGGGTGTGTGACAGACAGACTTTCAGGAAGACACATCTATCCATCCGCCTATCCATTCATCCCCTCATTCATTCAACAAATGTTTACAATGAAATGTAATGTTTACACAGCTCATGTTTAGCTTTCTTTTTTTAAAAATCAGCCCAACTGCTCACTTGGCAAAGTGTAAAGTTGGGTGAACAATGTAGGCAGATGGTTTCTGTATCCTTTTCTGTTTACTAAACACATGCACCAGAGTGAGAGAAACATGAGACACATGTGTTGGCTCCCATCTCTAAGATGTCTCACATCTGGGTAAGACTCAGTCAAACACCACCATATTGTTCTCGTGCTGAATATGCCCATAAAACTGCATATATTTAATGCACACCTGCATAACACCTCCTATCTTCCAGGCATTATCCTAAGTGTTTACTAACCTGAAAAGTGGACACTGTTGTTATAATTGTTTTTTAATAGATGGTGATGTAAAAGCATAGAGAAGTTAAATAATTTGATGTGGGTGAGCCAGGTTTTGAACTCAAATAAGCCTGCTCCAGCTTCCACACTTTGAACCTCTTTCCTAAGCTTTTTCTCAGTACACACCATTTCAATGGGCAATTTAAGAGATTCCTGTGGTAGGCAGAATGATGGCTCTAGAGAAGTTCATATCTAACTTTCCACATCCTTGAGTGTGCTGTTATATAGAAAAAGACAATGACATTTGCAGATAGAAATGAAGTTGCTAATTAGCTAACCTTAAAACTAGGGAGGTACTCAGATGTAAAGTGACCTTGAAACAAGGAGAGGCCAGGGGGGCTTATGACCCAAGCACTTTGGAAGTGTGAGGCAAAAAGATCACAAGTTCAGCCCAGCCTGAGCAACTTAATGACTTAGGGAGAACCTGTATCAAAATAAAAGGTACTGGGGATGTAGCTCACTGTGAAGGTCCTGGTACCAAACCAAACCAAACAAAATAAAAGGACAGAGTCAGCTAGATGATCTGAGTGGACCTAATACAATCATGGCAGAAAACAAGATCCAAAGAGAGAACCAGAGAACAGGCCTTGTGGGAAGGATCTGGTTCAACACTTGGCTTGAAATGGGGTGATGTAGCCCTTGATCCAAGAATGCAAGTGACTTCTAGAAGCAAGATCAGGCAAATTCACAGCATTCAGAAGGAATTCAGCCCTGTGATACTTTGAATTCATTCCAGGGAAACTCATTTAGAACTTCTTAAGAACTGTAGGATAATGAATTGTGTTGTTTGAGCCACTAAGTTGTGATAATTAGTTACAGCAGCAATCAGACATGAATATAATTCCCCAAGGTAAGTGATGAAGTTTATTATAAGTGATGAGACCATTGACTTATGCATTCCATGGTGTGTCAGCCCAGGGATTCAGGAATGAAAACCCTCAGTTCCTGCCCTCCCAGATACCCAGTTCTGAGGTGGGGCAATCCACTTGTGGATAATATCTACCCGGTGTGGTGTTTTTGTGTAGTGTATGTGCATAGGGTTAGAGCTATTAAGAAGTCAGTCTCTGGAGTCATGCAGCTGGCTCCAGTCTGTATCAGTCCTAAGGATCTGGAAAAATTCCTTAACCTCTGCAAAATGGTGCAATCAGAGTTTATATTTCACAGATCGCTGTGAGCTCATGTCTTGGACATACTGAACATGGTGCCTGCACCAAGGCTGTACTTAGTACGCTGTCACCCTACTACTATATACTGATTATTTGCTGTGTATTTGTGTCTGCTATGAGCTGTAGTGAGGGAAGGATCATGTAATTTCACATGGAGGAATCCAGAAGGCAGCATATGAGCTGGATGAGAAAGATGAGTGGGGTTTTATATGGATGAGCAGTCCAAGAACCTGCACTGTGACACAGAGGTGTGAATCAGCACATCATATTTAAGGGGCCTCCAGATTCTTGCCTTGAGCATTAAGCAAGGCTAAAAAGGGGAGACGGAAGGCCAGATATGATAGAGTGAGGTGTGTCCAGTCCTGTGAAAGCATTCACTGGATTTTATAAGTCAGGGGTCTCAACCTGTCAGATGTCATGTTGTATTTTTAAGGCAAATGTTTTATAACTCCCTTTTGCTAAGTACTAAGGGGTAGTCACAATTGGTGTTACTTACATATACAATTTAAAAATAACTACAGCTCTCTGACTGTAGTATAAAAAAGAAATCAAAGGAAATCAATTAGTGGTAAAGAATTGATATCACCAGGGTAACCGATGGGTGATATAATGCTTTCAATTATTGCGCAGAATAAGTTTTGGATTTAGAAAAAATGAAAAGGGAAGCCATCCAATTCCAGAAGCAATTATTAAAACTCTCTGCCAGGTTCAGGGGCACATGAGAAGCTGAGACAGGATGATCATAATTTGAGGTCTGCCTGGGGAATTTAGTGAGACCCTAACTCAACTTAAAATTTAAAAAAAAGAAAGAAAAATGCTGTCTTTCAGAGTGTCTTACAGAGAGCTTGGCATGGTGGAACATGTCTATAATCTCAGTGCTACTCAGGAGGTTGAGCAGGAGATTTTTGAGTTCAAGCCTGGCCTGGACTACTGAGTGAGCTCCTGTCTCTAAAAACAAAGCCAAACACTATCAGGGGAACATCCAAATGGAAACTAATACCGGCACCAACTGTCTAAATACACAAAAGTACTTTGTGGTTCTAAATATTATGAAAACCAAACGACTGCCTTTCAGTTAAGAGAATATGTGAACATCCAATTTTTGTGAACATGAAAAGCAAATACCCTAATTGCTACGAGTTAATGACCCCAATACTGGTGTCCCATGTAAGCTGGAGACAGGTCCTTGACTCAGAGAGTTAGAAGCTCACCTTGTGCCCTCAAGAGTATCTGGGTGCCCCGTGGGGCACACTGGAAAGTCCTTTTTGTGTAGGGCATTTCTGTGCATTTCAACCTGTCTGGCATCTCTGGTTTCTACCTGCTGAATGCCAGTGGTATGCTGGAGTCTCTGTGACTCTGAAAATGCTCTTGTAAATTTCAAAACACTACAACCTGCTGCTGCTTCCAAAACAGGGGACTTTGGCAGAGGAAGGGCAGTGACCAACCCTCCCAGTCCTTTCCCCGCCCCACACCCAGACAACCCTCGGCCTGCCAGGCACCGAGAGGGGTGAGAGCCGCTGCCTAAGATAAACAAGTTATTCATCACTGCGCTGGGCCACAGCTGGGGGGAGGCTGGCACTGGTTCTGAGCGATTCTGAGCCCCAGGGAAGTGGAGCCCTGGGGAACCAGGCAGGATGGCTGCATCTTGGCGCCAGGGAGAGGAGCATTCCTGGGCCAGATATGCTGTGTTCAACACAGGTTCTCAGGCTGAGCCCCTAGCCCGCCCCTCACTGACACACTGTGGGCGGAGCAGTGACGGGCGCTGGGTTCACAGTGAGCATGGCCTCTCCCAGGTGCCAGGAGTGCCACTCATGTTAATGTGTCTCTTACTACACCTCTGCGTGCCCTAGGAGGCATACTTGTCACACTTTAAGTTACCTGGGTTTAGGCCTTGATTTGCCACAAGCAGGTCAGAGAAATGCCAAAGGTGGGATTTGAACCCAGGGTCTCAATGTGTTTACCATACCAACCATTCTGTCTTCCTTTCCTCCCTTCTTCCCGCATTTCGTCCTACCCCCTACTCTGTTTCTTTAACAAGAATACCTACTATGCACCAGCTGTGTGTGAGCTGTGCCAGGCTCTGGTGATTCAGCGGAACAACTCGTAGGCACCAGCTGGGAGTCCAGCTCTGTGCTAGCTCCTGGAAGCTCAGTGGAGCATTTATTAGGCACCGGCTGTGAGCCAACCTCTATGCTTGGCATGGAGGGCAAAGTATTGAGAAGGCAGCCCTGTTGCCATCTTCTTAGGTCACTGCTGCCCTTCACTGCACCATGTGTGCCCAGAACCGCTCAGCACCTTTGCCCCTGCTGGGACCCCTCCCAGTCTGCACCAGGCCGGCCCAGTGTGGCTGTGAGTGGGCTGCGCTCTCCTCCTCCAGCCCTGGCCTCTGTTCACTCAGGGCTGGGGGCGGGGCAGTTAAGGGCAGCCGGTGTTGTGACAAAGGCTTTGTGTGTCCTTGAGGTTGCCCATTGGCCAAAGCACAAAAGGAATCTGAGTCAAGCAGGGACACTGGTCCCCTTTCCTTTGGCCTTTTACACAGTTTGCTGTGGGAGATGTGAAAATTTTCCATACCACAGTGCAAGAGGAAAAATCAGGCAAACAGGTTCCCACGCCAAGGGCCCCAGATGAGGGTGGAACCTGCCCACACCAGCACCTGTGTGCACGTCCCTCGGCAAGGTGACACCAGAAACTGTGACTTCTGTGTGTCTGAAACATTTCGTTATGAATGAAAAGGAATGAAACCAATGACATGGCACTTACAGCATAATACCAGCTGTGTGTATCAGAAACACACAGATACAGAGTGTTGTATTTTGCTGGGATGCTGGTGAGTATGCTGGTGAACATCAAACACATTACAGTGGGTGGTAGAAACTGGGTTGTGGCCTTTCTTTCTTTCTTTCTTTCTTTCTTTCTTTCCTCTCTTTCTCCCTCCCTCCTTCCCTCCCTTCCTTCCTTTCTTCTTCCTCTTCCTCTCTCCTTCTGCCCCCTTCTTTTTTGAGATAGGGTCTCACTAGGCAGTTCAAGCTAGACTTGAGCTCATTATGTAGTCCTGGCTGACCTTGAACTCATGGCAACTCTCCTGCCTCAGTTTCTCAAGCACTGGGATTATAGGTATGCATCATCATGCCTGGAAAATTCCAACCCTATTTCTTTCATACTCTATGATTTTGACCAGAAACCTCTATGAGGTTTAGTCTCCCTGTCTATAAGTGGGGATGATAATCAGATGTGGGGAAAAGGGAACCTTCCTACATTGTGGGTAGGCAATCCCACATGTAAAATAGTACAACCACTATGGGGATTGTACTATTATTATGGGGATTCCTCAAAAATAGAAATTCCTGAAAATAGAAATTCCACTTGACCCAGCTATTCCACTCTTACCTGTTTTCCCCTCAGGATTAAAGACACCACAGTGATACATGTTTTAGTAGCACAATTCAAAATACCTAAATCTTGCAAGCAGCCTATAATCAACAGATGAACTGATAAAGAAAATATGATGTTTATATATAGTACAGTACTACTGTGTTATAAAGGGGGATAAATTTGAGTTATTTGTAGGCAAATGGATGTGCCTTTGGACCAAAATGTTAAGTGAAATAAATCAGCCATGCAAGCCTACATATCACATGATTTCCTTACACGAGAAACCTAAGTGTAAATAAATGAAAGAGCAAAATAAAAGACAGAAAATAGGAAACAGGGAATTAGATCACTCACAAGTGGCAAAGGGAGAAGAAAGGCGAAAAGGAAGGGTTTGGGGGACAAAGAATTGAGTTGTGCCACGTACATGCACCAACTCCCTGTGATGAAGTCGATTATTCTGTACTGCAAACATACAGAAAAAAGGAACTGGTCTTCAGAAAAAGGCTGAGAGACAGGCTCCAGGCTGGCTCATGCCTGGCCTGTTAGCCACAGATCCAGTAATTTAGAAAGAAGTTCTAGGCACAGAAGAACAAGGCAGCCTTTCCAAGGGTGGTGGGCGCACCTAGCAAATGCAGGGAACCCAAATGAGCCTTGTCCTCCACCTGCCTCGCCCTCCAGGATGACCTTGTCTCATTGTTCCTAGAGAGAACAGAAATCACAAGACCTTCTGAGCCCAGACCATCCAGATACTACCCGTGCATCTCTCACAGGTGCCTGGTAAACATCACAAAGTTAGCATGTGCGAGTTAGAAACCTTCTTTAGCACTAAGCAAGTCTTTCTTTCACTCCATGTTGTACATACTGAGAACTATCATTCTACTGCTCACTCCAGAAAGCCCAGAATCATCCTCAAACCATCCACCCACCCACCCATCCACCCATCCACCCAGCCAGCCAGCCAGCCAGCCAGCCAGTAGTCTATGAGCACTATTTCTATGCACCAAAAATTCCATACAGCATATACATAATGAAGATTTTACAGGATCTCTTTTCTCAATTCCTGGAATCTGCTCACTGCCACTTGCATTCTCATCCACTTCCAAGTGGCCCCTTGAGTCCATTCATTTTTCCCTCACCTTTACTTCTGCCACCCTTGCCCAAACCATTACCTCTGTCCAGCCTGGAACAAAGACTTAGGATCACCCCATTCAATGTGGATTTTGCTTCCTTTAAAGCTACACCTTATTTGCAAGCCAGAGACATTTTTTTTAGCATAAACCATATCAGACTATTTCCTTGTTTAAAAATCTCTGTACCTACCAAGGTTCTCTGTCCTGCCCCAGCCTTGTGACACACTGTCTTCCCTTCTAGTCCTTGAAGGCTTTGGGACCCTTGCCATTCTGTTACCTCTGCCTGGGACACTTCCATACCCTGTGCTTGACAAAATCCTCATCCATTAGATACCAGCCTTTTCTCAGTCTCAATCTAATTGACTTCCTGAGTCATTTGCTTTCATAGCAAACATAGGTAGTGAAGCATCACGTTTGGCTTGTAGAATTTTCTCCTTGGAACAATGCTCTATAAACACTGGTGCAATAGACAAGATGCAGGTGTACCCTTGTACACTGACACCTTCCATGGAGGGGTAGCATTCTTCAAAGTCCCTTCTCCAGGATTCCCTTTGCAGGAAGAAGTCCTTTACCTGCTGCTCCTCCAGGTTATTCACACGGCACACTTGAAATCTGCTGGTCACACAGTCAAGCTCACAGCCACAGGTCTTAGCTTTGTCACTTATTATTTGTGCTACCTTAGGCTTGTCTGTGAGTTAGGAGAGGCTGTGCTTGTCTTGCAGGTGACTGCCACTGACAGGACATCTGCAGGAGACTGGCAGGTGCCAGTACAAAACTGTTTGCCTGCTGGGGATGTGGTTCAGTGGTGAAGCTTCTGCTTTGCATGCACAAGGCCCTGGGTTCAATCCCCAGGACCACAAAACACAGCAAGAACAATAAAAACCTGTTTGCCTGGTGTTTAACAGTGACTCAATTGTAGCAACCCATTGCTCTAGCTTTTTATGATTTATGTAGATAAAGTCACCTTCTTATCACCTAGGTTTCTGCTCCACCACACCTGTGGGCTGGCCTAGGCTGAGGTTCATATTCTCAGGTTCCTGAGGCTCCTTGTGGTCAAATGATTGCCTTAATGTCCTTGAATTTGGTTCAGGCAAGAACTGAGACCCACACCTGGCACTGCCACCTGCAAAACCCACCCACCAAGCTCCCACCTCAGGCCACAGTTTTCACTTGGAATGTGACAAGCTGTCCCTGCAGAGAGACCAAGGCCCTTGTGCCCAGAGCAGCATGGCTGCCCAGCTTGGAGAGTGGGCATTTGCAGGGACAGGAGGCTGTCTTACCTTGCTTGAGATGCAGGTGCACCGTCTTGAGGTCTGTCGAGGCTTTCAGAGGTAGAAAGAGGCCGAGAAGGATCTAAGAAGGGAGATCCCGGGCCCCTCTCCCTGTGCAGTAGAGTGTCAGGGGACAGTGGTGGCCCTCAGTCCTGGGTGCCTGCTTCTGGGAGAGCCTCCACGCAGGTCAAACTCCAAACTCCAGCCTTGGCTGCAGCCAGTGGGAATTAAAGGAAGCGTGGATGATTTCCCTGGGACTCTTGAACTCTGAGAGGGCCCCTTCGGGGAAGGTGACCGGTCCTGCAACCCTGTGCTCTGCTTCTGTCAGAGGCTTCATCTGTCAGGGCCTGTGGCCTGGAGGGTGGGGGGACACTGACGCCCAAGCACGGTCCTCCTGTCCTGGTCCCTCCTCTGCACTACCACGGCAGGCAGGCTCAGGACAGCTGGAGGAGGGGGAGGAGAGCCGCTGGAGGCTGCAGGGGATAAAGGGAAAGTGCCAGGAGGGACTTCACAGCCAGCAGCGACAGTGACAGCGGTTGTTCAGTCTTCCCAGACACTCTCAGCCCGAGGCAGGAGAGATGAGGCATCTGGAGCCCAGAGACGCTGCCAGGAGGGTCCAAGCTGAGGCCAAGAGCTCATGTAAGTACCAAAGACACCAGAGAAGCCAGGATGGGGGTTGCAAAGATTTTCACTGCGTGCTCAGAGCATCCAAACCTTTCTTTAGCTACTAGTAGTATTTGCAGACCAAGAGACGTGACATTCAATCTAAAGGTGTAACCACACCAAATACATGTCACCGTGGAACAACTGCTGGCTGAAAGGGAACCGGGACCCTGCATCCTCTCAGCCCCTCTCCTGACACTGAGTGGCCCAGAAACAATGGCAATGACACAGTATGTCTCCTTGAGAAGGACTCTGCTCCAGGTACTCCCCAGGACTTAATTCCCTTGGACTTTCCAGGAACTCTCTAGGACGGGCCAAGTATTTATCATCTCTACTTTCCTGATAGGGAGAGAGAGGTGGAGGAAGGTGAGCAGCTGGCCCAGATATTAAGTGTGAGAGCAGGAGTTCTGATCCAGGTGTTGTGGTTATGGAGCCCAACAGGGCAGCCGAGGTGGACTTAGGGATGTACCCAGCTGGACAGAGCGGGGCCTGGGTAATGTGAGACCGGAGACCTAATGGTTGAGCAGACACCATGAATGAGTGCTTCAGGGTGGAGCCTGCCCTGGGGAGAGATTTACAGAAGGAACAGCTGGGGTTTCAGAGGAGACAGGAGGCTGGGGATCTGCGATCTGCATCCAGAGGACGCCACACGAGGACAAGCTGTAGTACCACAGATGGTGTATTCGGTCCTCACCCCAGGATCCAGTCCTGACTGCAAGGCTCATCTTGGGGAACTTGGGCATGTTCCATGGGCTTTCAAGAAAAAGGTCCAATGAATGAGGTGGGCCTGGGAGCTGAAGCCGATGGGAGAGCACATGTTGCCATCAGATCCAACCGTAAAAAAATGTTCTAGAGTCCAGAGGTGGTGGTGTATGCTTCTTTGGGAGGCTGAGGCAGGAGAATCACTTTTAATTCAAGCTCAGCCTGGAATACACAGTAACTTCAAAGCCAGTTTGAACTACATAGCAAGATCCTGTTTCAACTCCTCCCCACCAAGAATGTTCTAGAAGGGTTCTACAAAGTCTTGTGATTGTTAGTTTGTAGTCTACTTGGTTACTTGCTTGTCACTCTTGAGAATCTTTCTGATTGTTTTTCAGATTTTACCACTGGTGTTATAAAGAATGGAGAGGCAGGACGTGGCTGTGCACACCTATAATCCCAGCAGTCTGGAGTTTGAGACAGGAGGATCCTATGGGCAGTTTCTAAACACTTCTTTGCAGACTATGGTTTAACACACCCTCTGCAGGGGATTAAATAAGGTAAATAAAGAAAATAAGGTAAATAAAGATTAAATAGATAGTGCCGATGAAGAAAGTGTTAGAGGGGGCTGGGTAAATGTTGACTCCTCCTCTCTAAGCAAAGCACTCCTTCAGATTAACCATGAGCTCCCTAGTTTGCACCGAATTCAAGCCTTGTGTCTCTTTATGATGAATTAGAGTGGGACATGGCACTCTCCCTCCCTCTCTCCTCTCCTCCCTTCCCTTTCTCTCCTCCCTTCCTTTTAGTCCTAGATCCTCCTTCCCACCTCTCTGCTGCTGGCTGTGTGTTCTTCTGTAGACAATTTAACTGCTCTGAGCCTACATTTTCTCATCTGAATAAGAGGATATCATTTCAGTGACATGATGCACAGAGCATTCTTTGAAATACTGAGGTTGCTTTGCTTTTTCCCTCAGTAGTTCATGGATGCCCAGTGGAGTTTTCCAGTGATGTCCAGGGGCTGAACAGAGGGGCAGATGTGAGGAGTCAGCTGCCTGCTAATAAACCGCGCATCCAAGAATCCACGACTGTGTGAGACAGTGCTGCCTTTCTCACTAAACCTTTTGGGAAAATATGGTTGTTCTGAATAAAAATGTTTAACATGCAGTGAGTTTATTGCTCTTTTAAGATTAATAAATTTAAATGGTTTCTTCTTTTAAATGTCTCATATGCCTGTGGATGCACTGCACCTGACCAAAGCTTTCAGGGTCTTTCAGCACTAGGCATTCCTGAGGGCAAACAGGCACAGGACTGAGTGTCTGCAAAACTCTTGTGTTGTCTAAACCTAAAACTGTGTAATGTGTGTCCAAAGTGTCTTCTGATGAAACTCCTCCCTCCCTGGGAAGCCCATTATGGCAACAGAATTGTACAAGAAAACATTTGAGCCAGCCACCATGATATTCACCTATAATCCCAGTGCTCTGGGAGACTGACGCAGGAGGATCATATAGTCAAACCCAGCCTGAGGAATTTGGTGCCTTAGTGAGCCCATCTCAAAAAAGAAGAAGAAGCAGAAGCAGAAGTAGAACAAGAAGAAGAAAAAGAAGAAGAAGGAGGAGGAGGAGGAGGAGAAGGAGGAGGAGGAGGAGGAAGAGGAAGAAGAAGGAGAAGGAGAAAGAGGAGGAGGAAGAGGAGGAGGAGGAAGAGGAGGAGTTGGGGCATAGCACAGTGCAAGACTCTGGTTCAGTCTGGGGAGTCTGAAAAATAAGAGTTTATATATTGGTGAGCCTGGCTGGTTAGTGCATAGTGCATTGTTAATCAGTCAACAAAGAGTTTTTAAATTAATCACTAAACACTTTAACAGCAGGCCATCCCTGGTTGAAGCTTGGAGTAGGACTTCAAGACACGTGGAGGTTATTAGAGTGGAACCGGATCCTGCAAAAGGCTGTCATGGTGGCTGTGATTCTCGAGTTTGGCTCCCAGAACTGAGATGTTGGCAACTTCATCCCCAGAGTCACACACTGACGGCTTTTGGAGATGAGATCTTTGAGAAGCCATTCCCTAGGGGACAGGTGAGCCCGTTTGTGACTTATGGGTTAATGCATTCTCTTAGGAGTGAGTCTGTTGTTAAGGCCAGTTTGGCTACTGTTCCCCCTCCTGCTTCCTTCCTCTTTCTAGCAGAAGGTTTCATTTTACAGCTACCCTGCTTTAGTAACAACAGCGATTCCCAGGAAGCCAACTGTGCATGCCAGTACAGAGGGAAACCAGGCAAAGCCAGTGAATCTCGTTCCCTGAGCTCTGCACCTTGCATGGTGGCTCTCTTGTCCTGAGGGGATGATAGGTGTGTGCTGGATCTGTGAATGAGTGAGCTAAGGATACAACTGCAGATACCTTCTTCGCACCTCAGCTTTCCAGCATTGCACAGAGATGCTAGAATGAATGAAGAGAAGCTGAAGGATGAACATTTCAGGGGAGGAGGAACGTAAGCAAAGAGAGGAATCAGTGGCCATGCACTGTGACCACAAAATGGCTCCTCCTCTCACACCCTGCTGTCCCAGTGTGGTGCCCTGGGTCTCCCTGGCACTCTCTGCAGAGAGGTGTGTCTCACAGAAGGAAGGTCCTCCAACGACACAGCCCTGGACTCTGAACCCGTGGGCCTTTAGACCCAGGTGCAAAATAACTTTCATGCTTTAGAAATTACTCAGTTTTTAGCGCCTGCCTTGCAAGCAGGCAGTTGTGAGTTTGATCCCTGGTGCCGATAAAAAGGAAAAAGACAAAAAAAAAAAAAAAAAAAAAAAAAGAAATTACTCAGTTTTTGATATTCAGGTATAGCCAAGGAAACAAAGGTGCAGGTGTTGACTCCTACAGCACAAGTCTGGGTTTCAAGACAGTTTTTCTGATGACCGACTGTCACTACTCGGGTGGTGAACTCCATGGCCCATTTGCAGGTACCTGAGTTCTGCTTCCAGTGTTTGGCTCAATGATTACTACATCTCTTCAAGCTTTAGTCTCTCCATCTGTCAAATACGGAGACCTGTTGTAAGCACTGCCTATAAAGGCTTATCTGAGGTGCGTGCTGGTAGGCAAAACCTCCCCTTTCTCTTCCTGGTCACAAGGCTACTTGTACTGTCCAGCTCCCTGGAAGGGCAGGGATTTAGGGAGCTGCTGGCCCTCACCATTGTCTGTCCCACTTTCCTGCTGGACATGATGGGGGCCCCTGGATGATGACACTTCCTCCACCCCCGCTGGCCAAGCTTCTCAAAGCCTGGGCTCCTGATAGAGCAGAGAAACCCCTGATGCAGCATCTTTGTGGGCTATAGAGTGACACAGAATGAATTTCCTAGCTTATGCTGTGTCCCTCCTGGATCACTTGTTACTATATTGCAGATTTGCAGCCTGAGACAAAGCTCTGGATGGTTTTGCAGTGAGGACTCTGCTGTCATGCCCTGGAAGGACATGATGACGCCAGTCTCTCAACTTAGGAAAGATGCGTGCAGTTTCCAAGCATTTTCAATGTGGCAGATACACTCAACTTTGCTTCTCACCCCCAATTCAGTTGGTGTGTGATCAGCTTCATCCACTGTGCAGAGGGAGAGATTATAGTATCTCTTGCAGGAAGTGGTGAACCTTCCATGACAGATCCCATGCAAATTGTCCAAGTTTACTCTGTGAAATCACTGTGTGCTGTTATTTTATGATCATTTGCAATATTCCCAGCAAGCACTGTTTCAGAAATTTCCACCTGCTGAGAGTTTTTTAAAATTTTTAATTGATCTTGGTTCATTCATTGCATCTTGCATGTATTTTTCCCACTTGACAATTAAAAATATCTGACTTCAGCCAGAGATGGTGGCATGTGCATATGATCTGGAAGGCTGATGCAGGAGGATCACAAGTTCAAGCCCAGCCTGAAAAACTTAGCAAGACTCTGTCTCAAAAAAAAAAAAAAAAAAAAAAAAAGAAAGAAAAGAAAAGAAAGAGAGAGAGAAGCTGGAAATGTTGCTCAGTGTGTGAAAGTCCTGGGTTTAATCCCCAGTACTGAAAGAAAAACAAAATGCTTTCCAGTTCCAGCCCTCCCTTGTTCCCACACAGCCACAGTCCTTGAGGAGCTGGAATAAAGTACATACGGCATGTAAGAGGCTCCTGGGTCTGTTTGTTCTTTCAAAGAAATGCTTAGAATCTTTTTTGTCCTTAGGTAATGGGGAGCTGGATTATTATCAGTCAACAGTCCTTTGGATGCAAGCTCCAGAAACCCAACTGAAACTAGCTTAAGAAAAAAATATTGGCTCACAGAACTTGAGAGTCCAAAGCTTCAGGTCTGGCAGCATCTAGCACCTCAGATAACAGCATCAGGACCTGGATTCTAGTACTGTGGCTTCTTGTCTGGCTTTTGCTCCTAAGCAGCCCTTTTCTTCAAAAGGTTCTAAAAAGCCTCAAGCTAACTTCCACTCAGGTTCAAGTTCAGTAGGAGAGAGGTTTGACAAGGGTCCATGTTGTCCTCAGCATGGCCCTTAGTGGTCCCCACCCAGATCACATGGTCATTGCTGCACCAATCACCTCAGGGAAGGCAGGGGATGTTTTTGGTCCCACACCATCCAGTTGTTCCCCAAAGAAAATCAGGTTGGAACTTCTAGGAGACTGGAGAGGGATGCCAGACATGCAGAGCCCACAGACACCCACAGCCTTTCCTCGCCGCTTTATTGTGGGGAGTAAATGAAAAATGCTTGACTGTACTGTGCCCTCCACAAATGTGTGGCCCTTTCCTTCCTGTCCCTGAAGCCAGATGCCCAAGGTGCCTTTCTGGGGGCAGAGCACGTGTAGCCTGTGTGCGAGAATAGACCTACTCTTTTATCTTCTCGCCAGGACTCCTGTGGGGCCCTCCTTGGGGACCCACAGCCTACCTGGGCTCCTCCCAGGGCCCTTCTGAGGTCTGTGCTGCAGACACACCTGCCTGCCTGCCTGGCTTGTCAGTTCCATTTCCCCTCAGAGGGAAATTTGATCCTGCTCATCCCATCTCCTGCAACACTACCCCTCCTCCTTAGTTATGTTGGGGGACCTTTCCACAGCGCTTTATATAGATTGGTGTCCTTGTGTTAGGGGCTGAATATTCCAGTCTCTGGAAACTACAGTTTATTTAACAGGTTCCTCCTGGAGCAGGTACTTCCGGCTGTCCCCTCAATGCCCCATCTCCTCTTTTTCTCCGTGACAGATAATCTTCACTGTCAACTTGATTGGATTGGGAAATGCCTAGGAAATTATTCACCACCATTCTGGGGGTGTCTGTGTCTGTGAGGGCACATTAAAAGGTGACTGGCCTGAGGGATGGCAATCTGGGTGGGGAGACACGCCTGAGCGTGGGAGGTGCCAATCAGTGAGATGGGAGCCTGGGGAGCAACCTGGAAGAAGGCAGGACGCCCCTCCCTGTCCTGTCCCAGCACACGCTCTGCCCCTTTCTCGCTGCTTCCTGGCTGCCGTGAGGTGAGCAGCTTTCCTCCACCGGGCCCTGCTGCTTCCATGTGCCTCTCCTGAGCCCAGCTGCTCACGGGTTGAAGCCTCTGAAACTGTGAATTAGAGTAAGCCTTCCTCCTTGAAGTGTTTCTCTTAGATAGTCAAAGCAGTAAAAAGCTGATGATGACAAATTTTCAGATATCAGAGCCATCACGTAGCAGGAGACACGAGAGTCTGAATAAAGGCTCTAAGCAGCAGGAGAGCAGGTGACTTTGTAGCCAGCGGGAGATGATCATAAACGACGCGTAGACACTGGGAATCGGGCTCCTGAAGCCCACCAACGAGTCCTTTGAGATGCAACTTTGGACGTAAGGTATCTTGGCCCGGGTCAGTAAGGATGGAAGGGAATTTGGTCCCTAGGGGGAGCTAGGACATGATATGGACTACTCAAGCTAGTAGGCTCAGTGACAGTGCAGTCACTGCAGCAGGTTGAAGTTCCTTCTCCTCTGTGTCTCTTTCTGGCTGGGGAGGGCTCTCTCTATGCCCTCAACATGTGGTCTCCCTGCCACACCAGTATCACCTGGCCACACCCAGACTTCACAAACCAGACCACAGTTTTATAAAATCCCCCGGTGAGTCCATGCACATGACAGCTGGAGAAGAACTGCTCTAGGATGTTCTATGAAGAGCATTTCTACTTGCAAAATCTCCTTCCTCACCAAGGACACAGTGACTATTGCAAGCAAAGTACTTTTCTGGGCTAGCTATCTCTCAAGCTCAAATTAGAGACATGGGGTTGGTATCTATACGAGGCAGAAATTTACAAAAGTTGTTGCCAGTGTTTAGATAGCGTAGATTTCTGTGTTTTTAAAATTAATTAATTAATTAATTTTATGCTTTAAGTGGGATCTTGAGAAAGCCTGCTGATCCCTCTTGCGTACCTTGATCCTCAGAGCCTGTTCCAGAAAGGGGCAGCTAAGTGCGCCCCCGAGTGGTTAATGCCTCCAATTACAGGCAAGGAAATCCAAGGTAGCCTACCTGGCAAACTTGTCAAGGGAGAAGAAACACAGCAAACAAGGGATACACACTGTCACCACGTCTCGCTGGGTGCTCTTGAGGCCATTCCAACTCTGTGGTGGTCACCTAAGCAAAAAGTTGTTTGCAAGGGTGTTTTAAACTATAATGCAAAAGTTATCAAAGGGCATTGTTTTTTAATCATTTAAAATCAGTGGTTGACTGGGTGTGATAATGCAAGCCTATAATCTCAGCACTCAGGAGGCTGAGACAGGAGGATCACCATGAGTTCGAGGTCAGCCTGGGCTACAATGTGAGTTCAAAGCCAGCCTGCACTACATAGTGAAACCCTGTCTCAAAAAGACAAAACAAACAAATGAACGAATGAACAACAACAAAAACAGTGGTTGCATGGATGTATGACTGATGTACAGCAAAGCACAAATGTTTACAAAGTCCCACAGAGCTGGGAGCACTCTTGTAATCACAGCAGCCTGGGAGGCTGAGGCAGGATAATGGCAAGTTTGAGCTCAACCTGGGAAACGTAGCAATTTACAGATGCCATATCTTGGAAAGGAAAGAGAAAGAAAGGTTTAGGAATATAGCTCAGTGAGAAGGCTCTCAGGTCAATCCCTAACCTCAAACAAAAACGTCCCATGAGTGAGCTACTTCAAAGACAGGCACTTAATGAAACCATAACAAGAAAACACCCATCACCCCGCACGATTCCTCATGCCCTCTGCAATCTCCCCTGCGAGGCTCTGCTCCTAACCCCACCCCCAGACAACTACTGCTTTGCTCTTTAGACATTAGTCTGCACATTCTAGGTTGCTGGGTTTTTTCTTTTGATGTGTGGTACTAGGAATAGAACCCAGGGGTGCAGTACCACTGAGCTACACCCTCAGCCTCTCTTACTTACTAAGTTGCCCAGGCAAGACTTGAACTTGCAGTCTTCCTGTCTCTGTCTCCCAAAGTGCTGGGATTACAGGTGTGTTCCACCACACTCAACCATTCCACAGTTGTCTATAAGTGGCATCAAAGATACAGTATACCTTGGTTTTTAGTTTTTTTTTTTTTCACTCAGTTCATTTCTGCCGCTTGTATAGATACACCACAGTTTGCATACCTGCTCATCCTTCGACAGATACTTGAGTGTTCAGTTTGGCCTGGGGTAATGACAGTGAGCAATAGCATAAGTGTCGGACCGTCCTTTCCTTTCGCTTGAGGTGGGTGGCTCATGCAGTTACTGAATATTTATTTAATTTTTTTGGTGAGTGTTTATTTAAGAAACAACTGAACTGTCTCCCAAGGTGGCTGTGCCACTACTGCCCTCAGCATAGAGGATGAGGGCTTTCGGAGCCCACAGGGCTCAACTGACCTATCCTGAGCTCTTCCGGAGTCATCTGGAGTGGGCTGCGATCCTTTGGCGCCTTTGCTCACCAGCTGGGTGACTTTGGACCAGGCACTTAAAACTTCTGAAATCCTGGTTGTGCATGCTGGTGGCTTAGCGTTTTGGACTCTTGGGTCTTCGGTCCCTGTCACAGCCTGCTCACCCCAACCGTGAACTCCTGAGGACGGGCACAGCCACCCACCTCACATGGATTTTTCACCTGTGCTCCTAACAGTCTCCCCTACCTCCCTCCTGGGAGATGGACTTTACTTTTATCCCCACTTTGTGGGAACAAACATGAAAACCTCAGGTTTCTTCTCAGTTTGTTAAAGATAACGTCTTTGTTACTGGGACGGAAGGAAAGCCTGAACAAATCCTCTAGCTTCACTTGCTTTTACTTGACTTTAAAACTAGCACATATATATGATAAAATAAAAACAAAAAACAAAACAAAAAAACCTCACTAATCTGGGGGCTAGGAATTTGCCCAGCATATGCAAAGCCCTGGATTCCATCCCCAGCCCTCTTGTTTTAAAATCACTAACTGTGGACATCATACAGCTGATGACATACAGCGTCTGTCTCCCATTGGCTTTGCTGCTGGTCACACCTCTGAGGTTCGGGCCTTGGTGATAAAGGTTACTTCGGTTACATTTCTGGGACTTGGAGGCCGCTTTTGGTGAAACCAGTGACTTTTGATTTGGGCCAGTGCAGAATCTGATGGGTGACCTTTGACACAGAGAGCCCCAAACACCTTTGATTATTGCCGATTTCTTAACATGGGCCTGTGAAGAACCACGAAGACTGATTACACATGTGTAGACCACAGGTCCTCTGCCCATGCCTGAAATTGCCTCCTGCTTCTCTATCTGTAAGCACCACTAACCCTTGTGGAGGCGCCTTGGAGACTCTGGTCTTCACGCTTGCCTGCTCTTCAAATAAACTTCAATGCATAACTCATTGCTTCAGTTACTGACCTTCTGTATATCAGATTTGGTTCTGTAACATTATTATTATTGGTGGTGGGGAGGATGCAACTGTTATTGTCTATCCCTCCACCCTGCGCAGCCCTTTATACTGAGTGACCTCCTCAGTTCTCTATTTTGAGATAGGATGTTGCTAAATTGCCCAGATAAGACTTGTGATGCTCCTGTCCCAGCCTCCCAAAGTACTGGGACTTACAAACATGTGCCACTGCACGTGGCTTCTCCTGTCTTTTACCTAATACTCCAGTGGCTCTGGGGCAGTTTTCCATGATGCACACATCAGTGTTTCTGCCAAGAG